CCCGACAGGACTGAGTTCGTCGAAAATTGTATCCCGGCGCGCTGAGCTCGTCCATTCCAATCCGTAGTCGTCGTCGTCGTCGCCTTCTGGAAGCACAAGTGTGAGCGGGATTCGAGTAAGCCGATACTCGTCAAGTGTGAGATTCCGTGGCAATGAATAATTCAATATCAAAAAACCCCAAGAAAGGTATACGTGTGTGGAGACAATGATAGGGTGCTGGGCGACCGCCGCACCATGCGATTATCCGCAGGTTTCTGGCGATCACCAACAAACGTGCAATTTCGATTCGCGATTTGAAAAGGCGTCAACAAATTCAGGAAATGTTGAAGTTGTTTGATTTCTTATGCAAGAAACTCGCACTGATATCATTTTTCAAATCCGAAATTCTCAAATGACGATTTTGCACATTTTGATTTATTCATCACGGAATTCCGGCTATCATCATCGTTTTGCAAAAAGCGAAAATGAAAACGAACGATTTCTTAGAACGGAAAGAAGAAAAAATGTTTTTTTTTGGAAAACAAGCATTCGGAATATGAATCAGAATGTGGTTCACACACGGGATTTACCCAATTTGTTCAACCTTCAGATCCAATCCCATGATAATCTGATGTTTTTTTTCTGGAACCACTTAAAAGGGATTTATCGAAGAAGCGGAGTAATTCGATTTTAAGCAAATATCAAGTTTCACTAAAATATTTAAAAAAAAAATGCGATTTTTGAACAATGTGTCCACTCTGAGCATAACTTCGAGCGGATTCTTTGCTAAAAAAATTCAAAGCAGAAACCAAAAAAATTCAAAGCAGAAAAATTCGCTAAATTCCAAAAATATTTCGGTTTTAATTTAGATTAAATTTTCAATTATCCGCACTCGAATGACAAAGACACTAATATTGACGAAATGGGCAAATTGGCAAATGGTCTTGGATGGTCTCGAAGAGAAGAGCTGCGTTCGTGTGTTGCACGTAGACAACCACCAGTCGGAAATCGACACGAGACCCGACTCTAAAGTAGAGTCTTCGACAATCTAACAATACAAAAATATTGTAGGCACCTAAAATTTTGAACGAATTGGAGAATCGATCATTTCGGGAAATTCGGAAAATAAAATTTCGAACAAAGAACATTCAAAATCCATGAATTTCAGCAGAAATAAATAAATCAAAAAACACGTGAAAAAAAGAAGGGAAATGTGTGAAGCGAATAATAAATAAAGAATCCTAATTGTTTTCGTCACAACCAAATATGGTGACGATATTTTACACGAAAAAGGAGTGATGAGAAACAAGGGCATTTGTTCGACAGCATTCAGCCGGTCCGACAATTCATGAAAACTCGAGCGTGCCAAATTGTTCCGAATCAGTGCTTCCATAGTTCTTGGCTATCAAACAAATGTAATTTGGTTGGAAAAGAGCAAAAAAAGTTGAAAAGAAGAAGAAGAAGAAGAAAAAAACGAAGGTCTAGTCATTTGGTATTCAATATCTTAGACTAATTTATTCGAGAAAATCGGTCGAAAAAATTAATTGGTGGATTAGGTATGGATTACGGTAGTGACGTTGATTGACCTCTGTGATGATCACAAATCATTCGGAGAGCTCGTCGCAGTGCAAAATGGGGCTAATTTATAGTGCAGAACAAAAATGAATAATCTTCATTGGGCAATTTTAGATAAATTCTCATTTCCTGTTTACAATTATTTAAAGGATCATTCAAGCCGAAGAAAATTGTTCGATATTCATTAAGCAGCTATCTATTTGCTTAGCGGAAGGCAACCACTCGAAAAGAATTCCTTTGAAGCCGTTTGTTTTCGAAACGATATTTTTTTATTTGGCACAACCCGCAAGAATGTCCGTAGATTGAATTTTATACATTCAAATGCAATTTGTGTAGGCTGTTATTTTCATTTAATATTTTTTTTAAAGAAAACGTTGACTAACAAGGGAGGTCATTTTGCTGTCCGTCTTAAAATTCTTTTATTTTTTGCATACAGATTCGTTAGAAAATTTCCAATCGAATGAACTAGGTCTCTACCTGCGCAAACTTCTAGTTATCGAGATATGGACCTTCAAAGTTTTAGAAGGTCCATTAGGCTTTCACTGCGTATCAAACACACACTTGTCAAACTACCATGAAAGAAAGTGTTATTTTCGCGACAAGAGTTCAAACTGAATTAGAATTTCCTCCAATTTATGAATGTATTTGATTTACGACCGGGGGTTTTAGTTGTCAGAAGTTGATTAATAAGGAAACGCTTATTTCAAATAAATATTGAATTTCTGGAAATGATAAGTAATGGATTTATTCATGAAATATGTATATTTATTTTTATAAAAATTACATTAAAAGTGCATTTTTTGCAATACTGCATTGGAAATGTTTTTTTAATGCATGAATAAGTCCATAACGAATGAATTACGATGATGGTTAAGTAACAAGAGAATTTATTGATTTAAGATACATTTTCAGTCGGGTTTCGAGCATTTGATCTCGCTCGCGCTGATTAGCTGCTTATTTCGCTGTCTTGGCGTCACTTTGAAAATTTTAGATTTCGAAAAATTGAAAAAAAAATGTTCTGAAAGTTTTTTTTCACAATTATTATACACAGTGCCTGCGTCTCCGTCCACCACACGCTCTCTCATTGTCTGCGGTCTCTCAATTGTAAACACTGTCTGACTTGCTAGACATTGTACGAGTTTTCTAGAAGCGCGTCAACCCAGTATACCATGGCGCGCATTTGGTGCAGATTGTTTTCTCATTTCCCTGAATGAGATTAACTCTAATTACTCAACTAATCCTCAACTGGCGATCAGAACCAACGATCAGGAATCCGTCAAAGATTCAGGAACGAAACACGGAATCATGGAAGCGCTGAAGAAGCAAGGAAATGACAAAAATATGAATATTCGAATGAAAATTACCATATCAGAATTCGCATGTTCGGATATCATAGCGAGTGACTAAAAACTGTTGGTTTCTCTACATTACTGTGCTCATTTTTAACGAGATTTCGATATTTAGTAGGAGATTATTAATTGACTAATTATCAATTAAATGATGGAAGAAAATAACTGAAATCATCAAATTGATGCTGGTTTTGCAATCATTTATTTTTGGACCCACAACAATACAAATTGTGCTAAGTCTGAAATTGGCAGAAACTGGGAAAAAAAATGACCTTTAAGAAAAATACTTGAAAAAAAATTAAAGCTCAAACATTTGTTAAAAAGAAAACCTCATTATCGACACTCGAAAATCACCAAAAAGCAACAAGAAAAAAGAAAGCTCACATAAGACCGAATTGGGCTTGAAAAGAGAAAGTTGGTGGTACCGGAAACTCGAAATCAATCTTGTCTGATGAATTGGAAATCGAAACCAGTGGCGACAAAGATGTGAGGAATGTGATTAGAAGGGTTTGTCGAGCAGAAGAGCAGAAGCCGGCAGACCGAAAAGGTTCGAGTTGAATGCAGGACGAGTTAAACAAAAAAAAACAAAACGAATACATTTTATTGCGGCGGCAAAGCAACAAAGAAATGAAACGAGAAAAAAGGCGAGAAGGGCGGCGCCGCTCGGCGAGATAAGAAAAGCCATCGTCGGACATGTCGTATTTTTATGAAATTAACCAAATTATTGGGTAAACACAGAACAATTCGATGAATAACTTAATTGGCAGTTCGATTGTTATTCAATGAATATTGTATGAAGTGAAAACGAAGTTGCGCGCTCTTGTCAGCTTGTCGTCGGGGTTTTCCCTAATTTGTGAAGACAACAATTATTTGAAAATGTTTTGATAGAAGATGAAATCAGAAATTGTTATAAAATAGAATGGTATTTGGGGAGACACAATTGGCTAGACTTGGGCAACTGAAAATACGATTGTCGCCTCCGGAATCGATCAGATCTGATGAGAACTTCTGGAGATTGTCGATGGTTCCTTAAATTGATTGAATTCAACTCGAAAAATTATCCATATGGATTTGGAATTCCCAGAGTGGTTGTATATCATTTGCAAAATCCCCCAAAAAAAGGTGAACGAAAAATTCGAAGGATAAAAGAGACCATGGGATTGCTGAAATTGCCGAAATATTTTTGGAAATTTACCGAAAAATAAACCCATAAGAACCTTCAATTTGGTAAGTAATTTTTAAATTTTTGTTGCATAACAAATTATTTCTAATAAAGCAGTTTTAATATTATGTGAAATGCCATGGATACCGTGAAAATTAAATATTCATATTTAGAACTAAATTTGGAAAATTTTATCACAGAAAATTGACGAATTTCCGAATATTCCGATTGTCGCACAGCCTTGATGATAGCCGGTAGTCCATATTAAAAATTTCCAGCAAATCATTTTACAATTCCTTTCTTTCAAAATGGTTTCCGACCAAAAAGATCATGATGACCATTCTTTAAAATTTCGAGAAACTACATGTTTTTCTAGAAAAGCTTCGTCGAACCGCCGATGACAACTTCTGGCTTGGGCCAATGGTCCGTTCTAAATCTTGACCAACCCTAATCTAAGTGTGAAGACTTTTTACGTGAACTTTCTGATCAAAATATAGGATTTGTTTTAAAATATTGAAATTCGAAGCAATTTTACGACAAAAAGCTCTATTTCCAAAAACTAGAACATTCTCTAACGTTAAGGTCTTGAAGCGATCAGCTCAACTGGACGAAGAGAGAAAAAATATTTTGTGCAGTGACAAAAAAATGTCGCAAGAGTTGTTGAATTGTTTCGGCCACAAAAAAATGTAAATAGTATTGCCGTGAAAAAATTTGGCTCGGCACTCGACCAATAACACATAAATCATTTATTTCTCATACTTAATTCTATTTCGTGACATCGGTTGTTGAAGAAAAAAACCAATTCAAACGAAAATAAATTTTTATGGAAAGAAACAATAAGGAAACCCGTAAAAATCGACACCCTGAAATTAACAAAAAATTGCACTTTGGTAAAGCTAGATGAATATCCTATTCGCATAAAATATAATGTGATTCTAGGCCGGCGTGCTGTCCAACATTCGAGCGTTGGCGAAACAGTCGGGTAGGGGGACGATCGCTTTTCGGAATCCGGGCGCAAGACGGGGATCGGTTCGAGACCAGAATGATGGTCGCATGATGCGTCGGGGACGACCGGGACGGAGAATGCAGATCGTGCAGGACAAGTATATCAAAACGGCAATGCTAAATATGGAGGCATATTTATTAAATGGGCGGACATTGAATAGTAAATACCTTGTTAAAAGGCATCCCATCATGAACATGAAGAGCGAATTGCGAAATGCCGCTGAGCAGGTTCCAATGATTCCAGATTTGAACGATTCTATTATAATTAATTTTTGCTTCTTCGTTTTTCTCTGATCAATATACCAATGGTGTTCACGATTTCTTTAGGATCGATGAAAACCTGCGCGGACGTTCGTCCGGCGAAATTCGACACATGACACTCAACGAGACCAATGTGATGGTACGAAAAGTGATGGATTATAAGGGTTCCATTTGAAAAAGAGCTAAAGTCTGATGAGATGTGCGAAAGTGGTAAAGAATTCTGAAAACAAATGAGAAGAGTGGACTTATTTCGTATGAGTTTCGACTTACAATACTCCATGAGACTTTCGGAGGTGGAAATGCATTCGGCATCGGACATTCGGCAATCAAAGGTCTTCCCAAATATGGGGTGTATGGCTGCAATTTCAAATCGTTACTAGAGCTTCCGTTTTTTAAGTGGTTAAATCATTAATTTTCGACCGTTTGGCCTGAATAGATAGGCCAAAATGAATTTAATCCCCAAGGAACATAAAAATCGACAAAATGTGACATTAAAATTGTTGAATGTAACCTTGACATAAGAAATTTTGGCCGAATTGCGCTTGTTTATATTTCAAAAAATTGTTTGACGAAAAATGGTCAGAAATTACCCTCAAACGGATGGGAGAACTTTCTGAAATATCATCAACATAAGCGATTTTAAGCTGATAAACTTCGCCAAACTTCATATCATGATTCCTTCGGCACCAATAAGTTCCTTCGTCTTCTGTTACGAATATGAATGATAGAAAAAAGCTTAAAGCGAAAAAATCGAAACCTTTCGAGACATTGAATATTGTCAAAAATCCGACTTGCGGCATTTTCTCTTCATATCCTTTGCTCTGATTGCGATCCATGTAGATTGCATTCGCGTGACTGAAACGGATTCATTTCATTTTGACAAAAAAGTGGAAATCGAATACCTCGAAACATTTGCAACAGGTATCGCATTTTTGAACCACGTCGAAGCACTTTTTTCAGGTTCTGTTATGCACACATCGCACATAAAAGCTGTCGTCGAACCGAGAGGTACTAATCGTTCAGAAGGTGCCTTTTTTGGGGTTGTGGTGTGGTGAATACTCGCTGAAAAATGAAATCAAATAAATTGAATTTCCAAAAAATTCATTTGAAAAAATATGTTTCCAATGACCAAATTTACGTTAAACAACGTGCTTATGCGTTCACCTGGAGTGTCGTTGCCTGAATTTCTATTTACGGAACATTTTACGCAAAAATGTCAGTATTTTTTCGAATATTATTCCTCACTTTTAATTAAACAAGACGTCAAATGTGGGGCTCTGAGATCACAGACAGCCACAGTAACGAAAGAAACAGTCAGATATCGAGAAAAGGCAAGAAAAACAGCCATAGGCCGATAGGTTAGGGTTCAATACAGAGAAAATTTAAAAAAAAATGATGATAATTTTCGATTCAAAATAGTCTTTTAATATTTTCTCTGTATTTAGTAAGTCCATTAAGTAAAAATTCAGATTTTCATTTGCTAAATAATAAATGAAAAACCTCCCACATTTTTTGCTCTTATCAAGTTAAAAGAAATAGAATTAATTTAAAATTGCCAATATTCATGTTTGTTTATTTTGGTTTCGCAATTTTTCGCAGTTGCAAAATGCTTTATATCATGAATTGAAATCTCAAAATAGCTCTTCCCCCAATTTCTGCAAAAAATGTGTTGATGTGCATAAACGCGCGGCCGATTTGACCGGAGGGCCAATTCCTGCATTTTAATCGTGTGAGATGAGATTTGGGCGAGAATGTTTGTAGCCACTTAACGCTTCCTCTGCCCCCCCCCCTCTAATTATAACCACTTTTCATCATCGCCACCCACCAACCAAAACCAGTAGGCACCCCATAATTTTCGGATCAATCCTTCTCCCCCTCTTTTAGTTCGGGTTTTTTTCTTCGACTGACCTGAAAATTGGACGATGACGACGACGAGCATCAATTGTCGGCGGAGTCGGCGCATTGTCTGAAACGAGACGGCATCGATATTTAATAAAGGAGGAGCGGTAGCAGCTGAACACAAGGGTGCTTGAGTTGAAGAGACAATGAATAATGAACACCGAAATACACGAGAGGCGGTGAAATACTGTAAAAGGGAAGAATGGGGGAAGGGGGCGGTCAAGATGGGCAGGGCAGGAGATAAATCTTCAGGTCTCATCTGTCATCTCCGATGCTAATCTGCACATTTTTCGTGTTCATTTACCTACCAGCCGATACGGGTTGGTGTCAATTCGGCGCCGCCACGGAGATAAATGTAGGCAGCGAGGAAGAGAGGGAAGAAGAGCGGTGAGTGGGGGAGGCATTAGGAATTCTATCTTGAGAATTTTTAATGCAGCCCCCGTGTTTTTTTTTTTTAATTGTGTGTTGTCGAGACATCTTCGAAAGCTAATATTGAAAACCATCTGCCGACAACTCGCTGGATCGCGTCCATCTGTTGCTCGACGTCACCTAATGAGCACCGATGGCACGCTCATTTCTAGAGCAACACACTATAAAAATTTTACGAGCCTCTCTAAAGTTTACGATGGTCATAAGTTCAACAATCTACTATGCAGTATCAAACTATAAGGAATAAAATCTGATGAAGGAAAAACAATTGGAAAATAAGGGAAACGAAGAGCAGGCGAAATGAGAAAAAAAAACTAGGAGGAGGCGAATTGTTGTTGTTTCCGCGTCGCCAAGTTAATAGGAGAAGAAAAAAAGAACGAAAGGGTTAAAGGCCAAAAATGGGCATTGTTGTTTATATTATTATTATTATTATTATTATTCAGAGTGAAAGTTTTCAGTAGTAAATAGCTGTAGGTGAGAGGGACGATCCAATTGGATCAGCATGTATGCAGGCATCATTTGTGTCAATTGAAAACCGAATCCAATTAGATCATATCCGCCCGGGTTCTACAAGCTTCGCGTCGGTCTCGTCGAATCGCACACTATTATTCAACGCGCGATATTTTTATGATCTACGCGTTTATTACTGTAGTTGCTTGCTTGTTTTGCATGAATTGCGCGGTCGGTGTCGCGTGTTATTTCTTTACCCCTCATTTCCGAAATGTGTATTCAAATGTGAAGTTGTCAAAATGAATTGGTTTACATGCGACTATCGGAACTTGAAATCAAGAGCCTTGAGATGTACGATGTGTTCAGTTCAAGCTTCTCGTCAAACCTGAATCTCCACAGTCAAAATTCGACTCAATTACTACATTTACTGGCCACCTTCAATAGAGAAAAAAATTGGAAAAAATGTCAAAACTTTTTTGGAAGAGGTCTTGACGCGAAGAACCTTCAACATTTTCTTTTATCGTCGTAAATCTACATATTTAAAGAAAACACTGAAACTAAATCAATTTCGCTTTACAATCAACTCTCATTTTGATTTTAGCACAACTTTACACAATCTTGCCTTAAAGGGGGGTGTGGGTGGAATGGGCCGATGAAGACGAATGAAATTGCGAGCGAGGGTTCTTCGATCAAGGTGAGAAACATCATTTCAAGAGATCGTCACTAGCAAAAATATTGCGAACGTCTGGGAAATGTGTAGTAAACCAAGAGGAAACGAAATAAAACATAAGTGGGGGGCGGGGCTTAAGGCGTCGGCTGCCGTTTGCCTCCGAGGCTGCTGATGTTTTTTTTTTAATTGGTTTTCGCACCTAACACAAAATGCAACCAGTTGGAAAATTACTCCTCGAGAGTGTGGACAATAACAGAAGAATCGGAATTCATTGGGCGAGGGGTGAATGAACCGTCAATATTAATCGGGGTGTGGGTCTCGACGCGAATTGTCGGTTTCTCACAACTCCAATACAAGTTTATAGTATTTTTACAACAATATGAAACAACAATATGAATTTCGGGACCCTCGGAGGACAACAAGCAGTGTCCCTTTAAATAATAAATCTCACAATTTTGTTAAAACGGAATTAATTGAAATTTTGTCGAATTTCCGTTTCGAGACTTCTTTCTAATTTGTGAAGTGAGATATCGTGAGCAAAAAAAGAATGCACATGTACTCTCAAACAAGTGACCTGAAGCTCATTCGTTATGAGACCCTGAACTCAACGATGAGACGAATAAGTGGCGGGATAAGGCGACTCTTGAAGAGGCAATACAAAATGCGACAGATGAGTCGAAAAACTTTTTAAAATTGCATGGAATCGCATTGAATATTCAGCGCCGGAATTGCGTGTACATTGCCGGCTTCCAACTCCAACTATGGATGCGCGCGAGCGAATTGTGACACGAGAAACACATTCTCACATTCGCCTCCCCCCCCCCCTAATGGCCGAGGTATTTTGTTACTATCGCATGTGTGCGAGCTCGCCGAGGCTCCGATTGATTTATAATCGAAAAGCGGAGTCAATTAAAACAAATTTATTAGTTCACACTAAGAGCCGCCAAACGTCCGCAGATGTGAGATTCCAATAACAACCATCAAATTGTCGGCAGCTGTTGAAGCTAACAACTCATTTTTTTTCTTCTATAAGCCGGGGAAGGAAAAAAATTCTCAAAATCGAAGTGGCTGAATACGTTTGTTTATAAACACAAAATTTGTCTCAATTCTAGCTCGACAACTTTTGAAGAAGCGAGATCGAGACCGACTGCGCAATTGGTGGTGCATGGTGTTGTAATGCAAGGGCGGCGCCGAGGACGAGCACACAACATAACAATATGAATGGCACACTTGGGAGGCCTTCTTTTTTTTTGGTTCGTCTCTTGCGTTGCCACCAGATGGGCGTGTCGAATTGCGTGCTCGCGGATTAGATGGCCCCCGAAATAAACAAGCGACGAAACAGTTCGATCCGGGGGAGCTCGCCAGTCTCCTAATTGGGCGATGGGGCACACCGTGCTTTTTTGTTTTTGAGGGGGATCGCCGACCGGCAGGTGTCAATTGGCACTTGATGCTCGCCGCGCAAAGAATGCTGAACCTTTCATGCGACGAACAATATCCAATAATTACTCTGCTGGTGGACTAATCCAGTGGCGTCGGCTCACTTTTTCGTCGCACCCAAAATTTTTTTTCATTGTTAGTTGTCGATGATGAGCCGGCGGACGAACATCGTCCAACCTGACCCTCGGTGTGTATTACACACAAAATGGATTATTGAGAATGGCGGCGGAGAACTCGGCGAGTTTGGGGGCCTCGGAGTGATTGATGTGCCACGTGTCTGGCAATATTCGAACCGCGTTCGCAACCAGTAACCGAATGGGTTTGATGGGCGAGCAAAAAAGCGAATCCAAAATCCATCTGAGATATCATTTTGACGGCGAGAAACAGCAATTCTGCCGTCCACTGGGACAATCCATCATTTTTCCGATAAACTTTTATCTATGAAGTGAGAAAAAACAAGAGTTGTGCATCTGCGGACAATTGTCGGGTTTCCATGTTATCATTTTTCTTCTATATTGATTTCATTGAATCGATCGAAGATTACTGTAACAATAGTTCGTGGACATTACACCGGAATTCCGGTGGTGAATGGGAATTGAATGGCTTGAGAGGCGTGAGCAAACTTGCGAATTGCACTTTGACCGAAAATGGGCCGAGAGAGGTCTAAACGAATATCGAAAGGCAGGTGCAACGAACCTTGCGCCTAATTTCGAGTTTCCCACACATTCTCTGGGGACCACTATAATAATAATAATAATAATAAATAATCAGAGTCCGCGCAGCACACAAACTATACAAATGTGTCAATATCGAAACAAAACGAGGGAGGGGGGACCCCGAGAAAAGGTTATTCATTCATGTCCTTGATGATGACTATTAACCAGTAAATGCTCGAGCCAGTGAATGGCAAATAAATCAAAAAAAAGGAGAGCGAGCCAACCGAGACAAATGTGTCACCATGTACGGACATTTGCAAACACGGTTTTTTCGCGCACACACACACACTCAGACACACCGTTTTTACGGGTTGTTGCACGTTCGCAGATGGTCTGACGGGAAATTTGCGAATTTTGATGCGAAATGACAGCTTAAAGAAATTGAATTGAAATGGGATGGATGGGTGGCGAAACCTTCTGCCACCACCACCACCAACGAAAAATCCGCCATTGAAGAGACTTTTGTTTAGTTTTTCTAGGGAAAATTGTTAAGAATCTACAAATTTCAACCAAAAAATAAATTCGATTTTGATGGACGAACTTTTTCTCGTTCGCGGACTCATTTGGAAGTCCGTTCCTTAAAAACAAAGAATCGCAAAATACGAAAAATTAGGTAGAGGTGTACGCCTTTAAGGTTTGCTTACTTTTTTATCTAGTAAAACAACACTAATAATTTCGCGCCAAGACTTTTACCATTGTTGCTTTGCCATTTAGCCAGTTTTTCACAGTCGCGCGACACCGATTATGGTTGGCATCTCAATTTTAAAAATAATGAATCGGCGAACGCATTACAGCCAGAGAAAATCAAAATGATAATTCAATGAATTTGTCCGCAGATGTGAATCGACATTTCTTTAAAATTGGGATGTTATATCGATCTTTACAACTATTAATTTAAAAGAATGGATGCTAGAAAATTGACTCGTAGGCGAAATCTTTTAGCAGCTATTAATTCATTTTCTGTAATTTATATCTCACCCTTGAACTGCTTAAAAACCATTCTCGGAAAAAAAACAAGAGAAGAAACAAATTGATAAAATAATCGCTCGGAATGAAAACATCGGCATCTACGTGCTACGATAATTTTTCGGAAAATCTTGCCGAAATTCGAAATCGAAAACGAATGAGTTTGAGCATCGTCGTGGGTTTGTCGAATTTCGTAAAAGTTTGCGAAACGTTTCGAACAACAATTTGCCTAATGTGATTAGAGTTGTGGATGTCTTGAAGAGAACGCGCGACGGGCTCATTTGAAACAAAAACCGACGCAAATTTTGGATGGAGTTGTTCGCGAACTTGCCGCTTCAAATTGTTTCGCAAATTTTGTGAAAAGTCTGAAAAATGGCGGGGTCTTTGAATTTAGTGCAAATTTAAATTTTTCGTTGACTGAATATTAAATGCGCGTACACTATAATGCAATGTACGTAGTTTTGCGCTGCACCGTGTCGAATTGGCACATAGCCAATCATTTTTTTAATTTCATTCAGTCGTTTTGACGTCGTCAAAACTATGAGTTTTCAATTTATAGACCTTTTTTTAAGTTTCATGAGCTCGTTAAATAAATTTATGCTCGAGAAACCTTTTATGGCCAAATTCGGCGCTATTTGAAAAATGAACAATCTACCTAAAATTAAAAAAAAAAACAAGTGCAAAAAATGCCGACTTTCAATTTTTTTTTTCGAATTTCTATGCATTCTTAAATTGTCGACATTTTGAGTGTTTGAAATCGAATTGTTCTCAAATATCGCATAATTCAAATTGTTTGGCAATCAAGAGTATAAACATGCAGGCGGTTGGTTGGGAAATAATAATTAGAAATTCCATAGCCAGGATTTAGGCAGCAGCGCGAACGGAAATTGAAATGCGCCGATAGAGTGGGCCGCACCTAGCAAGTTTGGCCGGCTCTCGCCCCCCTGGAGACGAGCTCATTAAGATGATGGAAGTCGGCGATGATGATGATGATGATGATGATGCTTCTAGTAGTTTGTAGTTCCGAGGGGCTGCGGGAAATTGAGCACGACGACGGCGGAGCGGCGCGATGATTGCTCATCGGATTGAAATGCGAGTGGACACCTCATTTGCATTGGCATTGCCTTCAGAATTATGCGAGTTTGATTGGCCGTTGCGCAACTCGGTTAGATGCAAACAATTTTCGCGCGAAAACGAGCTCGCGCTACTTATCAAAATCATATAGTCAAAAATTTGAGGGATTGGTAAATCATTTGAATTGCCGTCTTGGGTTTCGTATGGAAAACTCTTAAAAACGATTTTTGTGTAATTCAACAACCATAATGTGGAAAAGCGTAACTTTTAAGGAATCTTGAGTATTTTTATTGGGAACAGAATTGTCAAATAACGAGAACGAGCCCATTTCGTTTTTTAGAGTACTGTAAATGTGAAAAGTCCGCAAACACCAACATTTATTAATTCAGAATTGTCATTTATTTGGTAGGGAGCAGTGTGTTTCATGATCAATCTTTGTCGAAATCGTAGCTTTGCTGGCTTTCGCGTTCTGCAAAAAGCCTATTTCATACGGGTACTTGAAATGAAGTGTTCCACACTGTCTGAACCTACCCATTGAACATTAAATGTTCTTAGAAATTATAGTTTTTTTTTAAATAATATGCAGCTACCAGAATCAGTCTCCATAATATCAAGCTCATTTTCTGTCTTTAATCAATTATTTCATATATTATTCGCAAAAAAGTTTTTCTTCATTTTTCGAATTCAGTTATTTTTAGGGCACTTTGAAGAGTTTTCAAAATTCGCAAAATATTTTTAGATACGGTAATTAAAGGCACACACCGGTGTTTTTTGAGTTGAGTCTTGCAGAGACCGATTCTGGTAGCCGTTTTTAGAAACAGACTAACTGATATTTTTATATGTAGTTGGCGTTTGACTTCGTTGTGGTCTCGCACAGACTAACTAATTATTTTGCATTTTAGAGAGCAATAATTTTTTTGTAAATTTTCAATTTCACTGATATCTAAGTAGTATTCAAGGAAATACCAAATTCAACAAGAAAAAATAAAATTTTCACGAGTGGGGAGACCATTTGGAAAAGCGCACCGCGTAAATCTACCCGCGTACAGCAGTCGCCGGACACTAACTATACAGATATTGAAAACAATAGAAAAATTGGCTAAATGCCAAAAAAAACCCAATAACAGTTGTCTTGGTGCAAAATTAAAAGAATAAAAAGCACTCGCCTTTAATTCATTTGGCATTTGGTCAAGTTTCGGCAGTCGCGCGACGTCAACAATACAATTTTAAGAAAAATAATCACAATTTTTTGTTCTATCAATTATCTTACAATGCAAAAAATGTATTGATTCGGCAATTTTTTCTTCGTTTTTTGCTGCATTACATTCTCAAAAAAACAACGCGAAAAGCAAGAAAATCTCATTTTAGCTAAAAATTGGTCAATTCTCATTAAAAAAAAGTGTCAACTCAAAAGAATGAATTACTTATGACGTACTGTAACTGCAACAATATCGGACAAGGCAGGCGAGGAAGACGATTCCAAGCAGAATAGCGGTGCCAGCGAGAGACGTCAGAAACCAAGTCTAAGGTTGCTACCAGCAATTAAAGCAATTTCAATTCAACAACGTACCTGCACATGATCGCAGCAGTACATTTGAGCCCCACCGCAACACGTGTAGTAGATGAATGTATTGTCTGTAATCGTCGTCAAGACTCATTAGCTCAATGATCGCTTACCCGGCGGACAGGAGCTCACCGCGTTCTCCATATTCGGACAATGCAATCGCGACATGTTGCTCACAAATTCGGTGGCATTCTCAGCAATCACCTCGGACAGCGTCCAAACAACGAGTAGAACTAGTTGCGGCATATAAAACGAGAAGCGGAAAAACGTTGATGGGCACGGCGACACACTAAAACCAATCGACTCCTACTACAACACATATTACCTTGTCACAAAAAAAGGAAAAGAAATATGAGACACACTCACATCCTCTCTTTCAAGCCGAACGATGCCAATTACAGATATTGGCCAAATTCGAATGGGGGCATGCCTGTCCGAATCCACTCAACGCCTTTTTTTTTTCACCGTCTCATCCTCCAACCAATTTCAAATGCGCACTTCTCATTGCAATACCATGCACTCATCCAATGCGTCTATTTAAATTTCATTCGAATGTGAAAGAAACAATGAAATTACAATAAATGTTGCTATCTAGAAACAAACAATTTTATGGAAACTCGACGAAAATTCAGTTGAATAAAAGATTAGGGGGTTTATTTGGAAATACAATGCGACTTGAATAACAACATTGACGCCGTTTCCCCAAAGTTGGCGGCAACGCGAATTCTTGTCTAAAAACCTTTAAACGATGGAATACACTAAATTTATTGCTGGTTGGTGGCGGCCTTGATCAAAGCTTCGGCAACCTTAAAGGAATGTATTAATAGATTCATATATCAGAATAATGTTGAATACCTCAGCACGGATTTGAGCTTCAGCACGAGCGGCTTCGCTTCCTTCTCCAGATTGTCTTTGAGCCGCGTCCAATTCAGCGCGAGCAACCTAAAAAATTATAGTCAATCATTGTAAGAAATGCTACAGATTAAGAGTTATAAATCCGACCTACTATTTTACGAATTATAATATTCTCTATTTCACATAAGTTTACCGAAATTATATCTTTTTTGTCATGTTACCAGATAGTTCGAAATCTTGTTAGCACCGTGACAACGTGTAATTATCGAGAAACCAGTATTTGAAACGCGTAATAGTGCAAAAACATCATTACCGATTTAAGCGTCAAACAACAAAACCACTTAACTAAATTGCCTATGTCTCTCTTGTTTTTTTGAGGGACAAACTTGCAATTTTCGGATCTCGTCGCAAACGGGAGATCTATGGTGGAGCATCTTTCGAAAAAAATATTTTCCTACCGATTCATCGATATCTTCAATCTTTACAACCTCCTCAGCAAGAACTTGGCACGATCCGTCAATGTTGACCGAAAGGGTTCCAGAGGAAACGAAAACGCGCTCAACGTTTCCTGAAACAAAAAATTAAAACGTTGAACGTATTAACAGATTTACCGTCGCTCTTGGTGACCTGAACAACTCCTGGCTTCAAGACTCCGATGGTTGGGACGTGGTTAGCGAGAACACCAACAACTCCAGCCAAAGTTGGGACATCAACCTGCTTGACGACCTCATTAGAGAAAAAAGCCTAAATTAATTATTTGATTATACATAAGGTACGTAATAATAATTACAGTGTCTGGAGAAGCGAAGGTAAGACGAAGCTCTTCTGGATTGGCGTTCTTGGCTGGAGCAGCAGCGGCGGCGGCGTAGCCTCTGCGAGCAACGGTCGAGAATCGCTGGATAGTACGAGCCAACATGTTACCCTCTGCAAATATTTTAAATTTATATCTCAAATCAATATTGGAAAAACGTAGCGAAATGGCGAAAAAATAAAAATATCTGTGTCCGCTCATAAGTTTATGAGTAGTTTGAGAAATCTATTCCTAATTAGCAATATGTGTGATCAATAAAGTAAACCCTTATAGAAAAGTAAGAATTTATTGAATTTAATTTAAAATCGCGTGGTGGCAGAAATTTTTAAAAAATAGGAAAGTCTCGAAATTTCGAATTTTTTTAAGGTTTCGATAAAATCTTCATAACACACGAAAAAAAAAAAACATTTTATATTTCATTTTAATACGTTTTGCTTAATAAAACTCGACCAACACACGTGAAAAATAGGCGAATAACTGGTTTAGAAAATGAAAATTGCATAAAATCGAGATCGCCCGTCAATGCGGTGGAGCGCGATTGCATCAAACATTTTCTAGGCCACGGTCACCACTGCATCACATCTGAAACTGTTGTTATTTTTCCTTTTCATTCATGTTTATTCATTTTTGACGCTTTTTCGTCTTTTCTCACAAAATACCATTTTAATAAAATTTTCAATTTCAACGAAAGACATAGGACTACATTACAACTGGCTAAAAATTGATCTAAATGTGTTATTTAATTTCGAATGTGTTTTTCCCTTATTTTTCTTTAAATTTGAGCTCGACATGACGAATTATGAGGTGTAGTGAAGCCCTATCATACTACATATTTAATGTGATCGAAATTTCTTGAGATGAAAAATCAACTATTTTCAATCGGATTAAAATGTCTCATGTGTCATATTAAAATGTATCTCATTTCAAGACTTCTGATAAAAAGTTGTAAGTGAAATCGAAAGCAGTGAAAGTGATATTGCATCGTCAGCATTCTTGTAATCATACTCAAATAAGAAAATTTGAAGATTTTTTCCGGAAGCTCGAAATTTTATGACCAAAAACGTCCCCAATTTAAAAATCATCATCGTGTACAAAATTGATGAATAATGCCCAATTTTTCACAGCGTATCAGTCCGTTTTTCTGCAAAATTTATGGCTAAATGGGACATTTTGCAGCTTTATTCGTCATAGCTCCAAACGTATCGAATAATTACACGTGACACACCGATAAGAAACTGATCTAGCCGAAAAAAAGGTTGAGCGATAACCGGCAAAATGTCAGAGGATTACGTCGGGTCATTCTGAAAGTTGCGATAAAATGACCAACGTAACAATCAAAGGAGACGTCCCCCAAATTTCAGAATTTCTTCATTTTAAGCCGACGGAAATCGAATTTTTTTTGACAAAGCATAGGTCAATTACTAATCCGCGACTTTTCTAAACGATGTTAATGCGCATTTCCTTCCGGCAATGTCTCATATCGTAAAATCTGCAAATCTTTCGATTCAACTTGAATTTGCGAGCTTCAAAATGAAAATCTAACACATTTCGGAGATAATTTATGTACCAACAAATCATTTAAAAAAATAATTCCAAAAATATGGGTTCACTAACTTCTTCACATTCAATTTGAGGTTCCCGATTCACTTTTTTTCAAAGTTTCAAGAAAATTCGCGTTTATCATTTATTCAAAGAGTCAGAAATATTATTTTTATTTTTGCCTTATTTTTGGTTGATGAGTGTCCAATCCACTAAATAATTTAAGTGGATAAACCACTTTGATTTAAAACCAGCAATTTTTTTTGAAAATAAATAATTTGGCACGTTCTATTCAAATTTCGGCAGACATATTTTATACCACACATCTTCCAAAATAAATTTTTTTCAGAAATCACGCTTCCAATTGGAATTGAAACTAATAGTCGTTGTGCGATTACCTACATTCCATCCGAGTAAACGCTGAACGTATTCCTCATTGATTCGCGAAAACCCCCAGTCTAGACCAGTCTGGAAAAGAGAAACTCAATCAAAACGAAAAACGTGTTTATTTTGAATAATGGAGCCAAGTCTTGTGATATATCTGGAAGGATAATCTCGAAATCGTGATGACAATTTCATTTTACGCCAAAGCCCAATTCCAACCATCATTCCGGAACATTCGGCACAACGCCTACGATTTGTAATGTCTGATTCCAACCAAAAATCAACTTTCTCAATTCGCCACTTTTGATGACATCCAAACTATCATCATGATCGGCCGGTGAAGCAAGTGCACGGGAATTTCAAAAAAACGCGGAATGTGTTTTAAGATTGAAGAAAAATCAATGAAATATCATAAAAGATTCTTTCTAGGATTAGAACCATTAATAGCTGTGGACTACTTTCAAGGCGGTTCTTCAAATTTGCATTTAAACAGTGGGAAATATGGGTACCGTTCTCTGAATAACCTGCGAATCAAACTCGCGTGAATCGGAGCAGGTGCTCGTTTCTTATGTTGTAATTGTAATATCCAATAATCGTAATTTTTAAGACGACGAGAAGTGGAAATTATCTTAAAAAAAGTAAAGGATTCCCTAAGCTTCTCTTCATGATTAAATTTGGAAAAAAGCAGAAAAAATTGAGACTTACATTGAAGACAAAGGAAAATTTTAAAAAAGTGCTTTATGAAATGGTGTCGTCCCAATGTTTCGAAAATATGTTTGACGAGCAACGAGAAATTATTATTTTATTTATTAATGTGTAATGAAATCCTAGTCGTATACGGTGAAAGCGCATTCGAGTTTAAAGATCGATGCGATCGTTTACGATTACAAACCATTTACCAGAGCATGACATCATCTGCATCCATATCTATTTTTATCTAGGCGATGTCTCCTTAATTTCAACTGATCTGGATTTCTTGATCACACTACGTAATGATGATGTCCAATTCGAGAATGAGATAGGGAATATTGTCGACGTTGCCCGAAAATTGTTTAATGCCAAAAAAAAAACAAAGGAGAGGTCTTAGTGCGCGAAACTATCTGTAGGCTCGTAAATTTACACCTTTAGTTTTGCCTCAAGATCACTTCCATTGTTTTTTTGGAGTTAACCAATATTTCGCAATTGCGAGACTTCGATAATAGATTGTTATAATCACATACAACATTTTTTGAAGAGTTAGTTGATATTTTAATTATTTTATTTTTTCGTCAATTTTCCAAGGAGAGCATTTCACTATGATTCAATAAAATCTGTTAGCCTATTCGGAATGAATCAAAATCAATTAACAACTCTACTATTGTCAGCGTCAAACGACTGAAGCGAATCCTTCAAATTCGCGAAATCAGTGTAGATTTAAATTTATCGTTGACTAAATATTAAATGCGCGTACGCTATAATGCAATGTACGTAGTCTTGCGTACTTCTCGCAGCCTCAAGGCGCATTGGCACATAGCCAATCATTTTTTTTTAATTTTGTCAATTCGTTTGACTTCGACAATATATATGAAGAGTAACAATCTAAATAAGCTTCAATTTTTCAAAAAGACTTTCGTAAATTTTTGGATATTTTTCAATAGTGACATGAGTGAATAAAGACCCATTTGGAACGAGTTAGTTCCCCCAAAAATTTTTACTAAAAAATCGGAAAACTAAAAACGAGTATTGCGAACGACGCATGCTCGTAAATCTACCCGCATACAAATGTCACAGCTATAATTTTAAAATTAAAAATTGCTTAAACTTTCGGGATCGCTTTTTGTGTAAGAATTACTTCCCTGCTGAAATTTGATGTTTCAGAAGTTTCACGAGTTTGAATCACGCGGGTGACTCTTCGTTTCCCTCGCTGTCTGCCGCCCTCTTATTCATGCGTGATGCCTCGCCGTCCGTTCGCGACAAGACCTGATTACCAAAAACATTTGTTATCTCTTTTTCCCAGACGTTCTCGTTCTTTTCAGCGAAGCAACATTTTGAACCCAATAGGTTTCAACGAAAAGAGCGAAAATCATCATTTCATGTGCATATTTTTGGGTGGTTCTTCACATTTTTCTTCTTCACATGACTTTCTTCCATCATCGCTCAGCAATTTGTGATTGATTCTCAAATTGTTTGTCCTCACAAACCCGGTAGTAGGTTGGCAACATATGTTTGAACAAAAAAATGATTCGAAAGAGAAACCAACAATCAAACAGGCGGCAGATTTAAAAATCTTTTTCTGGGTCACATGAAATCGAAAGCGTATCGAATTCCAGGCCGATTCACGTGTTTTCAAAATTTGTGTTGTGTGGTCTCGGTGTGATTTCGATGGGCATTTTGCCAATGTGACGTTGTTGGGCTCGTGGATTTCAAACTGGCGTCTGGAAATTTCAGCGCGTCGAACCCAGATTGATGAACAATTTTCAAAGCGTAAGATCACGAGAAAGATGTCTGGTGACACGATTGTTACAAAACAAAACGGCTCTCAACTTGGGTAGATTTACGAGGATGACGCAAATGCGCTCCATTGCATCATGTTTAGAATTGTCATCACGCTTTTAGCGGGTTTTGCAGATTTTTCTGCGAATCCTCGGCGTTGAAATTGATTAATGTCTCGCGATCGATGATCACTGTCCAGAAAATGAAATCATTGACTAGTCCTTTAAAAAAATTCGAACGGTCAATCGATTTCATGGAACAATTCAGTGAAAGTCTCCCTTGAAAGAAATGGCCATTCTAATATTGTCGGCTGAATTTCTAATTATGTTTTTTGCAAACGTTTGCTCATTTTTTTGAGTCAAATGGTTGATAAGGGTTTTTTTTCTGTAAACACCGGCAATGGTTTTGTTTACATGTCCTATTGCGATCAAAACAGGAAATCGTTGATTCGGAAAAAGAATCATTGAAATATCGTTGATAGGTGTTCGCCATAAATCACACCACTTATCAAAGCGACACCCAAAAATATCGGTTTGATGCGATTTTCCTCGCAAGTTTCGAAATCGTCTACGACGCCGCGTCGGTCATTTTGTGAGAGCACAAATCGAAATTCCACTGATTAATTTAAAGCCGTCTCATCAGACGGCATTCAACCCCTGACACGACAGGAAAAAATTTTCTGCCGCCGGTTTACGCGAGTTGTAATTTTTTTCCATCGCTAATCTGATTTAATGATAAAGAGAATTGTTTAATGTTACGAAACGAGCCGAAGCGAATGTACTTGACGATGGACACTCGTTGCGAGACCATTTCGCATTTCATCATCATTGTAGTCTACACAGAAATCGAAATCTGCGAATCTCTCTGATATCGGAATTATTTTAGTAAACGATTTGGGAAAACAAAAAAGAATTAATTTCTCCTGAATATCCCTCGAATTTACCTACATGCGATGTTTGTGTGTTGATGCAAGATTAGCACGATTAATGCAAATTAAAATTGGATATCTCGGATAATGACCGTCCTTTTTCTAATCGACTTTTACCCACATTATGAGGCGCTTTTTCATGAATTTATGTCAAATTTATCCATATTGTTGAAAACAAAATGAGGATTTTGAATTTATTGTGGTTTATCGAAGAATTATGAAAAACCATGAGGCTTAGTTTAAGGGGCACCGCTTCCGTGATAATCAACACAAATATCGAAATCCATTAATAGCGAAGATTTCAAATGATCCACGAAAGATCTTGGATGTCAAATGGAATGGATTATTTTTGGTGCGACATCATGGAAAAAAGACATATGAAGTTGTGCCTTTGAGGAAAATTCGTGAACTCTTACAAAAATTTGTGGCCGCGAAATTCGCGGCCATCAAAGCTAGTCCGTCGCGTTGAATTGACACCAAGCAACCATTTTGACTAATTTAAACGTGATTATTAGATTTTCTATTATAATGCTGTGCAGATTTTGGAATGAAAATTACGAAAAAATTGGTCCTACTAGTTTTTCACTGGGTTTTAAATTTTTTTTGATGATTTTTTGGTGTCATTATTTTCCAGTTCCGTCAATAACAATATGGAGATAATGGAGATTACAATGAGTTTTGAAAAATACTAATCATTGTAAAATGCTTTAGAAAAGATGGATGATGGTCTGAAATTTGGAGCATATCAAAGTCGGGACATAATATGTGAAAATGTGAACATTTCATTTCAAAAAAAGAAAAATATTCGACGGAGGATTTTAAATTTTGAAAGGGTCTGGTACCATTCCATTGCTAAAAATGAAAAAAATGTAGAAAATAATGAGGAAAACAGTTTCGACAAAAAAAAAACTCGAAAGATTTTCGAATGGTGAATTTGAATTTTGACCGGACTTACAAATACAGAATCTGCGCCTAATATTACAGTATAATCTGTATTTGTGCGTCTTGTGTTGGCACCGACCCTTTAAAAATTTAAAATCCTCCGTCGAATATTCTTCTTTTTTTTTGAAAATGATATTTTCCCATAATTTCACAAATATTATGTCTCGACTTTGCTATCCTCCAAATTACAGGCCAACATCATCCATGACTCTTCTAAACCATTTTACGACGATTAGTTTTTTCCAGACTCATTGTAATCTCCAAGCTTTGAGATAAGCTTAAATCTCCAGTTATTAAATTATTTTTAGTTTTTTCCATGTTTGAACTCAAAAAAATAGCGAATCAATTTTCTACATGGTACTATGCAGATTTTGCAACAAAAAAACTCAAAAATCCGGTAAAAATCCAAAATACCCAAAAACTAGTTTTTTTTTGTTTTTCGAGTTTTCATTCTAAAATCTTTAATGTAGTAAATTCATGATGAATATAGGTAGGCGGAGAATGGTGAATTTCGAATCTATTTTTACGAAAATCTACTGGGTTGATTTACTAATGAGAGACAACAGAAATGGAGAGAGTGCAGACGCGAAATGCCTCTTCGCTACGCGATATCGGCAAGACCTCGAGCGCCTTTAATACAATTGCTATACTGTTCGAGATTTCGCTTCGTTCTTACCGTCTTGGTTCAAAGGCGCATGCTCGTATTTCTACCCAAAAGAAGATCAGCCGTCGATGTTCGCTAAATTCTCGTTCGTTTCAACTCGCTCTCGATTTATTTGATAAATGTGCGTCCTTGAATTTGTAACATTTAATCGAAACAATCAAAAATCGTTTTCGTTGAAAATGAATGAATATCACCCAAAAAAAAGGATAACTCGCTTTCACATTTTATCAATCTTGGTGGGAGAAGGGATACGATGAAGGTCGATAAAAATATCTTATTCTAAACGGTCGAATCAACTGACGAAAACCGGAAAGAACTAAAAAATTCTTGAATCTGCAGACAATTAAAGGATCATTATTTTTGCAATTTAGTAGCGCGCCATATAGGGAAATATAAATAGAAAAATAAAAATAATAAAAAATAGAGAAAATTTTTAACAAAAATAATAATATCCCTTTCTACTTCTATTTTTTTCTGGATTGTCCCTTCAAAATTTGTGCGTGATTTCCAAAAAGTCACAAAGATTAAAATTATTCATCAAAGTGTTCTATTCATGCAAACAAATGCCGTTTTCCTAAAAAGCTTTTCACCTTTTTTTTGTTTCCTAATAAGATCAAAATGTCGGTTCTGATGCAAATATTAGACAATAGGAAATCAGAAAAACAGTTGCGAGTTCACCTTTTGCGATAAAATTGTACCTAAAGGAGCATTGCACTCAAAGAACGATCACACCTGTCTGTTAGCCAAGTCATCTACGGACAATCTTGCGGGAAATGCAGTAACTGTCAGCTTGTTATTTTACATGAAATTTGATGGGAATTTTCAAAACTTTTTCCACATTATCAAAGAGGATCTTTTTCAACGCAAGCTGATTTTTTTAAAGAAGAAAAAAGTTACAGCTTCCCATCTTGAAAGCATCATTGTGTTAAGCTAACAGACATTGCAGATTTCAAGAAGCACAAGGAAATTTAGGTTCAGCGGATTCACATTTATTCTGGAATTTGATCGAGACGCTATTCCAAGTCTGCCATAGGTTGAAGTCAATATTGGACTAGATTTTATGGCCGTGAATTATTCGGCCGCCGCCAAAAGGCCATTGATTTCCAACAAAGTGTGGAAGACAAATGAAAGAACGAAATTTCGTGATGGGACCAATGTTCAAATATTCTCTTCCACAAGCCTTCGTGAGCTCAAATCATTCGAATTCGAATAGTCGAGAATCTGTTCTCTGGCTTTTAACTTATTAAATTGGAATGTCACGATTCCCTTCGAAGAAGCCACCCGTCATTATTTTATGTTTAACCTTTTTTGTCTCAAAACCGGTTCTAATCGATTTTAAAAGGCTGTAAATCCAGGTCAAAACCCGTTTCTCTTGATAACCAAATGAAAAAGAAAAACACTGAAACTGATATTAATATCATTTTTTGCCTATGCAAAAATGTAGGAAGTAATCTAGACTAAGCTACAATCAATTTTTTAATTGTAGCAAGTGCTCTGACGATAAATTATAACAGAGCTGAATATGATTGATAGCGTTTCTCATATAGGTAACATTGAATTGCAGCTACTTCCTTTTTCGGACAGTCGGGATCCTGAGCATAGATCGCCGGCGGCGCGTTCGCATCCGCAACCACGTGGTGGTAGGCCTCCCAGAAATTTTCCCACGCCCCGCCCATCCGATTTCGTGCGTCCTGGTTAGCAATGGTTTGAGATGCAGAGAGATGGCATCATTGTGTGTCTCGTCTCCGACCACACTCGTTGATGGGAAGCGAATGGGCGTGGCCGCCGAATGGGCGGGGCGTCGTTTCACCGGGCGTCGTTTTCCACGAGAACTGACCAGAAGCAACCCCCAAGCAAGCAGCAAGCAAGTCGGTTTTTTTCGCAACCCCTGCGCCTTTGTGCACACTTTGTGCATACCAAATCGCATGTATCATATTCCGCTCTACAGTTTCGGCGACGACAAGACCCCAGCAGACGTCGTGATGCGATTCCAGCGCACACCGCCGAAGTCCGAATACAATCGGTTTGGGCAGTTCCGCAAGCGGCTCCTGAAGTAATCCAGCTGATCGATCGATCCCAATTATTATTACTGTATATAGCTGTACATATTCTATTTATGGAATCCGGCGATCTCAACCAAAACTGGACAATGTACATATGTGAAGAGCACCATTGATGATGAAGAGCAAGTTTTACGATGAATTTAATTAGACCCCCCCCCTCCCAAATTTTTGTACAAAAACTCCTCTCCCCTTTTGTTTATTGCTTTACCCATATTTGTATATGTTAATAAGAATCATAGAAACAAGTAATAAATCATTATTCATTTAAAATGATCAACACCGCAAAAAAAAGAGAGATGAAGATAAAGAATTTTTGACCGTCGGCGACATCGCCTCGCGTTGTCACATGGTTTGTCGGAAATGCAAGACTGCAAATAATCGACGGCCGATATTGGTTTCGCTGGTCTCGGTTATTCCGAGACGCTGACATTCATTTATTTTTTTTTCTGAACAGTTTTGATGGGTGATTTGAATCCGACAAGGAAACAGGCAAGGCGACAGAAATCGGTTTTGACAAGGGCAAGGAGACCTCCGACGAAGACGGCGACGACATTTATCAGGTGTTGATCCCGAGGTGATTTGATCTGTAAAACGACATGTAGCCAATGAATTGACGATTCCATTTTTGGAAACAGGTGAAGCAAATCGACGAAGCAAAACTTCTTCTCACGTGCGTCTCTTCAATGGTTTCAAACATGTTTGTCGCGGGCAGGATTCGGTTTAAACGAGGCGGCGTTCAATTGAAATGGAAACCGTTTGAAGATTCTAGGCGTCTTAATGCGCTTCTGAAAGTTTCGCGAAAATGAATCGCGTTGATTTGTTTCGTTTCTTTTTGAGAATCTCAAGAGTTCCCATTCGACTCCCTGGAACCGATCGATATGAATAAAACAAAACGGCCGCCACGAAATGCTCTGGCATTTCCATGGCGTTCGCCGAAAATATCTGTCCTGCACAATTAATTAATTTCAATTTCAAATCTTATTAGAAGTGAGTAATTCATTTGCGGCAAATGCCGCGCGATGTCTCACTTGATTTCCGAAGTTTCTATTTCGATGAGTTTGTACACATATTATGAGTCTTTGTCTAATCCGTTTGTTTTCATCTGACATCGACATGCGAATCACACACCTTGTTTTAAACATTTGCACTGAACCACCGAATCGCGGTAGCTTCTTTTCTTGACAGCACTTCGACCACCGGATGCCCAGTCAAACATATCAAAAATGGTTTTGGCAAGCTTATCGCTTCCCATAAGGATTAGTGAATTAAAATTTAACACGACCGAGAAAGTCAGCAAATTGTGATCAAACATCGAACTCTAGTGAAGTTCAACACATTTTTTTTCAAATAATCCCTTATTTGGAATTGATAACGTGGTCACTGAACCCAGAACTCGAAAGGAATTGAGGGAAATCGAAAACACGTCTACAGATTGAATTTTTTTTTAGCACTTGAGTATAGTCGGCGTCCGGTGACTGCTGTACGCGGGTAGATTTACGGGGATGCTCCCTTATTTTGGTTTCGCACGGTCTAACCGGCTATTTTGCATTTTATGGGTCGATTTGATAGTTTTTAAATCGAACGACTTTAGAAATTCCATGAAATGACAAACTCATCAAGAAAAATGAAGCAGTTCACGTGAAAACAGCAAAATAGGGGTTCACACGTGGCGAGACCTTTTCAAGGCGCATGCGCGTAAATCTACCCGCGTCGCCGGACGCCGATTATACTTGAGTTTAAAAAAATTGAAAACTGAAAATTGTCCGCAGCTGGGAATTGTTAATATGCAAAAAGTTTAAAAACTTATTGGAAATGTTTGAAAATGCTGACAATTGTTTTCCCGATATTCCAAAATTTAAAAAGAGAGGAAATTTTCGAATTCTTTGAATAGTTAGTCGGTACATTTCAAATTTTAAGCCACACATATTTTATTTGCCGATTAACTACGAGATACCACCGAGTTAGTTATACAAATTTTCAAAAAAAAAAATGGTCCGCTGTATAATTGTAATGTGAGTTCATCTCCAGCAATTTTTGATAATTTGAATGAGCAAGCCGCTCGCCTAAAAATTATCAAGCATTTCCTGTTTGCCATTCAACGATTGCACGCCGTTGACGATAATTTTCATTTATGATCGACCGGGACAAAGAGATGAGAATGAATTGACACGCAAATGTGTACAAATTATTTGAGAGACATGATTTCATATTAATTGGCCTGAATTTGTGTGCACTACGCAATTGCGACGCTACAATTCTATAATTGAGCGGAATTTTGGCGACGAAGAGACACCCCGAAGGAAGGGGCTCTCGATGATGGAAATCAAATCTGGAATCTAGTGAATTTTAGAAAAGAAAAAGCTCCTACTTTTTCAGCATTTTTTGACTAGAATTGTAGGTTTAGAAAACTAAAATTTACATTTTTTTCTTTGCTTTCCATCACAACTTTACCTTCTCATAACTGGTATCATGCTGAAACTCATCGCCCAATTTCTTGATGGTTTGGCTTTGAATCTGACCAATCGTGACGTAAATAATCTGTGGCGTGAGTTTCCTCACAAATCATTCACAAAAAGCCATTCCTCAATATTAATTATCCGCCACTAATCCATCGAACGGCCGGCTTTACAATACGTGGCTTTGACCAAAGTGAATTTTGTTAATTTCGATCTTTATCTTGAATTTTTTGATTTTTGAATTTCTCAGTTTTTCGCCATTGGATTTAATGAAAATTATGATATATTTCGAAAATTGTAATTAAAGGCGCATCACGTAAATCAACACAAAAAACGAAACAAGGCGTATTTTATGATAATTTCTAGATGACATTATTGAAAAACTGTTATAATCGCACATTCTGAAATATGTTGCAAATCAAGTCAGAAAAGCGATCACAAAATCCATTTGACACACTCACATGGTGACTAAATCGAAGCTTAATGCATGATTTCAACGTATTTCCGGATTTTGAGACATGTAAACAAGTGAGTAACAACAAAAGGAAAATTGAAGAAATGAATGGGACAATGACACGAAGGACAACTCGAAGAAGGTGCGAAAATAAATTTGCAAATGAAAAAAACAAGAAATTTGAGATTTTCGAGGTGGGGGTTTTGCAGATACAATTTAGAAAGTTATCGTGGAAAATGTTAATCGAATGACCTTTTGTGATATATTTAAAACAATAAAGCATATTTCATCAACGAAATTGAATCTTAACAGGAGAAATTTCAGTTTAAACATCTGCGGACATTTTTCGGGATGTTATCTCGTGAGTCTAACAACCGAAGTAATTCAAACATGGACACTTAGGTTCAGGGATCGGTATGTCCAGTTCTTTATTTATTTTTTGACAACCCCCTGATTAAAAAAACAATATAAGGTTTAATTGCATATATTTATAATTTTTTTTGAAACTGAAAATTTTTACTGGTACATTCTTTGGGCATCAATTAAAAATTTAGTTTTAATTTTCATTTTCTATTATCATTATCATCTTCTGAATATTTCTAATTGACTGTTTTAATTTGGCTGAAAAATAAATTTTCTCAAATTAATTACCGGCAAAAAAAGTTGGGTTTCGTAATGCCAAAAAAACTGAAAACTTAAATACGATTTGTTCGAAAACGGGAGACTTGTGCAGATAATGATTTTGATAGTTATTCTGTATTAGGGTCTAAAACGTGTGTGCCAAATTATATAGTCGGCGTCCGGCGACTGCTGTACGCGGGTAGATTTACGCGCATGCGCCTTGAAAAGGTCTCGCCACGCGTGAATGCTTATTTCGCTGTTTTCACGTGAAATGCTTCATTTTTCTTGATGAGCTTGGCTTTTCTTGGAATTTCTAATGTCGTTCGATTAAAAATTATCGAACCGGTCCATAATTTGAAATAACCTGTTAGTCCTTGCGAGACCACTTCGAAAGACGCATTACCGTAAATCTACCCGCGTACAGCAATCGCCGGACGCCGACTATAAATGTTTGTCAGATTCCGTATTACGTGTTCTTGAGTGATTTTTTAATTTCAAAAACCAGAACTTTCTTAAAGGAATAGATCAACGTAATTTTTCACATTTTATACATAAAATAAAAATTCGAATCTCGATCACCTTACGAAGCGAGTCCGACCATCTCATGGGAGGCTTTCCTTTTTGCCGCCACTAAGTTGTAACAGTAGTCCACCTTCCATCTGTTCTTCTAGCAACGTTTCCAGCCAGCCCAGGGTATCTCTTTTTTGCCTTGCCACAATCGCAAACTCATTGAGCAATACACACTAGTTAAACATTTTCTATAACCGACAAAATACCCTGCATTGATCAGAAAATTTAAATTAATATCAAACAATGTTTTTAATATTGATTCATCAATTGAAGTAGCTGCAATGCGGGAACATTCTCGTTATCAATCATTTTCAATGTTTCCTTTTTTGCTCCAAACGACATAGAAGATATATTGACAAAAAATGTAATTGAAAGAAAGGTTGTATGAGAAAAAAAGCAGATAGTGTAGAAAGAAAGAAATTAAAGACAACAAAAAAGGAAACAAATTTTGTACATGTGAAATGAATAATTTTTAGCCTTCTTCATAACGAAAAATACAGTGAATTGCAAGAAAAGTTAATGAAAATGAATGGGAAAGGAAACATTAGATTGCGACCCGAATTTAAAGCGACAATGATTAGATTCAATGATATCCTCTTGCTTCATTCTACTTTTCGAGTATTTGCTGATGTAAAAGGAACAGTATTCTTTTTTTTGGGAGGTGCGTAATGCATGCGTTACATATATCACAGGTGTACAGAGGTTTGTTCGGGTAGGCGATCGTCATTCTTCATTTTCTTGGCCCTCAAAAATCTCGTCGTTCTCATTCTCGTTCTGCAAAAATAAATGGTGAGAATTAATGATTATTCTTTTTTAAACATCTGCTTCCGTTTCGAAATATATTTAGTATATTTGCTATGAATAACAACTGTCATTTTCAGGCATTTACAAGATTTTCCGTTGCTCAATTTTCGTTTAAAAATATTCATTTTTTTTAATTTTTAGAAGACCATTTATAGGGCAAAAAAATTTATATAGAAAATTTCAATGCAGAAAATGTTCCCATTTTCAATTCTTTTTGCATTGGCCGTTTACAATTCAACATTTTGGTCTAGAAGCGATAAATCTTGATAATCAAAAATGATAGGATTTAAATTCTTTGCAGACTTTTCAATTTTTAAACTCCCTTTACCTCTTCATTGATGACAAACGCCGGATCATGAATCATGAAACGTGCTGGATCATCATTGATCTCTTCTTCGCCTGATGATCCATCATCCAGATCGACGACATTAATATTGGCCATGAACGGCTCACGATGTCGTCGAACCGCAGCAGCGGCCCGAGCTCGTCGCGCCGCGTTCAACATTTGCTCATTAGGTGGCACAACAATTTCCATGTTTCTTTGCGCGCGATTTGCGGCCTCGCGCGCACGATTTCGCACGTTGAGGCGTGGTGCCGCTGGATTCGCCGGCACGAGGTGGGCGTTGTCGCCTTGCGGCTGTAGTGGCGGATGCTGGAACAGCTGCTGCTGTTGAACTTGTTGCAGCACCTGCATTTGAGCCGCATTCTGTGAGCTGCCGTCGGCATTCAAGAAATCCCAAATAAGAATTGTATCGTCATGCGATGAAGAAACAATTTGGAAGTCATCGAATTGTAGACGGAATACTCTCCCAGTATGTTGCTGAACAACAAATTTAAATACAAACTAAAATCTCAAACATTCTTACCACCAACGAGCTGAGGCATATATCACTCTGCATGGATCTCGGATCCAAAGCAGCTTGAAGATCCCAAATTTTTATTTTTCTAAAAAAGACACACGAATAAATATCAAAAATCGCAAAAAATGAATCGAACCCATCGTATGCTCCAGAGACTATTCTCTTCTCATCAAATCGAATACACCTTACTAACTCTTCATGGCCTTCAAGAACCCGCAAGCAAACACCCGAATGGATATCCCATAATCTACAAAAATTAGCATAACCATTAAAACAATGAAATGTTTTACCTAATTGTGTTATCGCTTGATCCGGAGACAACTAGTCTTCCACGATATTGAAGACACGCGATTCCTCGTCGATGACCAGCAAGTGTTCGAACGAATTCAAGAGTATCCATAGACCATACCTGCAAAAATTTCAACATTCACCAAGATCGACAAAACGTGTTTTAAAGATAAATTATAATAATAGTGTGATGAACAGAAGGATCACAAAAATAGCAATAAAATTCCATTATACGTGTTAAAATCAGATTTTTCTCGAATTTTTTTTTATTTTTACCTAAAGCACATTTGCACAAAAAATCCAGAAAATCTACTAATAAAGGCTTCAGTCTAAATGCATTCAAGCCACATTTTGTTCCAATTTAACAATCATTTCTCATTTGAATCAAAGTTTAAAGATAATTTAAATTCCACTTCACGATCAGACAACTTTTTCTTGACTATTTGAAGAGTTCCGAAATTCAAAAAAGGGACATCCTTTGTTTGGAGATTTTAAAGAAAAAATGCCGCTTTCCTCATTATTCCACCCCAATTGACCTCATTTTCCTTCATTCTCACCTTAATCGTTCTGTCACCACTGGCGCTGACAATATATCGATCGTCGAAATCGACAACATTGACAGCTGCGCGATGTCCGACGAGCACTCGGCGAATATTGATTTCTCGCGGCGAAACCATATCCCAAACAGCGATTGATCGATCTTTCGAACTAGAATTTCTTTTTTGATACAATACATAAATTAAATAAGGAGAAACTAACCATGTGACCATAATTCCATTACTAAACCTCAAATGCAACACAGCCTCGCAATGGTGTATAAGAGTTTTCAGGCATTCGCCAGTTTCGACATCCCAGATTCGGACAGTGGCGTCCGATGATCCCGAAATGATGACACGACTGTCGTACTGAAGACACAGCACTGAACCAGTGTGCCCTGATAATACTTTACTGCAACTATTGTCCTTTCGGTCCCAAATCTGAAATTTTCCATATATGCATTTCTCGTCAAAACTCGTACTTTAATAGTGTTATCTCTCAATCCAGAAACAATTTTCTCATCGTCATATTGTAAACAGTAAACTCCTAAAATAATAAATATGTGAAAATTTGGAAACCAAAAAAAAACGAGGCAAACCTTTACTATTTTCCGACCTACAATTGATTCTGCTCATTTTATAATTACCCCGTCTCCAATTTATATCAATTGTATTGATATCACTAAGGATTTTTGGATATAACTTCCTAAAAATGCAATATATTGCAATTTTGTGACTAATCGGAAATAAGCTACCTATAAAACACATGAAGGAGCATTAAGGCTTCAAATTTTCCTTGATATGTTTGATAATCATATCCGTAGTTTTCGCAAATTCGCTGACATGCGAGTTCTCTGCTAATGTTCAAGAATCGATCCCTGCAAGAAAAATAAACAATCTTGTTGGTTTCAGTTTCGATTCAAAAGTGATTACCAATGCCGCTTCTCGCTGAGGCCTTTCCATAAAGCATCGGTTCGTACATTCTTCTCGAGCAGCTTTTTCCAATGCATTCCGCGCGCCAATGAGTACCTCCAACTGACGCTCACGTCTTCACACGCTTTCAGCGAGTTTGCATCAACGTTGAATAGAATCATTTCGGCGAGATTGGCTGAAAATGAACAATTTCGCGGTTATAAAAAGAATAGGCATTTGGTTTTTCAATTTTTTGCTCGAATACTAATAAATACGCACCCAAAATTAGGTGAATGCAATGCTCAACGCAAAACACGTCGAATGTGTCGTTGAATTCTCAAAACTACTTTCAAAGTTTCGCAGTTTTCGAATTTCGCGAAATAATTCACTAAACAATTTGAAAAAGTCGATTAAAAATAAATTTGTAGCCATAATAGTAGGTATGCTCAAAACTTTTGAATGTGTAGGAAAGTAATTGTTCTATATTTTCTATATTAAAATCTCATAGCTCTCAAATTCCAGAAAAATCTATTAAACTGCAAATTTCGACTTTAACTATCTTTCCCATTACGGAAGCATTCGTGTCCAATATTCGCTTATCAGGCCATTACGTCAATTCATCATATAAATAAATAATATTCACAGACAATTTCTATTAACTACTTGTCTCGTTCCCATTCAAAAAATCATAACAGCCATCCAGTGCAGGTGGCCTAAAAGTACAAATCGTTTTCGGGTGTCTGACCGCCAAGATAAATCAATAGTCTTTTTTCTCTCTTTCAAATAAGTAATAAAATAGTGAAAATTACCAGGGAGATTTGTAATAAAATCGCGCTTCAGCATTGGCCGAATGAAATGGTCAATATGTCCTAATTGATAATGATCCATGTCGATGACAGCTCTCTCGATGAAATCCACCTTCTCGCTGTTGCTCCATGTCGAGAATTTCTGCAATAATTTTTTTTTAATTTTGGTTTCGTTTAGATCGACAAAATTTTTGTTTAAAATCATTACGGTTCGTCGTCTAATAAGTTAACAAGAAAATTAAAATTTTCTCTCTCGCCCCACAACAGGTTACTGTGTCGAATTTAGAACTCATTTCAAAATTTAAAAAATGCATTTATAATGAAATATAAATAAGACATTTTTCAATAAATTTTCGTTTCTAAATGTTCTAATAAAATTACGATACCTTTTTCGTCGCGTCGAACATGGCAAATTTGATATTTCAATCAATAAAACTACACATACCTTAAGCACGTCGGGGGCGTCTTGCAAATATTCATCGGATAGCTTGTTATTGCCATCATCTCCATCCTCTTCGGTTAGTGATAAGCCCGCTAGCAGTTGGGTGGTTTTTTGCGAGGAAGCCATCGCTTACCTGCAATTTATCATATTGAATATGTGCGCACATAAATAAGAAAAATTATTAAAGATTGAGCGGTATTTTTTTGTTCAACTCGTCGCTGCTCTTAATTGGCGTTTAAAAATTTTAAAAATAATTTGAAATATTATCATGTGATTGACATGGTTAAGGGCAATTTTGTTTTAATTTTTTGACGGCGGCGACCGAGAGAAAAAAAAACTAGTTTCGAGGCGCGATTCAAACAGACACCGGACCGCAAGCACGCACAAAAAATCGATACATAAAGCTGAGACGGTACGCAAATAGGTTGTTGAGTGGAGAGGACAAAAATGGAGGGAATTATCATAAAACGGCACAAAGCAAAACGCGAACGATGTTCGTTGGATGACGACAAAAAAAAAAACACACACACGCAGGCATAGAGCACACGAACAAAAAACGCGATTTTGAAAAACGACAACTGAGAGCAATGAAGAGACGCAGACGCATAAGCGGGAAGAGCTCTCTTACCGTTTTCTGAATGAAAATTAGCCGCAACGCGAAAAGCGTACGCGCGACTAGGGTGCGTTTGCACACATGTTTCTTTGCTTCTCTCGCGAGCGACGCGTCGCGTCGCGACGACCCGTCCTTCCCCTCCGAAAAACCCCCACCAACACCACGGATTTCGCAACGCGTTTTGGTGTTGAAATAGGGCTACCAGTATTCGATGTAAGAAAAAATTGAACACCGTCAAATTTGGAAATGGATGTGGTTACTAACTTTTGGTTTTTCTATCTCGGATTTCGATAAACACGGAACCAAATGATCGTTTTTTGGCGCTACATCGTTTGTACATAGGAAATTTTGTTTTATTTATGGGCTTGTCACAAATATAAAAATCGCCCAGCTGCTATTGTGTCAACTTTGTAGTTCGACTGCCAAAAATAATTAATTCAATGCTTCATTTTTTTATGAAAAAAATTGTAGTTTGCAAAACAAATCGTGAATTGTAAAGAAAATGTTTTTTTTTTATTCTACTCGTTATTTCTATATCACAAACATTTCAGTCTTAAATTCTTCTTAAAAAATTTTACATATTTTCTATTGATAAAAAACATTTTACCTCATTAATCCGTTTTGCTAAAATATTATGCGCTTTAATACAAAATATTTCAAGAAAATCACAATATTGGGTAAAAACAACAGATAAAAAAATAAATCTGCAATAATTCGTAAATGTTGATTACGTACAATAAGGAACTACCGTAGCATGCAATAAAAGTAGAATATTCTTTTGATTCTATCGGTCGTTTTATAGTCAAATACTTCAATAAACGAAGGAATTCCCAAGAAACAAGATCATTGAGGAAATCCTCAAGACTTACGGGGCCGCGGGAATTCAACAGACCGAGAAAAGTTCGCATTAGGTATAGAAGACGATACATACTAATTAGCAGCAGCAAGAAAGGATTCTCGTTTGAACATCGTACACTCCAACCTTCAAGGTCATATGCGTATATAGCGTATTGTGAAAGTTCGCATGACACTTTTATAAACTTGATATTACTACAAAATGAACTCACTACTCTTTGTTGTGTGTTTCAATAGTGTTCGAACGTAAAGTTGGTAAAGAAATCGAAATTTATTTTAATAATCAAAACATTTTTGAATAGCCACACTTCAATAGTCGACCGACCAGACTTCGCTGTTCCATTTGGTACGAATAATTGTTCGATGATATTTCTTGATCATTTCCTCGGCGAGTCGCACATATTCCTCGCGGCATTTCTCACGAGTTTTTCCTGGAATTCGACCAAAACTGAGTACTTTTTTGATGGGAAAAGTGGAACCAATAAGCAGGAAGGTGAAAAATCAAATATCGAAATTAAAAGCAACTTTGGATTTCCTTTTTCGGTCACCAAGGCAAAACATTTCAGCACATCTGGATTCTTAATTTCGAAATTTTGGTCTTCTCGCAAAATCACGAAAGAAACTTCAAAAAATGGCTGGGTACATCGAAAATAAATCAACCGAGGCTTCCAGTAAGTCGTCGAAATTTTTAAATTTCTGTAATTTTCAGAGCAGATAGCATTTCTCTATTTGCGCGAAAACTATTTTCCTGTTGATTGAACTATTTCTTTATTTATATAAATCTTCAGAAGCAACTAAAGCCTTCTAGAAAGTGTGAAATCTTCCAGAAATCTCAACAAACCTTTTTGCGCCTTCCATGCCGCGTACTTCTTCATTCCAATTTCATCGCCAACAGGAACCGCTATAACCCCGAAATCGATTCAATTCATCATCGCGACACTCACGATAAATATCCTCGGTCGGAATATCACCATGCAACGCCTGTTTGTACAATCCGTACAATTTCATTTGTTCGCGTTCGGCCGGCGGAGATTTGAGGCGCCGCATTTCCTCGGCGGCGATCTCGAAAGTTAATCCAGTATGTTTCTATAAAACGCGACAACATTAATTCGCGAAAATCTAAGACCGAACAGATATGGACAAACCTTTTCCAATTCTGAAATAGGCATACTAGCAAATATGAGACATTCAGCGAAACATCCATCACTTTATAGTGCTCGAATTATTCAAATTGGCTCAAATTCCACACGATTGTACCAATTTTCTCGTTATTTAACATTTTTGCTCCTCGAATCATAAATAATTATGCTAATTTCGGCATTTTAAAATTGTTGGCAGTATTAACAAATCACGATTTCCTCATCCATACTGCGAATTCGTTGTCTGTGCAAACACAAGTTATTTTGAAAAAAAATTTATTAACTCTTTGAAATTATAATACAAAGAAACACTAAAAATGAACAATATTCGTGTACATTACGGGAGAGAAATGTTTAAATTAAAAGGCAATATCCCATGAGTTCGTGACTTTACGTAGTACCCCCGTATGCACACGTGTAAGCAATCGCAAGCAATTAGAAACCAAAAAAATCAGTTCCCATATTGAAACAGTTAACACCTAGATTTGTACTCGGCATATTTTAAACTTGATCCCAACCGATGTTATGTACAGTGAGATTCAGATTTTTGTGGACGGTCAGAAGCAAATTAACTGCCGAATTAGATTTGAACAACTATAAGTCAAAACCCAATTCTTAAAAATACACGCGTGATATGTATGAACGCGGTCGTGATGACTCAATGACTGATGCGACCAATGTCTGATAGATCGCAGCCTGATGCGTTTCATACGTGCGTCTTAAAGAGCGTGCGTTCTCCGTCAATTCGTTACACTGAAAATCCAAAAACTCTTCAAAATGATTCGCCTTCCTCTTACCATGAGCGCAACTTGACTTTGTCCTGAACGCAGCAGCTCCCTTTCTCGTTTCAATCGCTCAATATTAGCCATTTGAGCAGCAAGTTTCTTCTCTTGTTGCTTGTCTATCTACATTAGAAAAAAATCTCACCAGCTCAAATAAAGTAAACTTATCTCCTACACCAAAATTACATATCTACAAAACTCTATAAGCTTAAATCCTATAAAATATACAAAACACCATTCTCCACCTTATTTTTCCAAACGCGGAATCTCGACGCTGAAGACAATCTCTTGGCGCGTTTCAAATTTGTTGCTGAAAAGTAGAATAATAAGAACCAAGTCACGCTCCCATGGGAAATTCATGTTTCCCGTTCCCATAATGTACAATAAAAAATTAGTTTAAATCTCACCTGTCACTTTTCTAGTTCTTCTTCGTTCTCCAAGATAATTCCATTTACCAGATTTCTTTTTTCCCAGTTTTCGTGGGGAATTAGAGGTCGTCGATGGACTCGAAGACGCGCTAGACGATGAAGAGCTCGATGTTGATGGTGAGCAACTCCCATGCCTATCGTGAATAGTCGTGGCTTGATTGATTTCAACAACGATTAAATGCTGCGACATTACGATAAAACTCTACAAAAACATATTAGTAAAGGGTAACCCCTTAAAAGAAATAAATATTTGTTACGTAATAACGTATAAGGTAAGAATGTAATAAAAAAATATTTGATACCGGATTTATTCAACTAAAAACAACAAAATTTGAAAGATACACGCGAGGGAACATCAAACAACGGATTGGGAAACAGTATCAATGACGATCGAAATATCTGGTTCAAGCCTGTAAATATTAATACATTTTCAATCGATTTTAACCATTTCTACCTTCAAAAACAAATAACAACTGTCGGCATCCAGGTTGATCGATCATCTACATCACTTCAACGATTAAAAAACTGTATACAATAAAAAGGGATAAATAGGAAGATGTTTCAAAATAAAATGAATGCCCTAATGGTTAGTAAGGCCTCGTCAGGCGAGTTGCCTAAGTCCTCAGCCGGCATATTTATTTATAGAAAGGGTAATAAAGAAATCCTATCTACACACAAAATGTAATTTTAAAAAATGCTAAACTATCTTGAAACATCTTTACACGTAATACAATACATTGGTGAATAATTGTCTAATTAATCAAAAAAGGTTCAATAGACGCAAAGTCACCATTAAACAAATCCAAACTGGGGTCAATCTCTTCGTATTTGTTCTTGGCCTGTGTGCGTTTGTAAGAATTCTCGGCGCATTGCTTGCAAACCTCGATTGAAGTTCCATTCGTTCCAACATGCACGCAAACTCCGGCACCATTATTAGCGAATGAATTCAAGCCAGATGGAACGCTTCGCTCGGTCATTCTAGCCACGACGCTAGCAATTTGAGAATCTTGATCGATCACCTTACGAAGCTGTGCGATCTCATCGTTGGATTCCATAAGGGCTTTCTTCATGCGTTCGTTCTGCTCATGTAGAAGTCTGTTCTCTTCTTCCAGTTCCTTGTTACGCATCGTGGCCATGTGGAGCTCCGTTTTCTTCATCTCGCGATAGTTCCTCGCATAATTCGCTGTTTTCGAATTACTCGTTTTCTTCGAAGGTCTGCCACGCCTCGAGGTAACCACGGTGCTTGTAGGAGACTGAAAATGAAAAATAATTAATTCAACTTCTAATATTCGTAAAGCTCATGAAAAAATTAATCATGATAATATTCCACAGTGGGAAATCATGATTGAAAATCACTACTATCGAAATATACCATGGTCCTGTTCACAATCGATGAACAATTCTGAAAAAGTGGACATGACACTTAGAATTTCATTCCAATTTCACTTCTTACCGTATTCAGAGAAATTGCCAGCTACTCAAAATTATAAATATTCCCGAAAAATAAATTCTAGCGGGCAGTTCCTCTTTCGTTCAAAAAAGTGTTTAAAACTGTAATACTTACCTCAATTAAAGGTCCACTTCTGTATGGATCGTATCGATAATTCGGCAACTTTGGAGATGTAGTGGCTTCACGTTCAGAGGGCGAATATGTTGTGTGAGAACCTGGCCAAACGGGTTCTATGTTGGGCTTCCTCTCATCGTGCTCTTGCATAATGTCAACCGTCGCTGAACACGACTCACCAAAATAAGACATTAAGAGCTCGCGTTCGTAATCTGCGTTATGGAATATGACCGGATCCTCCGCCTTCAGAAACGGATAGTTGCTCTCGGTTTCGTCCAAAAGAGAGCAGAATTGCTCGTCTTCGGACCTGAAAGTCTGGCATCCCATCATTTTGTAGGAAACTGGAAGGCGGAACGAAACGAAAATCACAAAAAGCAGGAAAGATGGGGCCGAAATAGAAGAAAATTCGAACGGTAGGCGCTCGAATTTGATTGTGGTTGCTGTGTGAGAAAGGGCTGCAGCGGGAATTCTTTTCGAATTGTTTCGAAATTCGCTGCGCGCGTATTGCGTCGCGTGCCCCGTAAATCAACAAGCCTGCACATCAAACTAGCATTGGAACTTTGCCAGCCTTGCTTCTTTCGACTCTCCACCTAACACATACTCTCTCTTTCATATTATTTTGCGGTTCAAATTTTAAAAGTGCGTCTTCAGAGATTTTCATAAAATGCGGAACTCCAAAGGAAGACGAAATAATATTAAATCACCACCGACCACTGTATGCTACTGGTAGGCATTAATATGAATTAATCATCAATTAAAACGAATTAAAATAGGTTTTTCGATGAAATTAATTTTTAAAAATTTAGCAACGGAAAACGTGAACTGGGAAGTGTCGAAATAGTTTGTTCGCAATGTTTGAAGTGGTTCCATGGGCGCTGCCTCAAAGAATGTAACGAATTGTAAGTTTTAAAAAGTAATATATTCACAAAATTTAAAATTTGAATATCCAGGCAAAATAATGGAGTTCCGTTCATGATTTGCTATACGTTTACCTGCAAGGAATGTCGTCCGAGTTCAGAAGATTGGAAAGCTAAGAAAGCTGGTAAATTATATTTAATTTTCCTATGATTTTGTTTTTTTTTCAGAACTTGTTCATATGTGTGTTACTGTGTTCGCCTCGATGACCGCAGAAAAGTTAAAATGTGACGGAAAATTGTCGGCAGACACAATTCCAGAAGAATTGACGTTCTTTAGTTTAAAGGAGAAAATAATACCATATATGGATGAAAACTGGAATATGCTGACATCGATTAAAAAACGAGGAACTTGGCATCAAAACTTGGCCGCAACACTTCTCAAAGAGAAAAATCTTTTTGCGCAAGACGAAAACAATCCAGATCTGTTTGCACTCGCGGAACGAAATTTGACGTTACTTGGCCCATTACATGAAGCAGTCAAACATGTATGTTTTAACACTGTTTTTAATTGGGGTTTGCAACAGTTTGTGCAGATTGGAAAACGAGCTCCGGTCGAACGGGGGCCTCGAGAGGAGCGAGTAATTGAGCTACCGCCGATTGAGGGTCCGAAAACGAGAGGAGCAAGTAAACGAAGAAATGCTGAAGGTCCCGCTCCTTCGAAAAAACAAAAACTGTAAGTAAACATAGTTAAATATAACAAAAAAAGACAAATATATTAATTTAGAGCCTCCGATTATTCTTCTACAGCCATCGCTGGTAGTCAAATAGATATTCCGTACAGTAAAGATGGGTATAGATATTATTTCACAGAAAAGGATCCAAACGTCTTTGAAATGTAAACCAATATTCGTTTTGCTGAATTAAAAAGTTCATATTTAGAGCGCCTGTTGATGAAAAAACAACATTTGTGATTCCTCCAGAACAATATCGAATTGTAACTCATCCAATTGTTGCTATTTCGTCGAATGACCGAGCTTATCAGGTAAAAGAGAAAACAATTTAATTGTAATTCAAAATGAATTTACTTCGTTTTTTTAGTTGGGTCTTGAACAAAGTGTTGACGGTAACGAAAACCCTTGCTGGCTGGTTACCGGCCATGAAGGGTACGCAATGGCTCGCGCGACTCATGGAGTCACCAAAGGCACCTGGTATTTTGAAGTGAAGTTCGAGGAACAACCGGCTGAATCGCATATTCGTATCGGATGGAGTCAAGCATATGGTAAATTACATTTCTTTCAACAACTTCTGACTTTCTTTTTAGCTGCACTTCAAGCATGTGTTGGCTATAACAAATTTTCGTATGGGTGGAGATCGAAGCACGGAACGAAGTTCCACGACGCTCGAGGAAAAACGTACTTCAGGAAAGGTTTCAAGGTAAGATCAAAAATATGCTGTTTCAACGAATGCATTCAATTATTTTCAGGAAGGCGACGTTCTTGGATGCCTTATTCATCTTCCAACAGATTCGAATACAGGAGTGCCGCCTTCGACGAGTTCTGAGGAATATTTGCCACCTTCTCACAAAAATGCGACGCTGATTAGCTTTAAAAATAATTTATTCTTCGAAGTTCATGATGAAGCTGCGGAAAAGGCAAAACATCTGAAAGAACTGCCTGAAAGCAAGGTTTGTTTGTCGCTATTTTCTTACCAATGGTCGATTTTTGAAATTTAGATTGAATTCTTCCACAATGGAAAGTCATGTGGTGTTGCATTCGAGAATATTTATGGCGGCTGTTACTTCCCGGCAGTCTCACTATTTCATAGTAAGCTCTGTTTCTGGCATCTAAAATTTAATTTCCTCGTTCAGAAGCACGGGTTAATGTCAATTTTGGGCCCAAGTTTGTTAATTTACCTCAGGGAGCCAAAGGAATGCATCTACGGGCCGAAGAGCAGCAACATGAGCAAACTCTCAGCGATATTCTGCACCTGGTTGCAATGAAAACTTAATTAAATTATGTAATTAACCGATTTTTAAATTTTTTTGCGGGTTTTGAATATTTTTTATGTACGAAAATAATTTGAATTATAAATTGAATCAAAGTGTTTGATTATAAGTTAACTTTTTAAAGTTATAAATGTTAAACTCATTATTTAATTGTTATGGGTTAAAACCTGGAAAAAACATTACTTGAAAGAATGAGTTAAAGATTGTATTGAATGCTTAGATGCTCAGGTTAGCTTCGAAACGAACCCAATTCAGAATGGTTCATGTTGATGTTATAAAGGCGCTTGAGGTATTATAATATGCCAAGTGACTAGCGGAAAAATGAATTAAGGATAATTATATGTATGCGTTCCGAAACAATGAAAATGATACAAGAATTCTTGTGGTTGATCCCGTCGAGCCGAAGAAGCTTGAGCAATTTGCGGCGGAGAGAAAAGTAATACGCATTTCCTACATTTTTATGTATTGATGAATGCGGCCATAAAAAAAGAAAAAAAAATTGATTTTTCTATTTTTTTTTTGAAATAAAAATAATTCACATCAAGCCTTCCTAAGACAACAGAAGACAAAAATATATGAATTATTAGCTCAACATACAAGGAGCACTTGTAACGCATCATCATTGGGACCATGCTGGTGGCACTCCAGAGTTTCGCAAAATTCATCCTGACGCGAATGCTGTTCCGATTTTTGGCGGAGATACTCGGATTGAGAATGTTAGCACGCTTGTGAAGCACAATGAAGTTTATGATGTTGCTGGCATGAAGGTATTTCATAACGTCTTTTCTTTTTGGTATAGTAGTATTTGGGTTTAAGATCAAATGCCTTTCAACTCCATGTCATACCAGCGGACATATTTGCTATCATGTTACTTCAGATGATGGGCATGGAGTGGTTTTTACAGGAGATACCCTTTTTATTGCGGGATGCGGAAAGTTTTTTGAAGGTTTTGTTTTTTTTTTGCGAAAAAGTTTTTTTTCATTAAACCTTTAACTTTTAGGAACCGCTCCAGAAATGCACAGAAATTTGAATGATGTGCTTGCGAAACTTCCAGACGAGACAAAAGTGTACCCGGGACATGAATATACATTGAGCAATCTGAAATTCGCCAAGGAATGCGAGCCGAACAATAAAGTGACAATAATTAACAATGTCGAGCTGTAATCTGAAACGTTTTGAAGGATATTGAACAGAAATTGGCATGGTCCGCTGAGAAAAAAGCGAAAAAGGAAGTGACTGTGCCATCGACAATTGGAGAAGAGAAACGGATAAATCCGTTCATGAGAGTTGCAGCTTCCGAGGAAATTCGGAAGTTTATTGGAACGGAGGATATGATTGAAGGAATGAAACGCCTTCGTGAAGCCAAGAATAATTTCCGAGCTGATATTTAATTCGTAATTTTATTGTACATATACATGATGTGATTGTAGAGGGTAGCCGAATACTGTCTGATTATAAAAATATTTTACAGCAAATCTAATAAATCATGTTTCGAACACATTATGCTATTATACCAGCGTCAAATCGCAATATATATATATTTTTTAGAAATTGTCTTTAACATTGCGTTTGTCTTTAGAAATGAGTCAAGAGGATATCGCAACGGCGCAAGGCGCTGTTCTCGTCAAATCCTGTCAAGTTCCGGCAGGATCAATCCCAATCCGAGGATTCGACTTTGAATCTGAAGATGTCACAATTTCATCAATCCTCAAATCATATCTTAGCACTGGCTTCCAAGCTTCTCATCTTGCGATGGCTATTCAGGTTTCAAAGGAAAATTGGTTTTAAAAGAATCGCGTTCTTTTTTTTAGCAAGTTGACGAGATGTTGAATCTACGGGAGAAACGACTTCAGGATGGAGTTGATGCGACATTTCCATATCCAGAAAATAGGCGAAAAAGGAATTGCACAATTTTCTTAGGGTACACTTCGAATTTAGTAACAAGCGGTTTAAGAGAAGTAGGAAGAAAATTTGGCAGAATGAAACGGAAGAAATGCGTTTCAGACTCTTCGGTTCATTGTGAAGCACGATCTTGTGGATTGTATTGTCACTTCTGCTGGAGGAATTGAGGAAGACCTCATCAAATGTCTGAAACCGTCATACCTTGGAGCATTTACGATGGATGGAAAGACTTTGAGAAGTAATGGAATGAATAGAGCTGGAAATGTGCTCATTCCCAATGACAATTATTGCGCGTTCGAGGTTTTTTCTTTTCAATTTCCAGTTGTACCTGAGATATTGAATAATTTCAGGATTGGCTTAATCCCATCTTGGACGAATGTCTTAAAGAGCAAGAGAAAAATGGATTCAATTGGACTCCTTCTAAGCTCATCCAAAGGTTCAACTTTTTTTTTCATTTTTGAAAATTTTGTAATTTTTAGACTTGGCGAAAAAATCGACGACGAATCTTCCATATTATACTGGGCGGCCAAACATAAAATTCCAGTTTTCTGCCCGGCACTCACTGATGGATCCCTTGGTAAGCAAATGAATTCCTTCATTCCTTCTTGAAGTGCAAAGTATATTCTATTTTGTTTATTTGTTTTATGGAAAATGAAAAGTGCGCGGTGTTAATTTTTCAATTTTTCACGTTTATCAAGACATTGAGAATTTGGAAGAAATAATAACTGCATGTTTTTTTAGGAGATATGCTTTATTTCCACTCGGTTAAAAACTCACCTGGTCTTCGAGTCGACATTGTTGAAGACGTTCGTCATATTAACACGCTGGCTGTAAAAAGTGTGAAGACTGGATCGATTATTCTCGGCGGTGGTGTTGTCAAACATCACATCAACAATGCGAATTTGATGAGGAATGGATCTGATTTGACTGTCTTCATTAACACTGGACAGGTAAAATTTTTGAGTGTATGGAGGAGAATAGAGATAGCATTTGTATTCTTAGGAATTTGATGGCTCGGACTCTGGAGCTCAACCTGACGAAGCTGTGAGCTGGGGAAAAGTGAAACCAGGAACATCAGCCGTCAAAGTGCACGCCGAAGCGACGCTCGTGTTCCCACTCCTCGTCGCTGAGACATTTGCAAAGCGAATTCGAAAATGATCCCAATATTTGTTATTGTTTTTTTTGTTTCACATTCGTTGTTGTTGTGTTTACCGTTATTGTTAGTCACTTTCTTGATAAAGTCGTCACAAATATTTGCACGGCGAAATTTGGCAGCAAAAACTTGGCGGAATGGGATATTTATGAGAATCTATTGTATGCTTATCATAAATTTGATGAATCATCAAAGAATAGTATAAATTGAAGTATTCGGAATGGGTGCGTCTAGATTTCAACAACGCCATCTTTTACAATTTCAAAATTTCAGAATGATATTGACAATTTCCATTTTTGCTGGTTTGATTTCAACAATATCCGCGCAAGGATCATGTGTCCAATGTGCAACTCCGTACCTGAAAAATAATTGGGCAATCACATCTCTTCCGAAAATCCCCGCCAATTTAATATGGTCCGATAAGTAAGTTCTCGCGAAAATGTCTCGAAATCGTATTTTGATTATTAGCTGCCTAGCCGCGTCAGGAGATGATTTGAATGAAAAACAAGCGACTTGCACGAACAACTGCTTCGAAATGCTTCTTCCATTGGGTTAGTTGAAGCTTGATTCCAATCATTTTTTTTTGAATTTAGATGGCAATTATGAAGTCGTTCGCGGCTGCTTCGCTGATTTTGTGGGAACTGATGTGACTGAGGTTGAAGGCGAACATTGCGAAGCGAATGTTGTTACAAATTATGGTGCAGTCAAATATAGAACACAGACGTTCACTGCAGCATTTGTAAGGGAATTTTGGTATTCGTTTCAATATTTGTTGCTCACAGACAGCCATTCGCTACTGTAAAGCTAAAAGCGACGGAACTTGCAACAATGAACTTGTGAGCACTAAAGTGCACAACGACAAGATTGATAATTGCACCCCAGGTTTTCATCAGATTTCAACGAATATGTAATATCCCATGGAATTGTTTAGGGACAACGGTGACATGCAAGTCTTGCGGCGAATACGACGGAGTTGGTGATTGCTCAGCCTCAACGAAATCCACGTGCCAAGGCGTTTACTGCACGAAAACTGCTGGAAAATTGAATGGTAATATCTTAGGACTGAAAATCCTTTAAAAAATAGATAATTTTTAAGGTCATTGGTATGAAAGTCGCGGATGTGCTGGAATCAACCCATTCGGAAAAGATATTTGTCAATGGAATGATCAAGTATTCAACATTTCGACGGAAATCAATTCTCCGGACATTCCGTCGCGATCGAAACGATCCATCGCGCTCGGGTTCAGTGCGAACAAATGCATTTGCAAAGGTGAGCAAATCGTCCACCCATGGTATTTTGCTAAATTCGTCAAGATTTCACCGAGACTATGTGTAATCATAATCATTTCCAAATTTTCAGGCGAACTTTGTAATTCGACAAGCGCCACCTCAATCGCCGCCGCCATTCTCATCGCGTTGATCGCCTCGATTTTTTGATCTGCCTTACCGCCGCCATTCTATTTATTCAATTAATCTTTATAACTCGAGTGTTGTCAAATTTAATAGTGCCCGAGGAATGAAATAAAACGCGTGCCGAATGAAACAAAAAGAAACACGATTAATTATTGTCAATTGCAATGTGTTGTGCCGTTGGAAGGCCGGCATTCCTTTGCCATCTTCTTCTTCTTCTTCTTCTTTTTTCGTGTTGCGCTGTCATCCTTTCCCTTTTCATCGAAACTCCGCCCACTATGAGCTCAACCGAGCCATATACATATTTCATTGTTTGGGTTTGTTGTGTGTGACTAATGTCGCAATATGTTGCTTTTGATTTCGGACCCGACCAAATATGCATTAACTGCACCGAATTACGTCAAAGTGGTCGTTTGATTTTGGACGAGCAGAAAGAATGCCTTGATTTCTCCTTGAATGCTTGTTTATATGGTCCCCAACAATAATATCTCAAAGACGCTGATTGAACTACTAGCCCTATTTTTGGAAATCCAAGAATTGAAGAAAGATCTCTCAGAAACATTCCATACAAGAATAATCGTTGATAGTCTACGCTCGAATTTTTACAAATTTGATTTTTAGTTTCTATCGAATTTCAAGCAGCTGTTTTATGAGTTTTAATCAAAACTCGCCATCAAATAATTGTCCTAAAAAGATTTGAGCCAATCCAAATCTGAATATATTTTACACAAAATAGATTAAAAATTGAAATTCAATGCAAACATATTTGAAATGTTTCAATGATTTTTTTCCCATATTTGAGCAAACATTTGTTCGGCATTAAAACACACCTAATCCGGTCAATCGGCGGTTTTTTTTACTTTTCTCGTCTTTCGAATATTTCTAGTTAAATTCGCGTTTTGTTTTCGATAAAATCCAATTTATTTTTCAAGAGCCACCCCTTGCAAAGTGCATTGAAGTACTTAACCATTGTCAACCCAATTATCTTCTTTTTGACATTTTAGAGAAACGATATTTATGAACACATAATTGATCCGTTTAAGTCAACAATAATTAATATATTTATAATAATTATTTACTGCCTCTATGTTTTTTTTTAATAAATGATAGGGCTCTAAGATTTTTGGTTTTCACATCTTAAATTATATAATATGAGAGAATTCAAGAAATAAAACAAAAAAACAAATTGTACATTGAGTAATACGAAAATAATATAAATTATGCGCCTTTAAACTGATTTATAGCCTTATTTCCTGTAGAATTCTAGCATCGCAGCAAGACCAAATTTAAAGGTGCATTTTGTACCTAATAGACCCCCCCCCCTCTCTGTACTTGAGCCCATCATAGTAGAATTTTGATTGGCAACAATTTTGAAAATTTCCCGTCAAGACCCTTTCGTAAATATCCACCAACCATTGTTTCTCTTTTTTCTATCTCTTTTCTCTTTCCATACGATTATAAAATTCCGAGTAAGAGTAGAAATTGAAAGTTGCAATAAAACGAACATTTGAAATTTGAGGCGTTTGCCGAAATTAAAAAGGAAAAGTTTGCGCAATTGACGTCGCGAAACTTTTTTTTTTGAATTGGGCGCCAATTTACAAATAAGTAAAATAAAATATTCATAAAATTATCGCGGTTTTATGCAAAATGGGCACATAAAAACATCGCAGCTTAATTAATTCAATTTTTAGTCTAAGAAGAATCTGAAGAATCGCAATCGCACAATCGAAAACGCGTTGGTTAAAAATAATTAAATGTGTGCAATTTTGCGTGCGAGTGTATGAACCTTTTGAACATAACATAACTTGAGATTTAAAAAAAAGTTTCTTCGTAATTTTTGGACGGAATCAAATTTTAAATAAAAGAAAACTAAGAAAGTCGAATTAATGAATGCCATGACATCTAATTTCGCATATAGATTTCTTCATACGTCAAAATTCCTCATAAATTTCTACGAAAATCTCGCATTTTATTGTGATTTTCAAATTTTTTTTCAAAGCATTTTTTATAATGCTATTTTAATTGAACATCTCCCCCAATGGCGCAAAATTTGAACGACTATCTGAAAATTGACTTCAAAACAACAATTTTCTGTGTTATTTTTCCTGAATGAACAATTATTTATATTTTTTCAATTTTCAAAACTTCAAATCGGCATTTAAAAAAATATTTATAGTGTGTTACTGAGAAACGCTTCGCGCACAATTGGAATCTTCAAGACCCTACTCATTTTCAGCATTATGATCCTTTAAATAATTATTTCATTTATTTTAAAATTGCGCGATTGAATCGCGTTTATGCAGAATTTTCATTTAAAAAAATTTGTTGTAATTTTTTTTATACAGGGTGTCATTTAAGTTCCCGCACAACTTTGAAGGCATATATTTCTGAAACTAAAAGTCCAAATCAAACGAGACTCGAAATATTTTTTATCTATAGTATAACAAATAATTATCTATTAACTCTTTTTGATTCGGTCTCCTTTCGCAGCTATGACTTCACGGAGACGCTTCGTGTAGGATGTGACTGTGGTACGCAGGTATTCGATGGAAAGATTGTCCCATTCCACCAGTAATGTCTTCTTCAGAGCCTCTATACTTGAGTGGGGTTTTGCGTTGACCTTCTCCTGCAAGAGCCCATCACGGAAAAGTCAAGCGGGTTCAGGTCTGGGGAGCAATCAGACCATTCGGATGACTTGATGAAGTCGGGAAAATGGGTCTGGCACCACTCCTGAGTAGTTTTGGCAGTGTGGGCGGGTGCTCCGTCCTGTTAAAAAACCTATTTCTGCCCACCGAAATGCGTTTGGGTACAGGGCATCACATGCTTCTCCAAAATGTCCCGAACGTAGACTTCTTTGTTCACTTTCACCCCCTGATCCGCGAAAACCAGGGAGCACTTCCCGGTTGAGCAGATGGCACCGAAAACCATCACACTGGCAGGATGTGAGGCTGGATGATATGTTCTTCCTTTCTCAGAAGCTTGCTGGGATGTCTGGGCAAGTACTCGATGGTTTTGTGAGTTGAATGCCGCATCCACACTGAACAGCTTCTCATCGGAGAAGACAGTGACGAGGTGTTCTCCAGACCGCGTGCGAGCAAGAAGTCGTTTTGCTTTTTCGAAGCGTCTCTACTTGTTGGCGGCCGATAGAATTGCCGCTTTTTGGACACGATATGGGGTCAGTCCAAGCTTCGTTTTGACGATTTGTTCCAAAGCGAAGATGCTCATTTCCACGTCTGACGCCATCTTTCTCATGCTCCTGTGTGGGTTTCGCCTGATCTTCGATTTAACGGCGTTGAACTTCTGAGGAGTGGTTACCGAGACGAGTCTTCCTTATCTGGGACGGTCACTGGTCGTATTTAGTTCCTTGAAACGTTAGATGATGTCGTAAACCGTTCTAAGAGGCACACCGAGGCGTTGAATGATGTCTCTCAGGCTCACATTTTGCTTATGAAGTTCGATAATGGAAGCGCAATGGATGTTAGCCTTCGCCATTTCTCGGAAACACATCCGAATGAGGTGAAACTTGGAAAGTAAGTAAAATATACCTTATTTAACAAAAATAAATTGTATTGGTGCACGAAAAGTGCGACAGCCAAGCTCTTCATGGCGTCAAACTTTTGTGCGGGAACTTAAATGACACCCTGTAATAATCAACAAATTAAAATTGTTGATAATTGGACATGAAACGCACGAAATCTGTGATATTTAAACAAATTTGAAGAAATTTCTCATTTCGAAAATATTTTGGATACGGTGATTCAAGGCGTTTGTCATATTTCTGTGCTGAGTCTTGCAGCGACCGATTCTGGTATTATTGTATTTAGAAAGAAGTATTAAAAAGGTATTGAACGGATTACGGTAACTCGCTCTGTTACTCCAAATATGAGAATCTGCGACACCTGAACACTCTTTGTCATTCCCCAATAATCATTCATCTGCGGACACCTAGGTGATTAGATTTCATGTCCGCAGATGGACATATTTAATGAAAAGAAAACAAATCAGGTTTGCCCTTCCCGGAACAAGGAATGTTCAAGCTTAATTGTACACAAAACACATACATATATAAAATACATATTTCTTCTCATTTTTCCCATTTTCCTCACATCTTGCGAATGTGTATGAATTTCAGCGAGCAATGCTCCACAACTATTCGACAAACAATGGCGTATTCAGGAGATCACAAAGGTTTGTCGAATTTCGGTTTTAGTAGTTCAGCTTCTCAAATTACATCATCTATGTGTGTATGTGTGTGTTTTTTGTTGAGAAGGGAATGTGCATAATGTTTGATGGGCTGTGAAATGCGTTGGAGGGAAATGGGTCCTAAAGGGAAGAAAAGATTGTTGAAGATAATCGAGAACATGGAATTTCGTCGCGAGCGGGGACGGTCCATAACAAAATTCAAGCCAACTTCGTTTCCAGCACTCTCTGCGTCTCCCGCCGTTCATCATTAGGCTAGAGCGGATCCTTCGAAATTGTTGAGCCTTACGTAGATGCTCCTGTCATTTGTGTCAAATTTTCGGAGAATTGACATAGATTGAAATCTGTCATGTTCATTTTTCATGATTTCTTTTGTTTTTCGATTTATTTTGATTGTTTTCATAAATATCGAAAATTTGAAATGTCAATCATTTTCCCAAAAATTTTGCATTAAAATACAAAATTAAATGGTTAATAGGGCAAATTTGGTGAAATTTCTAACCACTTTTCCAAAAAAAAATTGAATTATTTCTAAAAATAGTCGAATCTCAATTGAAGCGGAACCCATTCCCTGCTTCTTTATTTGAGCTCTGATTAACATTTATGCAAAAGTGCGATTTTTTATTCTTTAAATTGCCGCCTCAGGTCTCGTATGGAAAATCTTTTAGGAGCCATTTTTACGTATTTTAACTGTCATAATATGAAGGAGCATAATTTTTTTAATGAATTTTAAGTACTTATATGCACAAGTGCCGGAATGACGAAGTATTTTTTATTGCGGGACCAATTGAATGGCAGCCCGCGCAATTCAAATTTCTCAATAACACTTTTTTTTAAAATTTAATGAATATTGTATGTAGATTGGCATGTGTGTGATATGCAGTCAAAATGTAAACTACATAGTGTGGGACCCGCTCAAATTTTTGCGCACCGCCCGTCTGTCATCGACAATATAAATTTTTTAAGGAGAAAAGGAGATAAAAAATTAAGATATAATAATAATAATAAATTTTGCCTTCTGTTTTAGAATTTTTGTAACTTTGCACACGTAAACTAGAGGGTCTTCCGGGTGTGTTCATAAAATTCCAGCACTGGGGGATTACAGGTTTACGTCTTTTGGCTCCCCGGATTGGCATCCAGGTGAAGCGGAGGGGCAACCCCTTGCCCAAATAGTTGCTGGCAATGGAAAATCACCTTGAATTTTCCCCATAACTCGTCTGTAACCGCCCAGTGCAGGCTGGAATTTTGCGAACACACTCAGAAGACCTTCTAGTTTATGTGTGCAAAGTTACAAAAAATTCCAAAACGGGGGGTAAAATGACTTCCCTTTTCAGGAATAAAACCCCTGAATATCGCGCTTCTCTCTCTTGATCCGATCCACCAGCGAATTCGAGGTTCTATCGCTGAGGATTGTATGTCAACTTGTACTTTCGCGAGTACATAATGGCATTTCAACTGACGCAATTCAAAAATCCGGATGACAGTGTGTGTGAAGACAACAACAATACGCCTAGCACTTGTATTGGCTCAATCATAAATTGCGTTTCGAAATGCGAATGCGACATCAAGCTAATCCCATAATTGGGTATTAAATATTTTGCATTTTCCAGGAAAGTGAGCAAGTTTAAAAAAAAAACAATCTGTGATCATTCAAACCGACCTATTTTATTCATCACAGGGCGGCACTTGTCCGTTATTTGATGATGGTGGATCATCACACCATTGGTGACGCATCAAGCCACAATTTTTTCACTTATAAAAATTAATAATTTTGAATTTTTTAATTAAAAAAAAAATAAAGCAAATGAAAAATTGCATGTCATGTAAGATATTTCTGAAATTCATCACCAATCAGTTTTCTGCAGAATGCGCCTTTAATTCTGGTTCTAACGATTCAAATTTGTAATCGCAGAGCAGCGAGCACCTTAAGTAATTGTGGACCATTGTATCGTATTCGAGGCGGTAGTTCAAATTTGAATTTAAACTGTTGAAATTTGTGTACTGCACTTCTGTTATATTTGTTAATCAAAGACACGACGATTGTCTTTCTTTCAAATTTCATTATCTTTGAACCCCCCACCCCCATCCCTTTAAAGACAAGTCTAGTCGAAATTTTATAGTAACGACTACCCCAATTGCAAACCGACTGAGCTGTCGTTGTTGTCAGTGACGTAGTAGCCTATTTTTCCAATGAATTTTCAGTCGTCCAACCATATTCAAAATGTGTCGATTTCCACTTTCAAATGCAAAGCTTCCTCGTTGTCGTTTCGTCTTGTTTTCTTGTGCTCAGTTTCGAATAGAAAAAAAAACTGTCGCATTTCTTCGAACCGCTCCCCCCCCCCCCCCGTCGTCGTTTGCTGCTCACTCAACCAGACTCAATTATTTCCACGCAATTTCTGCAAATATCCATTAGAGTAACAATAACAATAATAATAATAATAAGAGAAAAAAAAAGAAATAATGTGGCAAATATGAAAAATAATTAAAAGGAATTGCCGTACTTTTGGGGTGAGCACACACTTTCTCCCGCGTTTTTTTTAGAAAAAAAGTTTTGACTCAATTAGCTTCGTTCGCAGAAATTTGAGGCAACAAGGCAGCATCTATATTCTGCCTAAATTTTTTAAAGACGGAATACTTATTTATTTATTTATTTACAAATATTATTTGAAACCGTTGAACGTCCGCAGCTGGTTGCAGATCTTTTGAACTTCAAGTCCATTTAATTCAAAAAATCATCTTCAATCGTAATCAATTAATTATGCGCATAATTAAATGAATCACGAATATTTGCGTTATTCATCAAAATTTGTCATTCTCGAAAAAAAAGGAGAGGAAGACGAAGAATCGACGTCGTTTTTCAATATCGACAATTTATTTCTTCCAATTTGCCCCCGTCATTTTTTTTTCAGTGTCCGCAGTCCTTGCCAATCCGTGTCACCACCACGACGCCATTTGTCGAGGAGTCGTCCCGCAACTCTCTACGAACGTCAGAAGCACGGCGCAAGGGCATTGCCAAAAGTGAGTGGTTGTGGGAGGCGAGTGGAATGTTGGAACTGTTCAAGTCAGCGGTTATTTTTTCTTTTTGCTTTTTAGCAAACCTCTTTCAACACTCTTCAATTTCCTGAATCAAATGTTGGAATCTGAAAGCTTTTTTTCATTCCTGATGATTTGCTCCTTTCATGCGATTTACTGATTTTTGGCACTTCCTTTCACAAGATTTTTCCGAATCTGTTGAACTGTCGGCGTCAAATGATTCAAGAGAGGCGGAGCCTTCGGGAAATTAGTGTAGATTTAAATTTTTCGTTGAATGAATATTAAATGCGCGTACACTATAATGCAATGTACGCAATCTCATTTCCTCGAGACTCATTGGCACGTAGCCAATAATTTTTTAAATTTCTTCAAATCGTTTGACTCCGACAATATTAGCTCCTTGTATTCTCAAATATTTCATGGCGCCTTTCTCAAAAAGTTTGCCAAATTGAATTTTTTTGGTGTTTTTATTTTTGTCTTAATTTTATCCCTATGGTCTTTTTTTGAAGTCAAAAAAATTGTTAATCCTTCCGAATTAATTCTGTCTAGGAGGAGGATCGAAAATCACAAAATGCTTTATAAATTAGCGCAATTAGGCGTTGAATTTCGACGTCTCGCATTTCTCGAGAAACACGCGCAGCTGAAAATCATCAGCAACACTGCAAATTGTCGGCACACGCATTTTGAGAAATTCGAACCTTTGTGTGCAATCGTTCCCACGGCCATTCGGTTGATGAGCGCTTCCAAATGTTTTTCGCGATTTCGACACCTTCCTGAAAGCGTCGATACGCTCGCTGTTTTTTCAAGGATTCGATCAAACCGCTTGATTTTCTGGAACAATATCGTCCGGAATTTGCAAATTTTCGACAAAAATGTTGATTTTCTTCTGAACATAGTCGCCAACTGCTAGGTTCCAATCATCGGAGCTCAATAGGAAAAGTTTGAGCTCCTTCTTCTCATCCGGCTTCAGAATCCCACACCCATGATCACTGATTTTGAATAGTTTGTGCTTAACTAGAGATTTTTTATTGAAAAAAAATTCGAAAGCTACCTTTACTTTGATTGTATAAACCACCGGAAATTTATCAATATTTTGAATCGAAAATTTCGCACAAATCGGTTTTTTATAGTTGCACTCGGAATAAAATGGGATCCACCTTTAAACGAACACCAATATTTCTTTTTTGGCATATTTTCACATAATATACCTTGGTCTCACAACGAGCTCATTGGTCGGAGATTTGCACACAATTTGAGCATCTTTGAGATCTTTCGCGTTTGAAATTACCATTTACGAGATTTGATTTTTCTAAAAATGCAAACTGACAATTTTCACGTGATTTTCTTATTTAAAAAAAAACGATCAAAATTTTAAAGGCGCATGGTCTCAATTGCATAATAATTGTGAGAAGTGTCAATCATGCTTTAAAAAAAACAGGTGAAAATCGAATTACAAATTTATTTATTTTCGATGGCAACAAAACAAGTCATTGTCGGGACCAAAATTCAGTTTTCTCCGGAATTGTAGGTCAAAAAGTGCACGAGGCTTTTGCTCGTCATTTCGGAATTAATTGGAATCAACAATTCCGTGCTTCTGCTTCCAATTTTTCCTTCCTCGTCGCCTCTGAAAACCAATTTTCGCCCTCATTTTTCGATGCCCATGATTATCGGCGTTTTTTTTTCCACTTCCGCACAACTCGAATTTTTTTCCGAGCGTAAACTCGAAAAAAAAACACTCAAAATTTATTGGGTAATTTTCGAAAATCGGGCCGATCAGAGTTCGCCAAATTGCCGGTCATTTTTTTTTGCTTGACGTATGTATTCATATTCATATTCTCACACATTGGTTCAAGCATCATTTCTGCCTCAATTCGAATTTGAATAAATAATTCTTGAAAAGGAAAAATTGCTCAAATATTTCAAGTAACAAAATCGAGCACTTCTGAAGAATCTCGACGCGAAATGTCCGCAGATTGTTTTAATTTTTTAATGTGCAAAAAGTCACAAAACCTCATTTAAATCGAATAAAAGATTTTGAGATATCATTTATATAAATTTCGATTTTTCTCAATCAACTTTAGAAATTCTTATAAGATTTTAGAATTTATTGAGACAATTTCAAATTTGCTCAATAAATTTTAGAAAATCTTATTAGATTAAACAAAAACATATTTTTAAGTTTATCAAGTCTCAGGAATTCTCCTAATTTTTTAGAATTTATTATTGAATATTTGATTCTCAAAATATTTGATTTGATTTGCCTGAGACTTCTTTTAAAGGTCGGCTCACTAAAATCGAATAATTCTTCATTTTTTTTCGCTTCAAGACCTAAAAGCCTATTCAATAGCTTTTCAATGATTGGAATGCTTCAGGTAACGTTCAATAACATGCAACAAGTCAATTCGTCTCCGAACTGTCTCTCTCCGCCGAGCATCTCCGCCGAGGTCGGCCAAATTGTATGAAACACAAAAAAATAGAAATTGTTCCAGATTTCGAAGGATGCATTGTTGGCGATTACTCAGAATGAGCGATGCTCACGTAGTGCACATTCATCGCCAAGATTCTCCGACAGCAATAGGTGAGATTCATTATATTTTTTTTTCTTCTTCAATCGATGAATTCATTCGCCGACCATTATTCAGCGGTTTTTCTCTCATCGAGTCCCCCCGCGAATATTTTTTTATTTAGAAATGACACATGTTGTTGGAATTTTTGATGAATGAATATCAAGTTGAAATTGAAGAGAAGGCGGCGTATTGTGTTACATGATGGATAGTTTTGCACAAAATTAATTATTATTTCTATTTTAAAATATGGGAAACATTATATTATGCTAGAAAAAAAACAATAATGGGAATTTTATTTAGATCCTTTGAAACCAAATTTTACAATTTTCTTCATTGTTCCAAAACAGAGAGAAAAATCCCAAGAAAAAGCAACTCTAAATTTCATTTTCACAGATGCTTCAGATTTCAGATGCTAGAAACGCGTAGAGTAGCAGATTTGAGTTTTTTGCGAGATTTTTTCATTTTCGTCGTTTTGTTGATAGGACAGAGACTTGGGGTCAAAGTCCACTTTTGGTGTACAGAAATGGAATGGCGAATTCAGAAAATTCGTGTCGTTTTCAGCTACTTCGAATTCTAATTTGAATTGAAAAAATATGTGATTGTCCATACAAAGGCGGATTAATTTGATACAAGTCCGTCGGAATTCTCGCCGCTTTTCAATTCGATAGACTTTCATTTGACTGCTTAATGCATTCAATTCCTTTACGTTTTCCTAATCCGGTTAACATTTATCAAGTGTCGGTTTAGGCGTCGCGAGTCCATTCTTCAAATGTTGAATCGTATATGGAAAAGCGATGAATGCACAAAGAGGCCGTGTGTGCAGAAATCGAAAACGTTGGATGTGCCGGCGTGAGTTTGACATTTTTTTTGACAAAAATTGATTGTATGAATATGGGAGGCCAATGGTTTCATTGGGCACATAATAAATTTGAGATTTTCCACATTTTTATTAGCGGCCTTGGGTTTCCAAAAAGCAATAGTGGCGGTCATGGCTTAAGGCAAAAATTGTAGATTTACATACTGTATTGTAAGCATGAGGATAGGTTAAAGGCGCACAGTGCTCACTAATATTTTTACCTACTCAGTGATAAAATCGCAAATTCGCCTCTACCAAGAAAATAAAAATATTTATTCAAAACGCTAAAAAGCGAATACCCTCGGTTAATGTTATTCATCGATGTTATTAATTCCTGTGAATTTGCTTCAAAATTTTCATACATTAATTCCATTCTGAAAACGTGTTCGCAAATATTATGGGTTTATGAATTCTGAGTAATTTGAAACAACAATTCCCCTTCTGATCGATTTTTAAAGTTTCTAGAAGAAAAATAAAAATTTTATAAATTTAATGGATTGATTATTTATGCACAGTGTCTTTTTTTAAAGATCACCTATAATTGGAGCCAGCTCATTTCAAATTTTTCCAAAAAAAAACCGCAAAACATACCGTATATTTGTTTTCTTAAATATTTCCGCAATATTCAATATACTTATTCCCGTTTTTTTTCGATTCCAAAAACTCACATAAAAAATACCATAAATTGAAATGAGATTTTTTCCAATCATCTTTCAACGAATCTCGTCAGAATTTCGAAAATCCCGAATGGAAAAAAAACATTGTTTGATTCATTATAACTAATGTGGTCCGTCCTACGATTTGTTGAATTATTCATCCGTTAAAAACACTCGTGTATTTTTTTATTTCTTCCATAACCATCTGAATCGTGTATTCGTTCGATTGAGTCATGGCGGCGTTCAGACTTCGAAAGGTCCAATCCAGGTGAGAATGGTTTTCGTGGCAATACATCATCACCAAAAATTGTGATGTACCTTTAAATGCAATATTTGAATGAACGCGATATTGTTCATCATTTTGAGAAGCGAAATTCGATCGAGCCAAGTGGGTTTCCTCTTGTGCTCACTTCGGTGTGAGAGTATTCGTCCAAGAAACCTTGTTGCTCTCTCAGCCGCGAAATAATAAAAAAAATACAACACAAGACGAAATATGAAAAAAAATCCAGCCCTTCTCCAGTTTCTCCCGCCCCCTTCAAAATAATGTTGGCCGCGTTTCGGAAAATCACCGAAAGGTTTGTCAAAAGCTCATCCGTTTCTCGAGTGGTTTACGTCGTCGTCTGACCTCTTTGAAAGCCGACAAGAGAAATAAGAGGTTTGGGGTGGGTGGGTTCGCCACTTCTCCCACCCCCCAAAAAAATTGGTGCGAATATCACTTTATGTTTGCGAAGTGATCAAACATTCCGCTCGACTCCAAATATGGCGACCAGGTCTCGACCATTGTAAGCTTATTCTTCTTATAAATCAAAAGTAGTAATGTTTCAGGATTTAAAAAAATTAAAAAGAAAAATTTGCATAATCGCTATCATGATCCTTTAAACTGCGACTTTTCAATGATTTCACTATTTCGATTATTCTTAAACGGTTAACATCAATAAAGCCATTTTAAAGGGACATATGACTATTTTTTTCAACTTTCAAATTTTCAATATTATATTTATATTATATAATTAAAATATATCAATAATACTGTTTTTTTCCAGAAACAATTAAAAATATTTTATTGCGCTGTGACTTTCAGTTGAATTTATTTTACAAAAAAACTGAGTAATGTATTAAAATGTTTAATTCATTATTAACTGAATAATGTATTAAACAGTTCAAAAATAGTCTTCTGAACATTTATTTGATATTTCAGTGAGCCGTTATCACGCCAATTGTCGCTTTCTGAGACCAACGTGAATCCGATCAGTCGAAGTGCGAAATTGAATCTGACACAAAAGCAGAAGAGATTGCTCAAGGTATTCGATTCAATCAAGAAATTCGAACAAATTGAATTTTCAGACATCGTTCGCTGCAATGAATTCTGGAGGAACTTTTCTGAAATTAATGGAGAAGATTTTTCGACGATTGGAGTCGAAATGCCCAGATATGAGGTAAATTTGTTCTCTTTTCAAGAATTCCTATTTTGAAAGAAATATTGAGAATTATTCTGTTCTTGTTTATGATTATGATTGCTGCGGACAATTCATGACTTTCGCCAATTATTTGATTTTAGATCAATATTTCTCACGACGGCTTTTGTCAAAGCTTTAAGCCGTGAGCGCTCATCACCTCCCCTCGTCAAAACTGAGCATGACCATTGTAAGTGCATGGTTAGCATATTCGAAAAGTTGATCGACAATTTGGATAATTTGCACGAGGAATTAGCGATTATAAGAGTTTACGGCGAAAAACATGCGCAGGTTTTGAAGCTTGAGTTATTTTTTTTTGAACATTTCAATTTCAGATGGGTGAAAGTGGATTTACCGGTACAATGATTGAGCATTTCGGAGAGATTGCTGTTTCTGTTATTGGGGCGCAGGTTTGATTGTTTTTCGATGAATCATTGAACAGAACGAAAATTGCAGGATGTTGTTAAATTCAATCATGAATCTGTGAAAGCATGGCGACTCTTATTAGCATGCATCACTGATGATATGAAGGTATTTTTTATTTTCGCAATTTTCGTTCTGAAATTCCTTTTTTAGGTTGGTTTCGACCGAATGACGAGAATCAAAGGCCGACGGGGAAGTTTGAAAATGAACGGAAGTGGTTAATGTCGTAATGTATGACGTTAAGTACGCAAACATGCGCAATGCTCAGCTACGTACAATACATCGCAATTGACATTATTTTTTCCATTTTTTTCATTTTTTTCTCTTGAAAGTAATTTATTATATTTCCTTCCTATATCTTTTAAGTTTCTGTAAATAGATACTTGAATTTTTTGTTTGTACGGGTGTAATATTTTCAACGAATAAAGTTGTTTATTGATAGGTCTATGCCTGGAACAAAGGGTGCTGCAAAAGTGATAGATCCGAAAGATATATCTCCCGCGTGGAAAATTTTGAAAATGGTTTGACGAAAAAGCAAGAAAAATGTATTATTAAACGTTTTAGAAGTTGAATGAAGAGAAACAGAATGAGGCTAGAGAGAATCCATTAATTGATGAAGATGGTTTCACAAAAGTTCTTTCAAAGGTAGATTTTAAAAGGGAATTTAAAATGCAAAATTATTTAGACTCAGAAAAAACGTTTAAATCGAAAAAGAAAGGCACAGGAAGCGCTTCAAAGTGCTGCGAAAGAAGCAGAAGCATCGAAAAAGGCATCTCATCATGATATACCAGTATTAATAAAGGACAATGAAAGGTTTTGATTTTTTGAATATTCAAAAATTCGCTAAACTTTTTAGAGGTGAACCTACGCATATTGTTGCAATCGATTGCGAATATGTTGGAGGTGGATCAGATGGAAAATCGGATATTCTGGCTAGGATTTCCATTGTCAATGACGTAGGAATTGAGGTTTTGCTTAAAAATTAGTTAATTTTTAGAAAGGGCATATAGTTTATGATAAATATGTGAAACCAACTGAAAAGGTGACCGACTACCGAACAGCAATCAGTGGAATTCGGCCAGATGATTTGAAAAAAGGAATTCCTTTTGACAAGGCTCAAACCGAGGTTTCAAAGCTTCTCGAAGGAAGAATTGTGGTTGGACACGCAGTTCATAACGATTTTCGAGTAAGTAAAATGTGGAAATATTTGAAAATAAACAAAAATTTAGGTTCTTAAACTGACGCATGGCCGAAAATTGACGAGAGATACAGCGAAATGCAGCATATTCAAGAATCGAATGGAGCAACATCGAGGGACTCCGTCGCTGAAGAGATTGGCGAAAGAAGTCCTAGGAATCGAAATTCAGAGAGGAGAACATGACTCGGTGAGTTTTTTTTTCCAGAGAAGAATTATTTTTAAATGTTTATATATTTCAAATTTTATCAGATTTTCAGATCACCGACGCCCGTGTTGCCCTCCGGTTATACGAAAGTGTCAAAAAGCAATGGGAAGCCGAACTCAAGCGATTCCGTAAATGAGCATTCCTTCATTGAGAATTGTTTAAAATTGTTATTTTTTATTGTTACTCTTTATTGTTACACGTTTATAAAAGATTTTTCCGAACTCCTCGCATAACTGTATTCAGTTTCTGCATGAGTAGAATATCGCCGCGAACCGAGAATTTCTTTGTCAAGAATCCTTGAACCGGTTCGATTTCGCCAAGGCAAAGCTTCACAAAGTTCTCATCTTCTACCTAAATTGAAAATTCTCAAATTTTAGAATATATTGAAAATTATACCGTAATGACCGAATTCGGTTTAACACTTGATGGTCCCGGTTTAACAGTTCCTGGGAAGCTGCGAAGATCGAATGCTGGACTTGGAAAATGAAAACGTATTGAAAATAAATTCAACTCACTGTAAACGAGTTTCTCGACTCCTCCCACAGTGATATGGAATTCGACAACTCCTTTGATCTTCTTCAGAGCATCGTGTTTGCCTTCAGCAATCTCAGTCGACATAATTTCAAAAAGGAAGTTTGACGAGAGCTCATCTTTGGTTACCATTTTGTGGGAAGCTCGAATGTTATCATCATAAGGTGTCTGTTTTTATATTGTATGAAAAATTTAAAAACAAATTATGGAATGCTGAGTGCATTTGAAGCGGTTGTTTCAATAGATAATAGTGCCTTCCTTCGATTGGTATTTTTGAGGAATGAGCGAATAAAATGACCAAAATACTATTCTGTAATTAAATTTGAATTAAAGATCCTTACAAAGGGCAATAAAAATAAAACATGTTCGATACTTTTGATCATCTGATGGCATTTTATTTGAAGTTTAGTCTTCTGGCGACGTCTCCAGTTTTATTGTTTCTTAAAATCTCCCAAAAACGCATACTTTACTTTGAAATCAGAAAAGAGCTGACGAGCAGGCTCAGAATTCCTTCTTCTATGATGAAATTTCTGTTTTAAAGAACATCGGAATAATCAAGAACCGACCCGTTAGATTGACACCAGGAACTGTATTACAAGTGAAGTTCAACATACTCAAATTCAAACGCATGGATGGAGATTTTGATTAGGAATATGACCAACTTCTATCGAAACTGATCCGAAAGAATAAAAATGTATTCGAAAAGCAATCGGAGATCAAATAGAAATTGGATTCGAAAATATCCAAAAACCGATAAGTTGTTCGGATTTCATTGATTTTATTTTGGCACAGAAAATTCTTGCTTTTTGAGTTTACAGAGAAATATATTTTATGTTCCTTATTTTATTCTACAACAAAACGTTCTATTCATGAAGTTGGCCATTCCAAACCATTTAATTAATCAATTTTGGGTTGACAGTAAAAATAAGTTTTGAAACGTCCTTTAAATGTTTATTGCCTCTACTTATTACTCTTGGAACAAATAAATGAAGACAAAATTATTTAATCAATGTTGCTCAACCGATTGAGCACGTTGATGAGCAGTTATTTCCGGCACTGGATTTTGAGCGGCCTTTTCGCGACGTCTCCGCCTCTCATTTCGAAGAGCTTGACCAATTATAGCCACTATATTCTGCATGAGGAGAAAGTCGCCACGAGCCACAAATTTTCTCATGATGAATGCTTGAACCGGATCCAAGTCGCCAGAGCAAATCTTCACGAAATTTTCATCTTCGATCTAAATCGTTTGAATAACTATTAGGGAATATAAAATAAAATTTACTGTCATCATCGCATCCGGTTTAGGTTCCAACTTTTCACGTTTAGCGATGCCTGGCCGAGATCGTAAATCGAATGCTGCAAATTAATGAATATTTGGAAATTTCCATCAAAAAACTCACTAAAAACCAATTTTTCGATGCCTTCAACCGTAATACGAATTTCAATAACTCCTTTGATCTTCTCAAGCGCTTCATTCTTGCCTTCTTCAATCTCAGAGCGCATAACTCCAAAAATGAAATTCGACGAGAGCTCTTTTGAGGGCATTTTACAAACAATGAGAATCATTATCAATTTACAGTTTACTGTTTGTCATTGTCTGCACAATATAATCAAAATATTTTAAAAACATCACATGGCGAAACTAAGTACATCATATTTGGACATTGATAATAATGAATAATAGAAACTATTGATTGGGTAATGGAAGTAGCTGATGACGCATTATATAATTATTAATACATCCCTCGCGAAGAAATTCGCGATCCAGATGAGAACGATAAGTGTGAGGAAAAAGCTGAAGACGAACCTCATATAAAAAATTGTCGATCGCCTGAAACGATACCGATTTAACCTATGGAATTTTCCTTTAAAAAAAGACATTTTCAACTTCCTTGTAGAACTCTCAATTTCTACGAATTCAATTCAATGGTTCCTATGAATGCTTCTTCATCAAAACAATTCTCAAAATTTGTTTCAAGTCCAGTGAACCATCAAACACGAATTCTGCATGTTCATTCATAAAAAGAAATTTCGCACACATGGGGTGTGATGAATAAAATGTAAAGATTTAAAAGTGAAAAGAGGGATTTTCAAACGTTCTTGAATGTTTTTGAATATAAATTTACTATATTCTGCGAAAATTTGAAATTACAAGTGAAATCCAAAAATACATTAGCCTCACTTAAATTCCGATTTAAATTCACCTTGAAACAAAACGCCGCTTCTCCTTTGCATCTGGTGCATCTTGTATCGAAACAAAGAATGCATTCGAACCTCAAAACATCACATTTATACACAAGCATTCTTTGTGACGACAACTTACGAATCTTCCAAATGATCGCAACCTTTCTTTTTCTTCGATCTTCCTGTTTTTCCTTTCTCGGCTTCCAACGACGGATCGGTGGTTTCAGGCGTATTCTGCCGCATTCCCGAACTATTCCGAATAAGTTCTCGTACTGCCGGACAAACATTCTCCTGTTCAAGGGGTCTCACATGCCGGAAGCCTTTAGTAGCATTCCTAAAATGATAATATAAAGCGCTATAATCAAGAAAGGAAAAATAACTTACGCTACAAAAGCTTGAGCAAAGAGTGCTCCGACATTTCCAGTGAGCTCTTGCGACACATCTGCTATCTTATTTACATTCATGAGACACACACAGAGTATTCTGGCAAGAATCTGAAAAAAAAAACGCTTTTTAAGTAGGAAATGAAAATTGATGAATAAAGCCTTATGATCTAAATGCACGTTGATTCCGGCCTCAATGAGATGGAGTAAAGTTGAGCCATCGAGTTGGGATAAACTCGTTTTCATAAGAAACCGTTCACAATTAGTCTGGAATAAGTCACATGACAAAAAAATGCAGCATAAAGATAGAGATATTCCATAGCGTTTCAACGTACCAAAACAGCTTCGCTGGGAAAATGTCGAAGCACGGACAACACGGGAATTACGTTGCACACTGAATAACCATAATATTATTAATAATAATTGAATAATATTTTTATAAATTACTTTCAATCGGCGCTGGTCGTAATCCGTGAATCGATGGGCACGCTGCTTCGAGAAACGCGTGAAAATGCTGAGCGCTGAGCGGAAATTTCGGATCCGACTCGCACTCACAAGCATTTGTCGAATTACTTACGGGAAGCGCGACCGTCGATGTACAATTTGTCGCAAATTCGAGAAATGACTTCTGATCATATCAAATTTTTAAAAATTCGAAAAAAAAAATGAGTGATTACCCCATCAAATTTCTCAAAATATGCGCAGACACGAGACAATTCGTGAATATTTACAAAAAAATCGATTCGCTAAAAAATTGAGAATATTTCGAATTTATGTTAAAGAAATAAAAAATACCTCTGCTGGTTTATCTTTTAACATTGGCGTATTCTGAGATGAGAACGTACATTGTTGATAAATCGAAATTCGAAATGGCCGATCTTCGGAGGGCTCGTGGAAATTTACAACCTAAAATCAAGAAAAAAAATCATCAACACATTAAATTAGCTATTTTTTCACGAACCTTTTTCTTTTTAGGACCTCCTCCTCCTTCGGTTTCCTTTACATTTGTTTGTAAAATAATTGTATTAATATTCAACGCCATAAGCGGATCACTAGATGAAGTTTCCTCGCAAATTGAACAAGTCCTCCACGTCATCTCAAATATATTTCAATTTCATTTTGATTATAATTTGATATAAGAAATGCTTATCGAAATAGGAGTACTACTTATTAATATACTATGTTTGGTTATTGTCAGTTCAATCGGGTGCTTGAAATTTAGCTCAAAAGCTGATCGTGCTAGTGAGTTGTTTAGAGCGTTTAAAGCATTTTCGAAAATTTCTAGATGATTTGGAGCAGTATGAGCCGGTCAATAAACCGGAAGCTGAAAAAAATCCGCCAAAAGTTGTTTTAAATCGGAAGAAAGTGAAGAAAATTGAAGAACAGACGCCTAAAAAGATACAGAATATTGGGAAACGAAACAAAAAACGATTTTTCATATTTCCACTAAAAGATGACGATTTGAAAACGCCACAATCTGAAATATTGTCGTCTAGTTCTACACAATTATCTAGTGATAGAGGTATTTCTTCAGTGTTATGCGCATTGTATAATTTTCGCTAGTTCAGAAGATAGTCGGAGTCTTAGTAGTTTCACTTTCAATGAAAAAGAAAATCTTGGTAATATCAAACTAGTACCACCCGCTGATCGTAACAATTTGTTTCAAATTTAATCGGAAACTGGATTTTTTTAGAGAACACTATTAATAAAAATCTTGAAAATATTCGAAAGATTCGGAAGAATACGAAAGAAAAGAGTCCGGATATAACGATAAGCGTAAGAATACGTGAATTGAAAGCAACATTTTAAAAAATCAATTCAGTGCGCTGAAGAAGAAGACACTTTGTTCAACGTACCATCACTGATTTTGGAAAGTACTTCGAATGGACAATTAGTAGCAAAGCAAGCTAGTGGTACATAGAGCAATTAAACTTGATATTATGAGGATGAATTCACAGATTCGTTAATATTAAAAGTCAATAATCCACTGCGGAAGTCCTTGGAAAATGTGAATCCATTACGGAGTCAATTTGCGTATCCAGTAGTAACAAATGAACATTTAATATGAGAAGAAAACTATTAATATTTTCAATAAACTACTAAATTAACGATTGAAAATTTATGGTTTAAAAATGTTTGGCTTGATTTTAGGGACTGTATATCACAAGAAATGTAAAAAATTATCCATTTGACATTGATAAATGTAAAAACGGTTTAACATAACCGGTTAAGTCGGCTAGCCGGATTATTCGGTTTGGCACATATTTTGAATTTACAGGTTAAATTGATATTTCGGTTAACCGGTTAAAAAAATGGTTAACAAGTTTAGAGAACTAACTGGTTAATTAACCGATAAACCATTTTGTGAACATTGAAATATATCCATGTTTTTGTAACATGTTTTACGTAAAATTATATTTTTTAGCAGCTTGATTACTTTTTTTCTTTTTTTTATTTTTCTTTAGTGGCATAAATTTTGAAATTTAAGTTTTATTTATCGAAATGAAACGATCGATTACTTCTTCAAACCGGTTAATAGTTACATCCCTAGCCACTTCGACGGTTCATTTTGCAAACTGGTTCGGGTTTTGATCGACTGAACCGGTTTTAAATAATATTATTAGCACAATTATTAACATTTTCAAAAAATAGAAAAAAATCAATTCAAGAATTTAAAAATTTGAATTTAGTCTGCAATAATGTGTCAGGATGTACATCATACCTTACGACTATTTTCAAGTTTTTTTCTTTCTCGAATTTTTCGGTTCCTACATTTTTCTCTTTCTAACCTTCTGTTTTTATTTATTTCACTTCTTTTTTTTTTCTTGTTATTCATTTAATGATTAGTTAGAAGCACAAAGCAATGCAAATTCTTTGGTTCGAAGACTCCAAAAGAACAAAGGAAATGGCAGATGGTAAAAAGGGCGAAGATACCGTGGAACCATTTGAACCGGGACCGGTCCCGATATTCGCACAAGTGTTTGTACTGTAGATGGTGGTACTGCTAATGTTGTTGTTGTTGTTTTCCAGTTTTTCAACACATTTTTATTCATTCTGCTTCTTCTTGAAGTGTATTATAGGTTTTTCTCTTGTCGTGGCCCCCTCGCTCTGCAGCCGATTTCTTTTTCTCACTACCTTCGCATATCTAAATTCGAACCTATTTTCACAGGTTGCCGGATAAAGAATGCAAGTTTCGGCCGGCGGATAGTGAATTGTTACGCGCAACCCATTTACCGGCAGAACCGTTTCGTGTCGCGTTTTCGATTTTCATCCTTGTTCCCAATTCACTACGAAAGTTTGATCTAGCCACTAATTTAGACGATAAAAAAATCATTTGGTAACGAGGATTCAAACGAGTCGAAAAGATGTCGAATTTCCCGAATCAATTAATTTTAAAAATATCGCATCGAGGTCCATCAATCAAATTGATCTCATTATCAAAGCAAGAATATCTCGACAAAAGTCCGATCAATCGTTTTCGTAACTAATACTATACGTTGGGCCTTTTTTCGGATTAAGAACAAGCTGTATAGCTTAAGAAAGTCGTGTCCACTTGTGTAAGAGATAATCAAATTAATCATTTAATCGCAGTTTTACCTTTTTTATTTAAACACAAAAAATTTTAGGTGGTGCACATTTTCAGAATCTTTCCCTATAATGTGTTGGTCATCCGGTAATACAGTAATAATAGCGTAATGTGTGATAATTTGATAGTAAATATTATCTATTAGTCGGCCTATACCCATGCTATATTCCTTTTCCCTAACTCCGTATTTCCTTTTACTCGTCACTTTCCTCATTAATTAAGTTGTGTTGTTGAAACGGTGCCGAAAACAAGTACGATTGGTGTTTTGTGTTGCCGAAAAAGTGTCGAACCGGCCGGGCCCGGTTACGGTTTTCAACGCGTTCCGCGGCATCCCGCCGGCGAGTGCCATTCGTTGAAGACGAAGATGAAGAAGCGTTCGTCGAAGAATAAAAACACAGCTGATGCGTAAACGGGTTTATGATCAGCCGCTGAAAAACAACGCACTAAAATGCATATCGCCTTTTGTTCATTTTCGATTGTCGCGGCATTCTAAAATTTAGTGATGAATTAACTAATTTTTGATTTAAATATGAATTGTTCGAAAATTCTTTAAGTAGTTCCAACTTCAGAAAATTGCCTCAACTGTTTAATATTAGTATTGTCGTTTCGAACAGCTGAACATGGGGGGAAGCTTCACATTTGCGAAATCAGTGTAGGTTTACCGTTGACTGAATATTTAATGAGCGCATGCTAAATCGCAAAGTACGCAGTCTCCTGTACTTTTCTTTGCTCGTCAAGGTGCTGACTCACAGCCTATATGTTTTTTTTTCAAATTAAAACAAGTCGTTTGAATTTGACAATACATTTTATAATTAAAGGGGCAGGGTTGCCCGGAATTCCGTTTCCGTCTTTCGTTTCCACGTAAAAACAGAAAACGTACTTGCATTCAGTTTATTTCGTCACAGACGGAAAAAAATTTGTTCCTGTTCCGTTTCCACCGACGGACGGAAACAATAATTTCTCAGTTTTCGGTTTTGGCGGCGAAAAAACCGCTCTTATTTTATTCGATGACAACAAAATATGTGTAATTTTCAGATATATAGTTCGTTCTTTTTAATGAAAATAGATAATTTTATTAATGCACAGAAATTGATACAGAGAATCGGCGCGGAATTCCGTTTCAGCGGGAGAACGGAAGAAAAGTCGTTTCATTCGGTTTCCGTTGTTTTTCGGAATGAAACCCCTGTTAGGGGAATGGTATCCTCTACCGACCGCTACTGTAGTGAATTCTTTTTTGCTTTCCATCCCATCTGAATAGTATTAAGAGAATTTCTGCTCGAAAAAGCGCGAATTGAATCAAAGAGTATCGTTGAGGCAATCGGCGAAATTCTACTTGTCAAGACATCCTGGCATGAGAGAAGATATTCCGGAAATCAGTTGGACGGGATTGTTGTTTTCCGCTAGGCGCTTTCCTTTTTTCCCTCCAGCCATGTCCATAAATGCGCAGTACCGCGCAAGCGCGCCATCAACACCGTCGTCGACAACGTCGCCATCGACTGAACGGAAATCCCGCCGTCGTACGACATCTGCGGGTTGGACGAAGACAACGCTGGAAGTGCGGAGACCGCAGACGGTGTTCGGCGAAGAAACACTGCGTGCTGACGGGAGAGTGTTCCGGAAATGGAGGTCTGCCGACGACGAGACGATGGACGGCTCCAACCGGAATACGTGGGCAGAAGTAAAGCAGCGGCCGGAGGACTGCCGGCTGGGCCGGCCCAGCCGGGTCAGACGCACACACAACAACCACGGCGGCGTTTCTGCCGGCGCACTCTCCATTCGCCGTCAACACTATCTCCAACTCTTTTCCGTTTTTGGCGCAAACAACTGCTTCGCGTAGTTCTTTTTTTGCGTGTGCCGGGCCCTCCGGCTCGACTTCTACTCCCACCGAACTGATTATTAATTTTGTTGGGCATATGCGAAGAAGGGCCCGTTGCGCGCACACACGATAAAGACTATGCTTCAATTATCGATCGCGCGAATCGGTTACGAAAAATCCGATTTTTATCGCGTTCGTATACTTGATTTTTCCGGAAAACGCCATTCGAGCTTCTTCGGAACTTGATTTTTGCCTCCTCAAATGCTGATTTTCTTAGCACTTTTATCGCGTTTCTCTCTTTATTGTAAGAAATCAGAAATATTTCAGCACAAGCTTCCTTGATTCTACAGATTTGGAGAAAACAGTGATAATCCGGATAGGCAAAAAATATGTGGTCATGATTATCTCATCGAAAATTTGGCGCCCAATTTAGGTCAATTTTCCATTTCGGCGTTGATTCGCATCTCTTTTCCGTTTTTGGAAATTGATTTCCGTTTTTCACCCTACCGCACCGGCCCTTATCAGTTCTCGCCTCTACATACATATATGCATATTGTATGGTGTACCTGTGTGTGTGTATTCCGAATAACTAGGTTGAATACCGTAGTGGTGCCATCTTGCTCGGATTTTGTTTGATTTTTGAGTCGCGATCGTCTGATTTCCGAGAATCGACCGAGTTCTCCCTTCCCGTGTGCGCTAAACGGCAATTGCGCAATAATCTACTTTCGTTTACCTTTGCCATTTAACCGCATTGCCGATTTGCTCGCCATCTCGCCATTTTGCACAGTTTTTCGCGCAATCCAGGGGGGCCCCCGGTCGAGGGTTGTTTGTTTAACCCCGACGGCACACATACACACACACATCCCCGGTTTTCCGTTCGTCGATCACTTGCAATATAGTATACGAGTAGATAGAGACGCAGACTAGTGAAGTTACTGTAGTATGTCGCCGGATGCCGGAGGAGCACATCGAAACGAGCCGGTTTTTTTTCTCGCTCAACCAACACTACGACTCAACAGTTTTCTTACTTTTGACTTTGTCAGTATGTCAATCGACAACTTGCTCCTTTCATTCGCAGACCTCGTTTTTTTTTCTTTCGTAAAATAAACGAGATTCTCGTTGGGGTTTGTCTTTTTCGGGACGTTAATTCTCCTCATAGGACGCAATTTGTGATTTCCTTGGAATATTATTCGAAATTAATCGGAAATGCCCTTTTCAAATGAAGCTTATTTGTCCAGCCGCATCTCAAATTTGGAAACTTTTGAGCATATTTTTTTCGATTATTTTTTCGACGTTTTTTTATTCGGTTTTTCTTTATAAATATAATAGGCGTGGCTTAGATTTTTGAATTTGGCGACAAATTTGAGATTTCGTGATAATAACCGAAAAACTGGGTACGGTAGGTTCCAATCGTTGAGGGTAATTGAACTGACTATAAGGTCTTGAAACGAGTAATTAAAGGACCTTCCGGAAATCCCGTATTTCCGAATGTCCTCCCTCATTGAAACTTATTTATTGCGGAAATAGATAGGAAAATTAGTTTTTTTTGTTGCCTGAATTTATTCATTTTACGGTTTCATGGGATTCGCAAGTTTGGCATAGGCCAAGATGCCACATTTCAATCTAATCTGATTAAGACAACAGCACTTATTGTGGCAATTGCATGACCTGAATCGGAACATCGCCGGCAGGTGAGTCTCACTTGTTATAGAGTCCGGAAACGAGACCGGATGATCAGGTTGAAAATTGTAAAACAATATTCGATACAATGGGCGCGTCGTCGACTACAACGACGACGACGACATACAAAATCGATGACGGGGGTGATGGCGATCCATCGCCATATCCGCAATCCGGATTTCGTGTTGTGCGCGACGTTCAGTGGTGGTATGCCTGTGGCGGATAAAACGGCTTCTTATCTGATATGATTCGGTGTCCGACCGCGCTCGTTTTTCTGCCCCTCACCCTAGCCACCCAGCCAGCCAGCCCTTCTTCTTCTTCTTCTCTTCTTCTTCATCATCATCTGCCTTCTTCACGTCTTCCTTCCTTCCTTCGTTTCGTCGGTTTATCGCCTTGTTCGGTTGTCCGATGCGTCGTCCGCTCACACACACACACCAGCCAGCCAGCCAGCCCGACAGCCAGCTTCCTGCCCGGTTTTCATCCATTCGCCTTCATTATTATCCGCTCGACTTTTGTCTTCATTCCTATCTGAAGATGTGTCCAGAAAATGTCGCTTTTCCGTTTTTCCTCTTGTTGATAACCCAATATAGAAAGATGGAATCTGATGATTTTAGTGAGCCAACTAATTAAGCTTCTTCCCTTTCTCGATTGAGCTTTTACGTGTTTCTAGTACGGCGATTGCTAATTGCCGGAAAACTTAATCGTCATCTTAATTGGATTGCATTCCAATTGATTGGGCGTGGTCATCTCACAAGTCCCTCATATACTACAGTAACCCCTTTTTTCATGAAGGGGAACCTTTCGAAACAAAAACAATATTGAAACTGAAACCGTTCGGTCGTCCTCAACGCGTGTTTAAATCAATCCGCCGAATCGGCCATAAAATCTGCATCCAGTTGCGTTTATTTTTACGCGTTTTTCTCCTTGTGTTATTCAAGATGTTGCCTTCTTCTTCTTCTTCTTCGTCTTCATCCAACTACATATTTTAAACTATATGAATAAACAAGACATGTGATGATGTGTAGGAATCGTTTCACACATATTCTAGATCCATCAACGTCATAGACTAAAGGTCGCTTTTCTTGCAGCAGTATGTCATTTCAACCAGCATTCAACGCTCGACTCATCGCTGAGGTGCAGAAGCACCCGTGTCTCTACAATCACTCGAGACGCGGCAGCGGCGATTCGCTGGACCGTCAGCGATTGTGGGAGTCGATCGCCAAAAATATCGATGGGAACTGCACCGCCGAGTTCGCCAAGAAGCGTTGGCTTCAGCTGCGCGATCGGTACCGCAAAGAGCTCAAACTTGCCATCAAAAACAATTTTGTGCAACCGGTTCGATGGTGCTACTTTTCGCAGCTCTCGTGGCTTCATCCCTATCTCAAAGACAACATGTAAACGTTTTTTTTTCTTGTTGTGAATCGCCTCAACGAATCATTTTCAGTGTTATCGGTGTCGATGACGTCAAAACAAAACATGAACTTTGCGAAAGCCCGACGTTTAATTGGTTCGATCTGTCAAATTTATCAGCAGTCAAGGATGAGATGGAAGAGGGCGAGGAAGAGTCGTCGATGGAATCGTCGGTTCTAGATAGGCTCTTAGCAGCGCAACGAGTTCACAGCATCTCGCCAGATTGTGAGTAATGGTCTTCTCATTTCCGGCCTTTTATTCGGTTTCCTCGAGATTCAATGCCCATTTTGCAGGCGACGACTCGGATCCGGCTCTCGAGTCTTCCGTTCTTGATCGGCTTATTGCGTCTCATCGAATGAATAGTAATTCACCAGAATGTACGTTTTCTCGTCGTTTTTTTAAAACATGTATAGTAGAAATTTTTAGTTGATAAATCTGGGACTCATAGTCCAGATAATGATGATCGTGATATCGATTCATCACCAATGCCAAGAGAAACAGGCTCGGGTGATGGAGCAACTGTAACTCAACCTGACGTCATAGTAAAACCAAAGAATGAGGATTCTGAAGAGAGCAAGGTGAAAACAGAAGCTGAAGATGGCAAAACATCATTATCAATGGTTCTCGACTCGATTCCAAAAGTAGGATTTTTTTCTAGAATGTCAAATTTTCAATAAAATATATATTTTAAAGCCTGCTGCCAATCCATCAGTGGAAGCTCTTATTGCGGCAAACAACGCAAGATTTGCGCAACATCTCGCCGCCCATTTCTCAGGTTTGCCGCAGGTAATCAATCATCATTCTCTCGCTCAGTTTTATTTCTCCACCCAACCGTTTTTTTTTGTCTATTATCTGGTTTCTTTAAAGGCTGCCATCAACGCTTCAAAGAGGTCCGAAACGGCTGCGACGCCGCAAAACTTTTGCAATGAATCGCAAACGACGTCGAGCATCGTCAACACGCATCCGTATAAGAATTTCGCTTACAAGGAGCATTATCGAATGAAGCAGCACAATCGGCAGAATGCCGAGCAGCTCATGAAGGCCAATTTGCAGAATGTCGGCAAAGCGGCGATCGCTTGGCTGAATGATGAGGATTTGCTGTACAGCAGAATAATAGGATTGAAGCTCAAAAAAATGGATCCAAAAAAGAGAAAGAAGGTTTGTGTCGATTTTAATCTATTTTGATGATGGTATAGCTTATTAGTTTACTCCACGTTTCTTTATTCTGATGTGACTTCTTTGAATATGTAGCTTGAAATGTTCATATTATTGCGCTTACTGGATTGCACTGAATTGCGTTTTCGCGAAGGAACGATGAAAACACCTCTTCCGTTTGTGTGTGTGTTGTCTTCAACGGAAGAATCTTTTCCGTTTCCGTTTCGGCAGCGAGACGGAAAACATTTTCGATTTCCGTTTTCGTTGTTTAGCGGAAGAAAACAATTGTATCCGTGTAACATTAGTAGTTTTTGCTAGTGGAAAAATCTCTGATAACTTTTCTCAGAAATGATTATTTGTTCAACCGATGAGATGATTTGTTAAGTTCAACTGTGAATCATTCTTTGAAATTTAAATATATTTTCTGCTTCAATTATAACATTCAATGTTTTTAGGTTCGCTCTCAAATCATGATGTTGCTCGAAGATTCTGATGAAGGTGAACATGATGACAGCTGTAGCTCTCATACTCAATCGGCTCGAGATAACGACGAAGACTGCCCAATTGAACCAATGGATTCGACGGAGAATGAGCCGGAAATCAATGCATCTGCAGCTGCACCTCCTACAGAAGCCTAAATACATAATTGAATTACAAAAATTTCTTGAAATACGGTGTATATGTTTTAAAGGTCAAAAATCGATTCGGCTCCCCCTTCCACCCACTTTATTCTAATTTTCTCATCACAGCCCCGTGAATTGAGATAATGTTTCTTTTTTTATTGTTTTTAGATCTAGTTTGGAAATGGTTTAGTCGATAATAATTAGTTGTTATTTTTAGTTTTATCATCATTTGTCCAATTTTGCATTCAATCTTGCCCCCTGTCTGTAAATATAGAAACGAAACGTGTACTTCTACGTCAACTCCCTCCTCTTCGCAGCCCCTCCCTATTCGTCAATTCATTTCTTGTAAAGTTTTCTTGTTGATTAAATAAATCATCGTCTTGTATACGAGAAATGCAGCCGGTGGTTGTGAAAGTTGGCAATGGATTCCGATCGGATTATTCCGAGCTGACGCAATTTAAAATGGTTTGAAAGTTTTTTGGAATACAACCGGTGACTCCCTGAATTTAGATTATTGTCTTCGGAACTGCCGCATGGATTTTATTCATTTTTGGTCTTGGATGCTATAATTATATGGTTATTACTTTCGGGGTTGCTGTAATTTGACAATGTCGCATTTTTTTAGGGAATTCGAAAACCAGAAGCGGCGATGTGTTTTGAAGATCAGATCGAAGAGGTTTTTTTTACATTTTGAAGTTTTTATTTCAATAATTAAAAAAAAATTCCGCAAAAAACTACATGCACCTTTAATTTAAAAAAAAAAAAACTATTTTCGAAATTCGAATGCTCCTCAAATGTTTCTAAAACCACTCGTTTCGAGATTTTTCTTATCAATTTAAAATAATTTTTGGCATTCAAGAAATTTCCGTTAAGACTGTGGGCAAACTCAATTCACGTGCGAAATTTAAATAAATAAAATATATTCGATTGAAGGTTCATAATACGGAATATGAGTTTAGGTCTTGTGGCGACTGATTCAAGTAGTCGCTTTTTCTTTTCGGAGACCAACTATTTTATTTAAAATACAATTTCGCTTCTTGACATGAAAAGAAAATGGCACATTTTTGCATGCGCCTTTGATGTAAACTGTAGTTTTGTAGTATGCTTTTTAGCAGCCAAAATGTATTGCGGGACCATGTCGTTTTGTTCAAATGAAATTCCATATACAGGGCAATTTCTGGGAACAGCTCTTTCAATTATTTCAACTTTAAAATTGCTTAAAATCAGCATTGTGATGTTTCCTTACACTATTCTTATTCTTATAGTTTGTTTCTGAAAAAAAGTGGAAAATTTTTTAAATATTCGAATTGTTCAAAGAAAAAAAAAAGAGAAAAAAAGAAAAAAAGGAATCAAAAATAAGAGCGATTCGCATCGAGACCTATCGCATAGATAGCGAAAAATAAGAAAATCCGCGTGATTTCGTCAGAAATAAAAAAAAATTGAGAAAAAAATTCTGAAAATACATAAAACCTCTCGGTGCAAAAACAATGGTAGCTAAGACACATGCGATTTATTTATGCGATGGGTCTCGATGCGAATTATCTTTTTTCCTGTTTTTTTTTCTTCTCTGCATTGCCCCCTAAATTCAATGTTTTTTTTTTTTGGTTTAGAGGAATTTTTGATGAAGATTTGAGAATTTGAAAGTATTTTTTTTGGATAATTATTAAAGGCGTATTTTATTTTTGCTGCATTCACAACTTAAAAACCGACCGACATTGATAAAAAGCAATTCGAGTCATTTTCAGCCGACGACCAACAGATCGCTGAAACCGTCGCAAAGTGAGAAGTCGTCGAAATCCCCGAAATGTCGAACGATGTGAATAATTGAATAAACACCGATTCTGGCTGAATGAACACCAAATTAGGCGAAACGATGAACTGCGAATCTCCATCTTTTTTTCGGCGAATTTCACCTTCTAGCCTAGACGGTCAAGGCAGGCATATCACACAAACCGGTCGCGATCATCTCGTACGGGGGCGGAATTCAATTGGCACCATTTTTGGGATTCGCCACCGCAATCGACTTTTGAATTCTTCTTGACATTCTTTGATTTGTGTTTCCAATTTTTCGAATTTCGCTTCTATTAATATTCCAAAATCATCGAAACGTGCTGAAGTTTTCCGGAAGACGGTCATTTTTATTGCAAAAAAATATGCGCGAAAACGATTTATTTTTGCATGCTCCTTTAATGTATACAGCGATTCTTCATGTGTTTGATACGCAGCCAAAGGGCAGATCAAATTGTTAATGGGGGGTTAACTTATACTATGCATAAATTATCCATTCAATAAAAAATGTGAAAACGATCCATTTTTCAATGCAGATTTGTAAAAAATGCTCAATGAATATAATTTTTAAAATTTTGCATGACGAAGTCCATAAGGTCCAATTTTTACGCGACGCCTCCCGGAAGTCGTCTGTCATCGGCAATATCAAAATGACACTATGCATATTTTTTAAGGGAAACCTTCAAAAAAACTGGTTAAATGTAGTTTTTTTTGCATTTTGTTTATCATTTTTTGAGTATTTATTTGCCTATGATTTTTCACTATGAATTTCTTATAATACCAATCATTCTGATCAATTTACTATGAATCCCAAGACGACCTATTGGGCTCCTTTCATTTCAGTTTGATCTACTATGAAATGCGTTGAAAACTATCAAATATGGAAAAATCTGTTAAAATCAAAATTTTGAAACGAGCTTGATAATTTAAATGTGACAAATTTTTCGGTTTTTGACAATAACCGTTTTTTTAGTGTTTTTTTTTCCCAAACGATATAATAGATTTTGTGTGAAACGGGGAATTTTCAATATTTTATGCCATTACATGTTTTTATAACCCGAATTTTTTATTATTTGTTCGCCCCCCCCCCTCCCCCGTCGCTTAAAAACTTGACACCCAAAACCATTTTTTTCGTCTCGCATTTGTTCTCCGACACAAAATCTCATTTTTATCAGCTTTCGCAATCATTTTCCCATCCTATTTGAATAATTGCATTATTTGGAAGAAATTTTGCGAACGGTTTACGAGAAATTGCAAAATTTCCGAGAATTTTCTGAAAAAATGGAATCATTTTAGAAAATACGCGCAATGTTCCTTTAATCGTGATACAGTAATTTAATTTGGTGCATTTTTTGTCATGCAAAATTTTTTTTTATTAAAAAAGGCGATTAGTGTCCAATTGATTTATCAATGAATTCCGACATTTTTAGCAATGGTCCTTTAAACCACCGTTAATTATGGTCCTCAAAGAAAATTTAATTGCTTTCTAAAGTGGAATTTAAAGAAAATAAACCAAAAAATGAAAACATCGAGCAGTTATATCAAGAAATTTGGAATGAAAAATCACATATATTCAGCCTCAAAAATGTCCGCAGATAAATAATATAAAATTTTGCATAATCACTTCAGCCATGTTTTTTTCCGTGTTTCGAGTCATTTTCGCAGCGGGACCAAAAAACTTGAAACAAATTTTTAACAGCTCGCCTTAAAAGTGAAATTTGTCCAATTTCCAAAAGCTCAATCAATTCCACTTTCTCATATAATAATTTATTGCATTATTTTTGATTAGCTCGAACTAATAAACTCAATAAATCCGATGAGAATGAACACCTTAAACTCATTTTCAACACTCGAAAATTCCAGTTTCAATTATTATCGGATTTGACCTGAAACTCATCAACCCTCTAATCCTTGTTTTTCGAAACAAATATTTGTATGATCTACCAGTTAGTTGTTCAAGTGTTCAATCTGCACTTTTGATTGCCAATTAGCTCATTATGAATTCAGCCGTTTTTCTCGCCAATCTAATTCGTTTTAATTAGATCCAATTTAATTGCGATTTTGCCACATTACATGCTATTGTTGTTTTTGTTATGATTAGAGAAAAACGTGTTTGGAATGATTGATTTTTCTTACTAAGTCTCAGGTTATCGTTTGCAGGAATAAAGAAGTTGAAAAAAGCATTCTGAAGCTGGAAGTGATTAGCCGAACAGTATGGACATCGAAATGCCAGGTAATTTGAGAATATTGCTTAAATGATATTCATGGTCCTTTAAACTTCTTACCGTTTTATTGTTGAGAGTGTGGAGTTACACTTTCGGACTGAGACCTTCAAATATTGAGTGATTGCATAAATTATTGAGAAGATAAAACTCAAAAAATTATGAACTAGTTTGGTCCTATTATGGAATCCATTCTGAAGAGAAAAATAAGAATTTGAATTTCAACAGCCGATATTCGAATTTTTATTTTCCAAACTCGCACATCAGCTTTTTCTTCTTCGTTTTTCCCCCAATAAACCTTACGAGATGACACCCTGTCGTACATATTATTGACCCATGCTATTCATCGCCCTTTTTTCCTACCACCCAAAATTGTATTCTGATCGACAAATACAGAGAAAATATTCGAAATCATTTTGATGCCGTTGTCCAATACCAGTTTCGACGTGTTTTTTGGATAACCTAGTCCCACCTCCCCCCCTCCCTCTTTTATGGCAATGCACTTGGCGATTATTACTTAATAATTTTTTACTAGTTTCGTTTCGAAATAAATATTTTGTCATGAAAACTGATTTTTTCAAATCCACTATTGTGTTAATTGTTTTGAATTTATGGAAACATGCAGTAAAAATTTTAAAAAAATGGAAAAAATTTCAATTCAGAAAATTTTTTGGTCATTTTTAACATTTTCTCTACATGTATCCATTAATAAAAAGACAATTCAAGAAACGTTGATCTATTAGAAACCACCCCCACTTTTTAACCCCCACCCCTGCTATTCCACCCCGACTTTTTAACCCCTCCTTTTATTTATGATACCACCCCCACTTCTTCACCGCACTTCAAAATTTGCAGTTTCTAACATTAATGTTTAGCAGTAAGTTTAAAAAAAATTTTTTTTAATTTGCAATAATTCAAGTTATCAAGAGGAAATTGGCAAAATTGATGTCTAAATTAGATTTTTCAGAAACTATGTAGGCTTGCAAAGCTTGATATCAAAATACACAATTGGACACTTGAAATATTGACAATTGTTGGAAAATACGAAAAGCTTACGAAATACGAAATCTTTCTGAACCGGGTCTTCCGAGAATAGTTCATTTCTTGTTAAAATTTTCAGCCTTTCATAAGAACACTACATAGTTTCTGAAAAATCTAGACATCAGTCCTGCGAATCTCCTCTTGATAACTTGAATTATTGCAAATTTAAAAAATTTTACTACTAAGCATTATTGTTAGAAACTGCAAATTTTGAAGTGCGGTGAAGAAGTGGGGGTGAAACCTAAAAATTGGGGATGAAAAAGTGGGGGTGGTATCATAAATAAAAGGAGGGGTTAAAAAGTCGGGGTGGAATAGCAGGGGTGGGGGTTAAAAAGTGGGGGTGGTTTCTAATAGACCAGAAACGTTTAATAAGTTTGGAATTTGTTTTCAAATTGACAAGAATTGTTGGAATATTTACGGCGAAGATTGTCGATTTTTTGATAACTGCGTGGGGTAGTTGAAAAAAACATCTCAACATAAAAATAAATCGACAAATGTAATTTTGCATACTCAACTGGATTGCTAAATTTAGGCACAAAATTTAATAACGCTGATATTGAATATTATATTAGAACTATGTAGTTGTTTTCAAAATAGAGATTAATGCATATTATTCAGATTTTGGCAAAATGTTTCTGATTTGATCTTGTCTGAAATGTGTAGAAAACTATGGGAAAAGTGAATTTATGTTCAACGCTTTTATTTTGCGAATTGAAAAAAAAAATTTTTTAAACTTTTAATACAAGAAAAAAAATGCATTTCGCGGGATAGATCCATTTTAAATGTTTGACAATTAGTCAAATTCGCCCGTTTTTGACTAAACTGCCTATGGAAAATCGGACGACCATAACTCGTCTGAAACCTTTCAGCGCAGACTGGAATTTTGTGAACACACTCAGAAGACCTTCTAGTTTACGTGTGCAAAGTTACAAAACAATTCCAAATCGGGAGGTAAAATGACATCCCGTGTAAGCGGTTCAGTGGAGAAAATTAAATTTGTATATAAAATGATTAAATATAACGACGTCGAGGGCTGTTTTTCCTATAAATAGGCTATCAGCTGATGCGTAATGTAGACAAATGAAGCAAAACAAATCGAAATCAGAGTTTGTCAGTTATTTTTCGTCTCGAGAAGTAGTTTAAGAATTACGAATACTAATTATGTGGGTCATTTTTAATTCTGCCATCACATCTACCCATCACATCCATTTTTCCCATATTATATTTTGAAATTGTATTCAATCAAATTCAATATAATCGTGAATCACAAATAATGATTCATTGAAGTTCATACTAATAGAAAATCATGTTTATTCGTTTTTTGCGATTTTACAAACTATTATTCGAACATACAAGACATCAAAAAAATACCAGAAAAATTAATAGTCTGGTCCCAATTGGTTGTATCAATTCTAATTGGTGTTTGTTTTTTTTTGTAACTGTCTGTCGGCGGTTTTGTTTTTTAGAACTATCATTGGACATTGTACAAAATTTTAGATATGACAGGCGTCGCCTCCGTGGTCACGCAACGCACAGAATCCTCCGATAACGGTATCGTTTCGTGTCGCATCTCATTCGTATTTTTGAGCGTTTGCCAGATGTAGGCACCGAGAAGCAGACGACTGATTGGAAGGCGATCATCATCGCCGCGATTGTCACATTCATCGCCGCCGTTGAGAATACGGTCGTCGGAATGAGCGAATGGGCTTACATGAATGAGGTATTCTCATGGTTTCAATTGTTTGCGCAACAAAACATTATTACGCGTTTAATCTGCGATTTAATACGCCAGATTCGATGGTGTTTGAATTGCACGTGACCCGCTAGCACGTCCGCAGATGATGAATGACTTCATTTTTAAGATCGACAAGATCGCCGACCCTCAATTCTTTGGGAATGCGACAGCGGCATCGAAAGCGTTTCACGCGTTAGCCGCTGTTGGCTTCGCCTATTGGTGCTACAAGACACAGTCTTACAGGTGCAGCGGCATTCTCTCTAATGGACCATTCGGCACATTTCAGGGTCCCATTGGTTGCCGGGCGTGTCATCGCGTTCTGCGCGTGTTTGCTCTACCTTTGCGTAGAAATGGTGCAAGATGGAAGGCGATACATCATGGCGACTTGCTACATCTTCTTCGGAATCGCTGCGAGTAGGCTGTCCAGTCTCGCGACTTGAGATTTTAATCTTCTAGGTTCTTCTACAATTCTTCGAGCTTACATCGCGGCAGTTTCGGCGCATCAAGACCGACCGCAGGCTTATTCAACATCCACTTGTGCTATAATGCTTTCAATCGTGGTGGGACCCGGTATAAGAGCTTCTTGTTCGGAAACGAATTGTCATTTAATGCTGTTTCCAGTGATTCAAGCAATTTTCTCCGGCATGAAATATCCAGGAGTCGAGATTCTCACCAATGTCCGCCTCCATTTGTATTCGGCGCCAATTTGGGTGGCGGCGTTCACCAATTTCCTATCGGTCGCCATCATTCTGATATTCCTCAAAGAGCTGCCAAGACGAACAAAAGCGAAAATTATGAGTAAGTGGGTGCATTTCAGGGATGAAACGGCGAATTCTTGGGGGTCGGGGGACGAATTCGCCCGTGGTACTGCACTCCAATTTTTTTTTAATTTATCCAAAAAAACGCACAACAAAAATAAAAACAAATATAATAACAAACAGCATTAAAAAAGAACAAAGGTGATAGAATAGTAGTGGGAGTAATTAATGTATTTTTTGTCGTTCGAAAGGTTTCCACCGTTTTCGAAATAATGCAAACATAATAACACAATCGAATCTTCTAATTTCCGACCAGGTTTACAGTACGATTCCAATCTTGAATATATAGGGGTTTCTTCTTATCTGGTAAATGAAAAATTAATATAACTGAATAATACTATCATACTTCGATACATGTTTCAAACGCACACCATCTGAAAATAGCGTTACTGGCAGTAGAAGGTTGTTCTTTAAATACGAAATTTTGACTTCTATTCTATTAAAATAGCACGACCAAGTTCGCACATCTTCAGTGTCATGATTCAATCGTTTTTCTGTTGAATTAATTTCAAACTTTAAATACTGTTCTCGCATGGTGTTGTTTGTGGACATCAATGATGTCGTCCAATCCCGCAATTATTAGCGGATCCACCTGCGACTTCAAGTTGCATCGTCGTTGTTGTCGATGCTTCTCTGCAATAATTATAATTTTTTCGTGCTTCTTGTTAGATACATTCAGATTCTATTAATAAATGCACATATCAACCATCGTATTTTTGAGAGCGGTAAATGGAACTAGAATTTAAAAAGTGGGAGTACCTGTATAATTCTTCGGATGACCTGAAAATTCATGTTGCATGCTTCTCCTTCACCATTCACTATTAATTCTTCATTTTGCGAAAGTCGTTCTTAAAAAAATAAATAAACAATTAAATATGTATTAACAGGATAAACGCTTACAGTGATTTTTTATCCGCCTTGTTGGTATATTCATTTTGCAGTTCCCGAATTTCCAACACCTCTCCCATAGGGCGAATATCGCTATATAATAGGGCGATTATGTCTCGAGAATTGCTTATTAGTACAAATACGGTTCGAGATTTGGGCAAATTCGCACCTTGGCTGCAAATTTGTTTAGCCTTTGATTGAAGTTTTAGACTTTCGTTGAATTTCATTTACTGATAATTATTTTAAAAATTATACCACTTTCCGAATAAATCGACATCCATTCGGTTTTTTTTTAATTATTAAAATAAAATTTAGTGGGCGTTCGGCGCTTGCTGTATGCGGGTAGATTTACGGGGTCTCCTTTCGAAATGGTCTCGCCTTGTGTGAATGCTTATTTTGAAATTGTCACGTGAACTGTGGTGACCTCTAAAATACAAAATAATCAGTTAGTCCGTGCGGTACCATAGTGAAGGCGCATGTACGTAAATCTACACACAGCAGTGGCCAAAGAATTTTTTTAAAAGATTTTTTTCGAAAAGAAATGAAAATATGTAGAACATTTAAGCATAACCCTATTTATACAATGAAAACAAATAAAAAATATTTTTTTTTCGTTTGAATTCCCTATGCACGCACGTCAAAGATAAAAAAAATTGACGAGATATATCGTAATTCTTTCTATTTTCAAAGGCGCACGAGAAAAGTTGCACTGGTCACGTCGCGAAGTCGGTACTGTCATTTTTTAATGACGGTTTTTTTCTCGAATTTCTTAATTTTTTGAGCGTTTTAACGCTTTTTCTTGGAAATGCGTAAACACATTTTGTTTAATCAACAACACAAACATTTCTATTTTTCACGGAAAAATAACACAAAGATAGAAAAATAAAAAAATTTCCGCGTGCGCCTTTGAAAATAAATAGCAGAGAATCAATTTTCGACGTGCATAGCGAATTCAAATGGAAAAAATGATTGAATAGGTCCAATAGGAAATTCAAAATGAAATCGCCATCTCACAAGAGAATTGATCGAAAATTGATTCATTTGACACTTTTCACTGAAATTATTCGAATAAAGCATTTTCAACGATTTCAGAGAACAACAAATCCCTACTAACACTTCAAGGCCTGAAATCAAGAGTGAACGAAATTGCCACAAAAAACTTCGATTGGCCCATTATTGGTCTCTGCTGGGCGATGAAAATGATCACCACAATATCGGTGGTCACACTAACGACTCTCACCGCAATTATACTAATCACCAATTATGGTTGGAGCCGACAACGAACGGTGCTTTTCACGGCAATCACAATGATAATTGTCGGGCTTTTATCGATCGGTGTTGCCGTTTTATATTTTTCGTGCAATTTGGGAAAATAGTAAGAAGAGCTGAAAGTTTTTTTTTGTCAATCTTGAATATTTGCAGTATCCAGCAGAGGTTCGCATTCCTTGTCGGAATCATCATATTCACTTCAATGTATCTATTCTCGTACCCATTTCATTTTTCCAGCAACCTCGTTGCTCCATATAACAGTAATCACTAAATTTTGTTATAATTTTAAGTATCCCAATTTTTTTTGCAGAAATTGACGATCTCGGATGTAATCCACAAAAATACTATTGGTGCTTTATTGAATATGTAAGTAACGATTTTTTTCAGTCTAGGCGATCGCTCGATTTTCAGGCGCCTTCACCCTACTTACTACTCGGCACAATAACCCTTGTAATGGGAATTGGAATCCCGTTGGCTCTAGTGGCTCTCGACGCGATCTACTCGAAATGTTTGGGCGATTCGGATCAGAGTATCATGCAGGGAGCGATAATCGTCGCCGAGGACGTCATTCTCATCTCGGGACCCATTTATGTGTCGTAAGTGTTAAAAAAAAAAACTTTACTAGTTTTGTGAGTTCGTCGTCTTGTCGGCGTCAAACGATTAAAAAAAATTATTGGCTATGTGCCATGGTGCAGTGCAAAGTACGCGCAACTACATACATTGCATTATATCGTACGCGCATTTAATATTCAGTCAACGATAAATTTAAATCTACACTGATTTTCGGCAATTTGAAGGTCCAGCCTCTCTTTAGTCGTTTGACACCGACATTTTTTAGAGAACTGGGAATGTTGATGTGCCTTTAAAGAAACGTTAAAGTGACGATGTGTTGCATTATTTTCAAGTACCCTTGCGATTCTTCATTTTCATACGCCTTTCGAAATTCGTTGACGAAGAATTGAAAAGCGCACGTTTCTGTTTGCACACTGCCGCAAACTTGTACATATGTATTCTGTCAATCTAATTTTCGAAGTATTCCTCATTTGACTGTTTTTGGGAAAATTTTGAAAATAAAAAAAACAAATTAAATGTCCGCAGATTGATATTTATAACATTATTTTTTTTAATGTGGTAAATATTTTCATTTAAATAAGAACATTCTTTTAAAAATTGTATGATTATTGCGATATTCAGATCGGTGTTCACCTTCTACGGTCTTTCAATGGTCTGGATGATCAACGGTGTTGTCGTCGCCGTCGGCGCATTTCTATGGTTGTTGTGTTTCCCGAAACTTGAAAAGTATTCCTAATATTGACATGTATTGTTTTGCCTTTTATGTATTTATATGTATAGTTTTAATGATAATAAAATTTTCGATTTTAATCGACCCTCTCAAAAAAAGAACACAAACGGTTGGGTTTGTTTTATTACCGAAAAAGGAAGCGAGAGGAATGCATTTTTATGGGACGCAAGGTTTGATTCAGATGTCTAAATACCAGTCTGGAGATAACACAGATAATCAAACGCTAATCAGTCGACAATTAAGCGTGCAAATTAGTTTTTTTTCAAAAGCACCATTTACGAGAAAGATTTAATGTTGTAAAAATATGGCATTACACTCAATGTCTCAATTCATCAATAAAGGAAAACAATCTGCGGACTTTCATCCGGGACATCATTTCAAAAAATTTGTCTCAGTCAATGGATGTTTCGAAAATTTCTTCCGAATAGCTGGCAAGACATCAATTGGCGTAATTCTTATTAGAATTAGGCAAATTTCTTTGCTCCGATCTACGCCAATTACTCACGAACGACCTAGAAAAGGGGCTGGTGGACTATAGATATCCCCCAACAAGCCAACAGATTGAACTAATGTGCACTTCTCTTGCTGCGGACATCGATCCAGGACCATCCCTTTGTAGATAGGCAAAATCTTGATGGAAGCTTATTCGAGTGTTCACGGCTGGCAATAGTGGCCGAACGAGGTTGGTCATTAATAATTAGTCCATCAAAATCATATCAGACTCGACCGTAAAAATAGAAATTTTTAATTTCTTTGATAAATATTCTTAAGGAATCTAGCAATTTCAATTCAGTTTCGATAAAATTTTAAGAATTCCGACAAAGAAAAGTGTGCCCAAAATTAGTGAAAAAAATCTGTTCGGTTATTGCAATCATTCTGTAAAATCAGTGTCTTCAAGCAGATATTAAAATTTTAAGAAATTTTACTTCAATAATCATTTGAGTATATTGGAAATATTGAAATTTTCGTAACACCAATCTGTGGACAATGTTCCGGGTCAGATCCCCCTTCGCGACTAAACCGTATCGATAAAGTGTTTATCACATTATATCTTGTTGTCGAAGGCCTTTTTGAGACAAATGGTTGGGAAGAGAGTGAAGACGATGGAAAAAAATTGTCGTCGTCGTCGACGTATACATTGTTCGTCAAACGCTTGTCTCTGCACAGCAACACAATTTTTTTTTGGTGGGCCTGTCACCTTCGTTTCAACCTCAAAAACAATTCAAATTCAACAAATTTGTTTAATTGGGTGCAATTTTCATTGTGTCGTCATTCATCTCGCCTATAAATTCGCTGGCAATAATTTCGTTTTTCCCAAGTTTCTCCGCCACTCGTTTTTTTTTTCGCCAATTCTGGAACCACCATTGAAACTGGTTCCATTTTGTTCATTTACAACCAAAAAATTACATGTATGCAGATATTGCTTTTCCGGTTTATCAATTTATGCGTTTCGCTCAATTTTTGGGCGAGTAGATTCGTCGAATCGGCGCTGGATCATCACAGCAATCGTTGTCGCACTTTTTTTTTCGAAAATTAATTTCTCTGATAACCTGCGAGTCGCAAATAACATTTCTATCCAAATTCGCTACAAGATATCTCGAAATGGAAATGTCGTGCACCTTTAAATATTGACCCGGTTGCCTTTGAATGGAGCCAACATGATAGTTATATTTGGTGGCGAAATTGACAATCCTGATGCGAACCAATAAAAAAACAGTCTCTTTCACGAAAGACCACATCAGTTTCAAGAAGTTTTTTCCAGAAAACGAACACCCACCAACTTGCGTCATACTCTTTTGTTTTCTTGAATCAGATTTTCTTCTTTGTAGTCGATGAATTTGAATGTTCGCCGAATTCGCTTAGGCTTTCCGGCGAACACCCTCGTTTGGTTTTGCAGATCAAATGTGTCGTCCATTAATCTTCATTTTAATTCACCATCAATTATCATTCACTTTTTTTTATTCCCTAAAATAAGTCAGTATCTGAAAAATCAGTTCTACGATTTATTTCCACTCTCACTTTTCATTAAATTTCCTATTTAGTCGTTCAATAGACCATATTTTCTGCTTAAATTTCATTTACCGGAACTTTTGAATGAGATATAAACAGGCCAAATGGGTCAACACATTTACAGACAAACATGTTTTCTTCTTCTTTTCGTCTTAAATCAATTTTATCATAAATTTAAAACGATTTAACAATTTATATACATATTTTGAAAACACATTTACAACCAACTAGCTCATTGATTACATCGTCCACTCACTGTGCACTTTCATTAATTCCGATTTTTTTTATATTTTATATTTACAGATCGTCATGATTGGAATGATGAATAGCGGCGCGGAGACGTCCGTCGAGTTTTATGCGGCGGCGCGACAAAGCAGTCTCTATGATAACCGGAAATTAAGCCGCGATTTTAGAACGTAAGTGTAAAAATGCGAATTTCAAGTATTGTTGAGAAATGACAAATGTATCCAGGTGTCGTGGGATCCTGCGTTTTGTACGCAATGCTAAGAGACAGTTACCGTAATCCTCGCAGCGATTTACGGAGATTTTTTTTTAAATTTTCTTTCAATTTTTTTTGCTGAATTTTCTAATTTTCTTTAGAAATCTTATATTTAAAACCTGTAGAAACCGAGTTTAATTATTTATTTTTCAGAATATGCACTTTTCCATTTGTCTAGTTGAGTTGGGAATTATTGTGAAGATTTTGACGCTCTAAAAATTATTTTGAAAATGAAGAATACAAAAACAAGATAATAGAAACGCATACAAAGAGCAAAACACGATTAAATAATTTTATTAACGACAAAAATGATTTCTTTTTAATCTCTGCTGTTTTTACCAAAAAATATCGTTTAAAAGTGCTTATTCTGCTAAATACATTATTAAACTCGGTTTCTGCAAAATTTAAAAATTTAAATTAAAAAATTTCGAAAGAAAATTAAAACATTGAACGAAAAATAAAAAAAATGACTATGCGAAATTTAAAAAAAATGTCTCCGTAAATCGCTGCGAGGATTACGGTAACTGTCTCTTAGCATTGCGTACAAAACGCAGGATCCCACGACACCTGGATACATTTGTCATTTTTCAACAATAAAAAAAATAATTATATACCAAAAAATCCGTGCGTTTGCGTCATTTGAGATGCAAGCCGCAAGCACCGACTGAATTTCATTTTGAAAAAAAAATTACTTGGGTAATTTCACTGTGAAAATTCCAGTTTTTATCTATTTCTCCGATTTTTTTCCATAAAAAATGTTATTATTAATATGATTTTACAGCTATACACCTGAAGGCCGAGTGCTCATCAATGGCGAGCCACTTTCTCCGCATGGAGCTGAGGAGATGTGGAGTAAACTGATCATCAAGTCTGCTGCCCAAAAAATTATCAAAAACGAAAGTATGAAATAATTTAATCGATTCCCAACTTTGTAGCGCGATTTTTAGGTGAAGGTGGCACATTGGCAAAAATTCGCAGACTTTCGGAGAAACTGAAATTCCGCAAATCAACCACAAATCCAAAATCGGCTGCAATTTCCGACGATTTTGCGACAATTGTGACCAAAGCAGCTCAGAATCAACGCGCTGAGCAGGCCGCCATTTACAACAGCGTCGGAAAAAGCGATGAGGAAGAGCCACAAGATACCAGATATGTGACTACTATTCGTATTGAAAGCATGGATCTTGATGAGCAAATTACTGTAAGTATTTTTAATATTCAAATAAATTTTTGGCGTTCTTTTGGATTCAATAAAAATAATTTTCGATTGACCGAAATCTTTTGTAATCGAATTATTTTGTCATCGGAATTCAATGACTCATCCCGGCGTGTCAGATCAACCCAAAAATGAAGTTAGTTCAAAAACGAGTTGCGCGTGAGAATTCTCTTCCAGTCGGCAATTTGCAAATTAGCCAAAATGATTGTTCTTAATCAATTATGACGTGTTCTTTGAATAAAAAGTTCGTCAATGGAACCTCGAAAATCCCATAACGAATTAAATTCGCGGTATCAATGCAGAAGAGATCAGCAGCGATGAACACAACGCGGACGGAACACAAACCCCAAATGTGGAACACAGTGTAGTTGCCAATTTCTCTGCGTCTCGTCGTCAGATTCGTTTCGACTTACTATTAAAATTGTTTTGACCAAATTTTATAAAAATTCTTTGGCCCCTTGCTAAAAATACTTTTTCAAACTGTGAGAATTTCAGGATCCAATTCCGCCAGCCTTACTCGAAGAAGATAGTGTCCTTGCGCGTCTTTACGTGGAATCGGAAAGATTGGAGCGCGAGCAACGCGGACACGACAGCGGCAAAGGGAGCCTTGAGACTGTCTCACATGATTCTGACGTCATCGTTGAGAAATTCTGACGCCATCTCGCAACTCACCCACATTAACTATACGATCTCTTAATAACAACAACATAAACTGTTTAATGGATATCGGAATAAAGCTCAGATTTTACACATTTCCAAAAAATGAAACAATTTCTGGGAGTTAGCCTACTGTCGATGCTGAGAGGCACGCGAATTTGCCCTGGTAGGTTGTTACGCGGAAATTGTTGCAGCATGTCGTTCTCGGATATCGACAAATGTTTAGATTGCAGTACTGAACACCAGTCGAGGATCTATAATTGATCGGGTTGGATCAATTAGAAGCTTCAATATTTGAGTCACCCTTGACAACTGCAACCGGGTTCTGTTGTGAGACATGTGCGGGTTCTCAATTGAACACCGCATGATCCGCACTCATCTGAGCAAGTCGACCAGTCTGACCATGAGAGCCAGGTTGCCTAAAATGACAAGAATGAAAAAGAAAACATTTTAAAGTTGGAAAAAGTCCGACCGCGACGCATACGCAACGCGGCCGATTCTCGGTCGCCAAAGCGCGCGAATTTGAATACTCGGCTTTGGCAAACGACAAGCCTGGACTTTATGAGTTTCGAATGAAAGAGAAAATAATGACTAACCGTTGTGCAACTCGTGCCAGCCTGTGGGGCGTTCTGGAAGAAATAAAATGAATCATCATCACGATTATTAAATGCTTTTCGATTGATTGTTTGCAGAATGTGTCTTAGAAAATTAAAGCAAAGATAAGAAATGACTGCAACATCAGTGGACTTCTACGAATTTGAAAAGTAACTGCAGTTGGCGCATGCGCCAGCTAAATATTGCGCGTAAGATGAAATGCATGGTACGCAAACAGGCGCACGACTCTTTGCCTAGAGACACCATGGCACATAACCAATATTTTTTTAAAATTTCGTTTAGTCGTTTGACGCCGACAATAACATTTACATAAATTTAAATAATTCACAACAAATAATTTTCCAACTGTATGGGAATACTCATCTAAGCGAGTTTCGCATTTTCTAATTGTTAAAAAGAAAATTTTAAATGAGCTTATAGTCGGCGTCCGGCGACTGGTGTAGATTTATGGTCTCGCAAGGACACACAGGTTATTTCAAATTTTATGGACCGCTTGGGTAATTTTTTAATCGAATGACGTTGGAAATTTAAGGAAATGCGAAACTCATCAAAAAAAAATGAAGCAGTTCACGTGAAAACAGCAAAATAAGCATTCAGGCGTGGCGAGACCTTTTCAAGGCGCATGCGCGTAAATCTACCCGCGTACAGCAGTCGCCTGACGCCGACTATAAAACATTTGAACTACAAGGGTAAAATTAAAATGATGAAGAAAAATCTCATTTTGTTCTTGGCCCGTTTAGTTTGAATTTCTCAAGTGACAATATTTAAAATTTTTGCAGTTGTTTCAATGCCTTCATGAGATGGTTCTCAAATATTTCTAATAAATCAAAATTATTACCGTAGGAATTTGGATTTCAACAATATTTGATTGTGAGAATACGATGCTGAAGCAAAACGATATGAGTATAATCACCCATTTCAACTGCATATTCTGAAATTCAAAAATAATCACGAAATAATCAATAGAAAAAAAAACTCGAACGGGGTGTTCCAAGATGGAATTGAATTTCTGTTGAGAACGAAACGATCGAAAAACAGTGCGAAAATAAAAAAATTGGAAAACTGAACCGATTATCCGGTATTAATTGGGCGGCCCGTTTGCAGAACAACGTCACCCCCTCTCACTAGTGGATTTAACGGATTTTCGTTTTTTGTCATCAATTTTTTTAGTTTGATTTTCAAACTAACAATATGCGAATCTCAGTGGCGATCATATGATTCATGATGGTGCTCGGTTAGATCGATTTCTTCGGCGGATTTGCAAACTGGTTGGATAATTGTGGTCCAGCTAACGAGCGTATTAAAAAAATCGATGAAAGTTACAAAAAAAAATCTTGAAATTACCTGTTTCCAAAAGTGAGTATTGCGATGTATTCCGCATTTTTTTTTTCTGAAATCAAGTGTGTTTCAATACTGTATATTGTCGACGTCGCGCGATTGCGGAAAATTGGCTGAATGCCAAATATTGAAAAGAGGTCTCGGTGCTCGGTGTGCTCCTTTAACCTACCCTCATACTTGGACCCGTATATCTATATTTTCAGTTTTGCGTCAAGACCAATGCCACTGTTTTTTTTTGACATTTAGCCAATTTTCAGCAGTCGCGCGATGCCGGCAATACGTGTGTAAAAAATAAAAAGTCACTAATTGGATTTTTTCTGTTTAAATGAAATCAAACAAAAATGTATAGAAAGACCGCGATTGGTTTAAATGAGAGCGATTTAATCGCAAAATATGGATTGTAAAACTTTCTAAATAAAGTAATAAAATCCTAAAAGAAAAGGACAATGCAGAAGAAAAAAAAATGCAATTCTTCCAGTTTTAATGGAAATTATATGAAATCGAAAATCGAATATTTATAAATCAATTTTTATATAGAGATAAGTAAAATTAAAGATTTTATTTTTAAAAAATCGATCTTGATGATTTTTATCGACTTCCGTACTCGGGTAGATTTACGAGGATGCGCCTTTGCTATGGTCTCGCACGGACTAATTGGTTATTTTGTATTTTATGGGTTGGTTCGAGAATTTTTAAATCGAATGGCGTTGGAAATTGGGGAATTCGTCAAGAAAAAATTTTATCGCAATTTCTGTGAAAAAAAATTTGGAAATTGAACCAGAAGACCCCCTTTTTATAGAAATTATTACAATTTTTGTCATGTTGTTTGTTTTTTTTTAATACAAATAATAATTTTGCCGGACCCAAATTTTCAAATATGGTCATGAGTGGTGAACATAGTTTATTATTGTTGCCGAAAATGATGAATCACAACTAGTTGGACGGTCATTCTTCGGTAAACGTTGATCGAAATTCGCGATAAGACGCCGAAAAAAAATCAAGGGGTGAAGGAGGAACTCTTCATTTTGCCATCATGAGGTCGTCGATTCTCGTCGCTTTCCTATTTTTCGGTCTCGCCGAGACTCAATTCGTAAGTTATTTTCGAATGTTGTAATTGTGCAATGTTCCAGGGTGGTTTGGTGGATGGCGCTAAAATGACCGAATCGTCTACCAAATGACCCGTGGGCCGATTTCGGGCAAAAGTCACCAGGGTCTAAGAATGGATTGGGTGGAGAACATCAGCCACCCCGAAAACTAGCACCTCTCGTAGCAAAAGCACAACACCCAAGCATCTCATTGATAGGTTTAGAAATAAAATAGGATTCTCAAGACGGACTAGCACACCTAGGCCAACAATTAGTTCTACTAGACGAAGCATTATTGATAAAGTAAAAAATAGATTGAGATTCGGGAATTCCACAACCTCCAACCCATTTACTACCAAAAAAGGGATAATTGACAGATTTCGAGATAAGGTTGGATTCTCAAGAACAACCCCTAATATTTTAATGAATGAATTCACAACTACCTCATCTCCCACAACGAAGAAAGGTCTCATCGATCGTGTTCGTGATAAAATTGGGATAGCGAAAAGTACAACAATTATGCCTGCAATTAGCACCGAAACTCCAACTCGCGGGTTTTTCGGTCGATTATACGACAAGGTCAAAAACGCGCTACAAGGCAACGCCGGCACTCAAGAGTCGCCGGTGAAAAAATATGGTATGAAGGCGGTGAAGTGGTTGGGTCCAAAGGTCTTGAAGAAAATTCGAGAGGTTTCTTTGAAGATTGACAAATATGATTGAAAGGTGTTTCAATGATATTTCTACTATTTAGCAGAACTTCCATTCTGCGTTCTATTCGACGGACGAGGAATTCCCGACGCAACTTCAGAATTTTGAGGATCACACGCTCACCGACATCAAGGTTTTGAAGGAGAAAGTCGGACGATTGGAGAAATTGGTACAACAAGCTGTATTTGACTGGCAAAAAAAAACCGTATGAGTTTAGATTCAAGGATTGCAGAGTGTGATTATGGGAGAATGGAATACGACTGAAAGCGGCTCAAAGTACAAATTGTTCGAGGAGAGACGAAATTGGGATGATGCCGAGGTTTTTTCCGAATATTTTTAAAAACGAAGAGCTGTGTTTCAATTTATAGTGATTCAAAAAAAAACGGCTAAGAGAATTTTTCGCAATCAGACCTTGAAGTTCTGAAGCGCAGGAATATTGAAAAACTAAACGGGGCCAAACGCGAACCGTAACGCGTCTGGCCACACAAAATAATGTACTATATGCATATACATATTTCTTCTATAAATTATTTTAAAAACGAGCAAACTCACTTGGCGAAAATATGAAGTTTTCTTGAATTTGGCTGAACACGTAGGTTATTCGCCGATTCGAGCAAAATAACCAATTTGTTTGGATTTTTTATGTCATCGTTTTTTCTCCGAAAATTTGACCTGATTTTGCCGAACTCAAAAAAGAGCTCTGTTTTGCCCGATGAGATTGCCGAACATTTTTTTTGGATATTTACTGCTATTGTCGTTTGAATTTCGCCAATTCTCTCTGAAACGAGAAAAACCAATCGGATCGGACAAAATTCGGGTTCGGAATCGACGCGATCCGACTAGCCATTCCACATATAGGATTACAAAATTGTCGGATCTGATTGGTTTGAATTTCCAGAGTTTATAATGTTTTGTTTCATATATTAAGATATGAGCAAAACCCAAATTGTTATGGTACTAGGCAGGTTTTGCAAACAGAATTTAAAAAAAACTAATAGAAACTATAAAAAGATTTCGAAAAACCCTAGATTTTCTACTCAAAATCTGCTTAGAAATAAAATTTATGTATATGTTTGCCATTTTTTTCCAGAAAAAGTGTCAGTCATTTGGTGCGCATCTCGCCGTTATTGATAATGAAGCCAAGAATAACTATGTGAAATGTATGTGAAAATGATTGGGTGTTGCTCGTTTTCAACTCAGTTTTCAGCACTTCTCGACGACAGCCAAACGGCCGATTATGCCTGGATCGGAATGAAAACGAAGACCACATCTCAAACGACGTCGTTCACAAACTTCGCTTCCGAAAACCCCATCGACGGTTGCGCAGTGCTCGACAAAAAAGGCATTTGGACGATTCGCTCGTGCATTCAACTTCGTCCATTCATTTGCCAACTGATCAACGCCGAAATAAACATTTGAATTGTTTATGCTTCTCAATTTTTTTTAATGAAATAAATGAAACTCGATATGTTTTATCAATTTCATTCGCCCTAATAATGAACTTCCGTGTCGGTTCGTTCCTCTTCCCCTTCGCCTTCTTCTTCTTACTAGTCATTATTCAAATCTGCTCCGGATTCGACGATAACAGGCTACTACTGAAAACACAATTGCAAAATGGGATCAATGCGGGTTCGCCGAAAAATTGGTATTTCGTATTCAGACCGGGGTACAGTAACATTCGAGATCCCGGAGCAGCAGCACCTTCCAACAAGCAAACTCTGAAGCAGATATATTTGTCGGTTTTGGAGCGGAAACGCGAATCGTTTAAAGCTGCAAGGAATCGCGGATTCAAAAGACTATTCCAAACTGTGAAGCTTCTTCTCCTTTTTTTATTCAACGTTCTTTATTTCAGTATAAGAATAAGGAAGAGGTCGAGACTCATCAATATGATGTGAAGATTGGAGATCGCATGATTCCGGTGTTCAAACATACCCAAATGCAAGACTTGAATTATATTGTGGATGCATTTGTTAAAGAGGTATCAACAGATGGCGCGAATAGCGTCCGTTGTTGCGTATTTTGCCGAGAACAATAGGGTTGCAAAAAAATGTGGTATTCAAGGTCGAGCGCATTCAACAAATTGTCATCAACACCTGGAACACGACAGACTCCGGCTCGAAGTATAAGCTGTTCGATGAGCCGAAAACGTTCGAATCCGCCGAGCAGCATTGCGCATCGTTTGGAGCATATCTCGCGATCATTGATAATAGCGCAAAAAATGATTTTGTGACAAGTTTGAATCAACGAATGAACCCATCGAATCAATGACGTTGTTTTGTTGCAGAGCTTCTCGAAGAATCGCACAAATCGGTGGAAGATGCTTGGATCGGACAGCGGATGACTAATGGGAAAAGCGTTGCCAGAGATGAAGAATGCACAGGTAGTTGGCGATAGACAAATTCATTCAATTCAAAGTGCACAAGACCTTTTTGAGTGCATCACTCCTTTATGACTCAAAACGAGTTGTGAACTAAAAAAAATATGCGAGAAATCGCCATTTCAATAATGTTTTCCCACGTTTGCCCGATTATCATTTTTTTTTCTTCATCAATGCGATCGCCAATTTCTTTTCGAACGTTTTTCTCCTTTATTTGTTGCAGTCATCGATCGCTCCGGCAACTCGAAGGCGTCGAAAGCGTGCCTTCAAAAGCTGCCGTTCATCTGTCAGGTGATCAAAGTCGCCAGCGAAGTAATCATCGAAAAATCACCCAATTAATCAATGTTTTGTTCTTCAATAAATCGTGCTCATATGTGTGGTTGTTCAATAGCATATTTAAAAGGAAATTCGCTGGTCCGCCGTCGACGTCAGCTCCTGTCTGATCATCGTCGTCTCACATGCTCTCTCGCGCTCCTTCTATTCTAGTAAAGTGTGAGCGCGCTCGCGCCCGGGCCTCTTCCCGACCATGCCTCTGTCTGACCGCCTGCCTGGCTTCTTCTACTTCGCCATCTTTTTCCTTGTCTTTATATATTTTTTATATTTCGCGAGTTATATGCATTGCGCTCACCGTTCGACCGGGGTCGACTCGTATTTTATATCGCCGCCATCTTTATCATTCCCATCGTCTGATCCTCCCCCGATTATTTTGTTTCGCTTCTTTCAGACTAATGGTTCGATTCACTGAATTGCCACCGATTGAGCTCGACTATAATCCGAATGCGGTTATGTGAGAATCATTTTATTCTATTATAGTCAATGCTGATCGTTGTGAATTTCAGGTTCCATGTGCAACATCGCAGCAATGGAAAACCATTTCGCGAAGCTAAAGCAATTGCTAAAGAGTTGTTCGGATTGACGGTAGAGTTCAATAGATTCCCTTCAATGTTCCTTCTGATTCCAGAATGATCAGGATGCTGAGAATGTGGTTTATAATCATGCCATCAAGATTGAGTACGTCCAAAAGGTGCTGTGCTCCGCTGAGCCGATGACAGTCCCCGAGCTTCAAGGAGCTATTAATAGAGTGCTGGCTGCTCAGGTTGGTATCAAAGCATCAACAAATTTTGATTGCCTTTGCACCCTCTGCATGCGTTTGCCACTTGTTGCATTGTTGCCAGATGTCGGCTGACCTATACTAAAAAAAAAAGTAGTAGAAACGCGATTTATGCACTTTTCCCACCAATAAAACAACGCGCTGTTAGTGGCGTCTCACCGCGAATGGGTACTGTAGAGACTTCAATGCAACAAGCTTATTTAATTGGCTAATTTTTGATTTTACGAAAATGGCGACATTTGGAATATTTGTTTAGTATTTTTCGGTTGTGCATGCATGCATTGAACAACGGCAAACTCGGATTTGTATTTTCCTTTCTAGACAATTTGCAGGCAATTTTCAGAACTATAGCCCGATGTTTAACACTGTTCATGACTTGGAGGTTTTTTTGTACAATTGCGACCCGATTTTTTTGGTGGTCAATGGTCGTGTGCAGAACACATTCCACTCGCTTCGGTTTGAAATTGCAATACAATAATCATATCTGAATAGCTGATATTTGATTTAGAGTGATGGCCAACAAAGTTGCCAGTTATATCATTCAATACGGGCCGATCACTTATGACCGTCTTCTCAATTTGTAATAAAAAATGAGCGAATCCAATCAAGATGATTATTTGGTTTTATTTTTGTAGAGTTGATGAAATTTTTCCGCCGAGCTTCGACGCGTTTGATAAGGATTCGAAGGTGTTCGAACGCGAGTCGCTCGCATGGGGAAGATCGATTTTTTCGAGTCGCCACTTTTATCAAAGTTAAATCGAAACATTAAAATGAAAATATTTCCTTTTTTCCAGTAAATAACATGTTCGGATTGACGGAGGAAGGCAAAAAGTCGTTCGTGTTGCGCTCGGTGATCTGCATTCCGACGATGCTCAGAAGCACTCAATACGTCGACAAGAGTCGCGAATTCGAATTCGCTGCGAATGTCATCAATATTGGAAAGACTCACACCGTTGTAAGTTGGTTGCGAAAAAATTTTATTGGAGAAATTTTGAAAGCGGACGAGTCCGTATGTACACCACACGCAAACATGCACACATTTCAAAAACGCCGGCGCGCACAATTAGAAAAATCGCGTGCGACTTTTACACCACAAATCAATTGGATTAAGGTTCGAATAATCAATCACGGATTCTTTTCGGGATATATCGCAATTTGCCCGACACCGGCGTACCTAAAAACCACAAAAATCATTGTAAGTTAGTTAAAAGAAAAGTTTAAGATTTTCAAAATCGAATTTTTGTCAGGTGAACGTTCGCGTCAATTTCGTCTATTCAAACCGCTTTCAATTCCAAGGAATCATAATCGGCTTGGCGAAGGGCATCAAACGCGATGAGCCATCTCGTCCATTCCTTGTTCCGTCGCCAGAAGACTATGAAGTTCCGGAGAAGCGCACAATTGCCCAACACGCACAACGTGTGCGCTTGATTCCTGTCAAATATGAGCCATATTAAAATGATTCTTTCGTTGTTTCTTTCACAAAACTAAATCAATCTCATTCCATCATATCATCGATTACAAAATGTTTCCCCCGCTCATAGTCCCTCCCTAGTTCTACTCTCTCTTTTTCCCTTCGTTGAATTTTGAATTTTTCTTCCCCTAACTGTCCAGGGCCTTCCAGGAAATACCGGTGAGACCCAAAATCGGTGCCTTTTTGCTCTTTATTATATTCTACCAATGTGCAACAAACATTCGTTGAAATTTCGAATTTTTCCGAAATAAACTTGAAACACTCGATTGTTGCCAAAAACATCTGACGACCAGATGTTTGGAAGTTTTTACAAGGCATGTGCACAAGTGCGCGCAAGAGAGAGATTGATCGTTTTGCTCGTTGTTATACGGGATGGGCAAATTTGAGAATAGATCAAATGTCGCCAGAATTCGAGAATATGGCATTTTCGAGGAAAACCGATTCTAAAGGCATTTGGATTGTTGTTCAACTACCGAGGATAATTTGTAGAGCGCGTAGAATAATGAGCACCAAAGAGAATGACATTTCAATTCAATTCGTTTAGGGTATAATTTGAGTTTTGAGAGCTCTGGATTTGAAAGCACCAATTATTCAGTGACTCTCAATTCCGATTTTTGCATGAGAGAATCGTTCTCGCTTCTTCTGAATTATATCGCCACAAAAAAATGAGTTCTGACCCAAGTCGAAAATTCTCCGCAATATGAAGATTTTGTTAACAACCAAAATGCTTAAAATTCATTGAAAAAAAATTATGCTGTTTTATATTACGATGGTCAAATTGAGCAAGAGTTTTTCCATACAAGACCCAAGGCGGCAATTCGAATTTTGAAACAACAATGACAATTGCAAAAATGTCTTTTATTGGGATGAAATAACAGCCAAATGAATTCCAAGAATATTCCTTTGTAATTTAGAAGCACATTTAATCCGAATTCTTTTATTTCAAAACTATAAATTTCAAAACATTTTTTTGCAAATATGCAAAAATTGCCACAATTGGCTGCAATTTAATGTAGCGATGCCATTTTTTTAAACCATAAAACAAATTTCCGAAACGCATTTTCTGTGTGCTTTTTTCTTCTTCTTCTTCTCGTGACGTTGTCTCCCACAATTTTCTAATGCGAATTTGTCGTAGGCGGACAACACATCAATTGCCGAACAAGAATTTATTGCGCATTACTGTTCCATGGATTTTTGCTTTATATCAAAAATACATTTTTGGTCTTTGCACGAAATTCTTCATGCCACTTTTTCGCTCTATCAGAATCAGTTGCCGCGATACCAAAAAAATCATCCGCGTTATGAGCCTTTAATTGAAATGTTTTATTGTCAAATTTGTTCAATCATTCGATACCGCCAATATTTAATTTTAATTTTCAATTTTCATGTCGTAGGTTTTTTTTAAAGTTTGATACACTTCCAATAGGTATCACGAAATACAAGTAAATATGGTCGACTGTTGTCGATTTACGCGAGCGTCTTTCAAAATGGTCTCGCCACGCGTGAATGCTTACTTCGTTGTTTTCACGAAAAAATTCATTTTTCTTGATGGGTTTCGTATTGCCTCGTTCAAATTAACAATTTTTGAACGGGCTCCTAAAATGTCGATTAGTCCGCGTGGGACCATAGCGAAGACGCAAATATACCAGCATACATCAGTCGCCGACTGTAGCGGTATACCGAATTCGTAGTGGGGTAGATTTACGGGCATCAAAAATCAACCGGCTAGGGTGTAGTGTTTTCGGGCCACGCCCTTTCGTCACGGGGATATCTCGCTCAGGCGAAAACGTCGGGTTCTTCTATTGAAAGTACCTGTACGCTAAAGGGGTACCCGCACCGCTCGTGAACTCATGTGGCTTATGTATTTCGGACACAGGTAAAATGCGCCGGAGTCATAAGGTGTTCATAGAATTCGTAATTGTCTAGGAGACAACATTGTTTATGAAATTTGCGACCATATAAAATATTCACGAAAAAACGCATTGCGTCCATATACAAAAAAATTAGGCTACCCATGAAATCTTCAACCATGGGACCACAAACATATATCGCGAAACTACTAAGCTGAGGAGACTCATTTGAGACCTATATGCTCAATGTCCCACGGTGTATACATTATGTAGTTGTCCGCGCATTTATCCTGTCTAGTCTGAAAATGAATAGAATTGCCGAACATTTTTGAAAATTACATACAGTAACTAAGGTGCTCGTTTTTTACATATATTGTCGACGTCACGCGACTTCAGAAAGTTGGCTAAATGCCAAAAAAATGGGGAGAGGTCTTATTGGTATTTTCACAGAAAAAGCTTTCATTTGATTCAATTCAAGTTTATTTGGCAATTTTCCAATAATGATCATTTTTTGATAAACTGTATCTTTTTTCTTCGCGAAATTTTGATTTATTATTGATTCAAAAAATAATCGATCGAGCTAAAAAGATCAAAGGCCTAATGTTCTTTTAAAAAGTAATTCAATCGCGTTTCTTTAGTCTGAATATTTGAGATATCATCTCGTCATCAATTTTCTACCCCCAAGACGTTCGTATATCAAGATTTTGGTGGTTTCGTCCAAGGTCTGTCTCAGTTCTAAATTTCCCCTTAAAAAAATCCAAAAAAAAAAATTCCAAAATGCACATTTTTTAAAGACGCACAATCATTTTTTCTAGGCGGTAATTCAAATATCGATTTAATCAGTGTGAATTCGCATGCCGTTCTACGGATAATCTCCAATCAAAATGACTCAAAACAGGCTTCTCGTGTTTTTTTTGTGATTGTACTATTATTTTGTTATATTAACACAAAACAAAATTGTATTAAAATTATTTTTGCGAAATTTCCAAACGGCGATAACACGATTTTTTATTCTCGCTTAAAAAGATACAGACAGGGTCTCGCTAGGTTTGAGCTTAATTTTGCCATTTTCACATTTTTCATTTTTTATTGAATTCGACAAACTAATTTGAAAAGCGATTGCTGTTGTATTTGAATTGCCGCATTAAGTGTGGCCGCGCGCGAAATTCAAAATTTCAGTTTTGCCCGTCCACAAAAATATTTCCAATATCGCTGAATTTCCCTGAATTTATTTATTTGAAATCAGTTATATATTGCTAATTTCAATTCATCGAACCCGTAAATCCATCAAAATTGATTGACAATTACATATTCGATGATTTTTTAAAGAAACCCCATAAAAATCAATGTGTCATTGAAATTATAGGGCATTCAAAACAGTAATATGAAATAAGAAAAAAAATGTCAAAAAGTTTTCATGTTGCAGCTTTTTATGTAGAGCAAATCCGCAAAAAACCAGCATCAATAGAAATGCTGAAAATCTTCTAGATTTGGTGGCATCTTAAATAGCTATTAGGCGTATTGCGACAACTACATAGGTCTCGCAGCGACCTTGATTTCAATTGGAACTATTTCTCGAACATGAACAAGTTTCCAAAAATCCATTCCTAATTGCTTAATTGATAAATTGTTGCCTTCTTATCATCACTTGTGGCTGGCGGAATTTCGTCTTCTCGCAAATTTATTATCATTACCACTCAGTTTTTTATGTGTCATTCCTAGCCAAATAAATATGCGGCCGCGCTTTTTTTTTTGCGCCCGGTGGCCGCCGACCCCCATCTTCCCACGTCTTCCACCCCTCCTTCCCTCCATCTTCCTCTAACAGTAACAAACAACGAATAGAGCGGTCGAATGCATCTTGAGAATGTGGTTCAAAATCATTTCTTCTTCTTCTTCTCATTTGTTCGGCTGCGCCGAGTGCAGAGCGACCCCCCCCCCCTCGCAACTGTTCGCCTCTCAGTGCGTCGGCACCCCCTCCCCCTTCCTCCACCCCCATTCAATTGCCCACTCGCTCTTTTCTGGTTCCAAATTAATTTTTTGTCCTGTTTCCTGAAATCATCCGCCCCTTTTTAGAGTTCATTTTCAATTTTGTTGCAGCTCGTCAAAATGGCCCCGATGACACCACCTTCCAAGCTTGACACCCGATTTTTAAGAGAGGAGTATAGGTAGGCGCAGTTGTGCCAATTTTGGGCTGATTTCTTGATTAGTCGATTGACTCGTACAACAATTTTCTTTTTAAATTTTTTTCGTAATCCGATTTATCAATTGATCCACTTGCTTGCTGAGCTAACCAATTATTCACATGTTTTCAACAAATGCAAATTAATTCGCATTATATTGTTTTTTTTATTCGATTCCTACATATTTCATTTTTGATAGAAAAATAGCTGAAATCGAACAAGTATGATATCTTTAGCATTTTTGATCTTTTTAAAGCAATTTTCTTATTGTCAATTTTTAATTATCGACAATTTAGTTCAGAAATCATTTTGAAGAATTTGTAGTGTAGTAACAAAATATACATATTTTGCAATGAAATTCATAGTGATTTGGTTCATAAAAGCTTTATAACGTATTCAAAAATGTATCAGAGGACAAACACGTGTGGGAAAGTTCTTTTGATGGAGTCGATTTGACATCGAATCGAAAAAAATGCGACGAATTCCCTTCGTTTTATCTCACGGGTGATCTGCTCTCATTAAATTTCGAAGACGCAGTCATTTTTTTTTCGCCGATAGCAAACAACCCATTTGCACTTATAATTTCCGTTCTGCGGACAATAAAGGTGTTAATTTGAGCTAACACAATAAATTGCTCTTTAATTAGTGTCAATTTCAGGAATTACATTCTCGGCGATGCTCGATTATTCCAGGAGGCCGTGTTCACCTACACGCAAATCTACGGAATAGTGGTATTATTGAAAAAATGAAAATCGAAAAAAAAGAAGCTAGCATTTTAAAGGAGAATGTTCAAGCCGTTGTGTTGGATAAGCTCATGAAGGTCGAATACGTTGAGCGATGGCTTACTTCGTTTCCGTATACCACCATGTATGAGCATTTTCACGAAATGCGTCGAATTAATGTTGACGCGGTTAGTTGTGTTTTATATTAGTTCAATTTTATTTGTATCATTAGGGTTAACAATTTGAATTGCTGCCTTTGGGTCTCAAACGGAAAATTTTAAATTTTTACGCATTCAAATTGTCATATACAGTAGTGAATGGGCAAGTCTTTAAAAAAAATTAATGTATTTTAACGAAGGAGGTTTAATTCCTAATAATCAAACTTACCGTTTAGAGATTTTAAAAAATATTCAATTATCAAAAAATTATTGTTTTCTGTCTGATTTTTTCAAAGTGCAAATAATGATTATTCGGCCGCTTTCTGATAAGTTATCAGTGTGATTTTTGCGAGAAATAATTGGGGAAAATATTTTCGCATGAAATGAATCTGAAAAGAATAGCAAAACATGGCAATAAATTGGAAATTTGGTGAGAAATGTGGACACGAAATACGATGGTACCGTTCACTGAGCAAACACACTGCGAACCCGAAACGCTATAATTGACGCGCATTTTTGCCGATTCGGTTTCGGCGGAAAATATTTCAATTAATGAGTGTATCAACGAAAAAAAAAATAGAAAATAAAAAAAGACTAAATTTAAATTTAAAAGCCAAAAATCTTGATTGACGGATTAAAGCCTCGACTAGAATTTCTTCGACCCAGGATTGTCTCAATAGAAATCTTATATGGAATAAATACATGGCAGTAGTGTCGACTAAGTCTTAAAACGAATTTACGAATGATTGTAGGGAATCGATCCACCATTCTACTACTTCGATCAATTTCGCGATTTTCTCCATGAGTTCCGTCTCATCTTTAAATTGAATATTTCCGCCTGCCCATGCACCGAATATTATTCCGACAGGTGATAGACGAATTCGGTATCTAACTCGATTATTTCAATACGGTTTCAGACGCTTCATGCAAGTTTTGGCGAAAAAACTGCTCAACAGCGAGCCAGTTCGTGTCGACAGTTTGATGTCAATGTAAGACAACCATAATCGAATTATGCAGATTTGGAAAAAAAAACGATTAAAAACCCAAAAGTGCAGACTGCGGAGAAAACGCAAAAAAACCACGGTTTTAATCAAATCGCTGTAAGACTCATAAAAATTTTATCTGTGCGCCTTTAATCACAATAGAGAAAATAAAAACAATCGAGAAAATTTGATTAAAAAAATAAAATCGCTAGGGTTAAAGGCGCATATGATGAAATTTCACGACTCTTGCAGCGATTTAATTAAAACTGTGGTACTGTAGATTTCAAAAAACGGCGCGTCGTTGTCTTTTTTGCGTTTTTTCGCGTACGGTTTTTTTTAAATTTTAAAAACCAATTTTTTGTTTTTTTTTTTAAATCTTTTTTTTTAATTTTAAAACCCATTTTTTGATTTTTTTTTAAATCTGCATAGCACCATGATCTCTCTTTCTCATTTTTCAAATTTAAATCAATTTTTGATAAATTTCAGCGCCTATGAAACGTTTCCGCCATCGTTGCACGTGGCAAAATCATGCGAGACGTTTCATCATGATTCGTTTTTCGCCAATATCACCGGAACTGGCGATATTCTCCGAAAAATTATTGGCGAATTTTTCCAACTCGGTATCATTTTCTTATCAAATGAAAAGACACATTTTATTGCCGCATTTCAGATCCTCTCGGTCAATTCGTTGTGATCACACAGACGGGTCTTGATAATTTCGCGTTGCGCTGCGATCTGTGCTGCCCAACGATGCTCTCGGCGGTGTACTATCTCGATCTCAGCCGCGTGTTCCGCTTTAGGGGACGCATCACCAAATTCAAGGATAACTGCGTTGTGGTACGCTGATTGATTATCGAACGAACAAGTCGCATTTGAACCAATTATTTTAAGGTCACCATCGGGCTCAACAGCATTTTCTCAGATTATAAAATAATCTGTTCGTGCGACGACATCGTTGATATTGGGCAATCGGTGAGAGATCAACTTTAATATTAATGTTTTTTTTTATGTGAATTTCAATTTCTCAGGTGCAAGTCTATTGCTCGTTCATCAACCACGACAAATACATGTTCAAAGGACGCCTCCTGCTAAATTTTATGGACGATTCCGCATTTGAGCTACTTCCACTGCCTGTTCGTCCGCCAGCGCCTGTCCGAGATGGTCATGTCTCGCCGCCGGTGATCGAGTCCGAGGAGGAGAAGTCGCCGGACGATGACGACATCGACGAGCCCGTGGCAAACAATCGACGAAATCGCGATGATGTCATCGTTGTCAGATACAGACGAGGAAATGCGCGATTGTTGTGAAAAATTGTCCGTGTGAATTTATTGGAAATTTTGTTACCGTCGCATGAAAAAATCGAGAACCCTGGTTGTTTGCGGACCATTTTCACGTTCTTCGCGTGTTTATTCAAATTTCTTTTTTTAATACATACCATGGGAGTTTGTTTATCATATTACGGAAAACCTGCGAATCAAACTGGCCGTACATGTATAAATTACAATTATCGAGGGTGCTCGTATTTTCTTAAACGATTTTAATTTATTAATTTTTAAATTATCCGCGAAATCTGAATAGTTTGTCAAAACTTTAGCTATTTTCCGAAAATATCGATTTTAAGCAATTCAAATGCTTTCATGAGTTACAACGAAAATTTAAAAAAATATAGAGAGAAAATATTGAACTCAATTGATATATGAAATCTCTTACTTAACAGCTTTATAAGCGCTCTCTTATTCATATTTCCACTCAATTTCCATGTCCTTCTTCCCCGTGTAAGATTCGCGTTCACCCGTTGAATTCTTTGAGAATTTCTCAGTTATCTATGATATACATGTACGCATTAATGATTTATTTCCGGTTTTGTATACCGATTTTCAATTGTTTATATTTTGTAATTCAATTCCAAATTTCGATTTTAAACAATTGAAACGTTTTTTTGTATTGCAGAAGTTAGCTTATATCATAGCGCTCAAATTTTTTATCAATTTCTTTTTGAAAACAATAAATATAAACAAAATCGCGTTCATTGTTTCTGAAAATGCGTCTAGTGCTCGTTTTTCTGTTTTTCGCTGTTTGCCAGGTTCTTTAGCATTTTAAGATTTTTCTTTTTTAACATTCTGAACGGTTCAGTTAGCTGCTAAGCGAGGCGGAAAAGGCTTTGGACGAGGTGCTAGCAATACGAGAGCCGGCGTGAAAAATAGAAGCGCGAGTTCATCGAATGCCAAAAGCAAGTCCAACAGCGGCGGATTGCTCTGGAATTGGAAATCGAGACCTTCTTCGAATCGTCATTCATCAACATATTATTATCATCATAATCATTACTATGATGCTGATGAGCGCTATATTTATTCGAGATTCAATCGAAATCGATATCGAAATGACAGAAGACATGAAGGTGGACCTCAGCCAACAGAAAATCAAGCTGCAATAATGGAGAATGAGCGAACTAGACGACTAAAGGGCAAATTTGGCAGAATTTTGAAAGTTTTGATGAAAACGGTGCGAAATTTATTAGAAATGCCGCTTGTATCGAAAATTTCAGCAACAGAATGATACCAAGTATGCGAACAATTTTGAGAATAAAGGTTTCGACGCGATTCCGATTGTCAGCAGGATTCCGGTCTTCACCGACAGCCGATTTTCGGATATCAATATCTATGTTGATGGAATGGCAAAAGAGGTTTGTTTCATTGCTATCATTTCAATTTTGAAGAGAAAATTTCCAGGCGGAGATTATTCAGCAAATTGTAATGGACACCTGGAACACGAGTGAGGCTGGATCAAAATATCGCATCTTCGAAGATGTTAGGAATTGGACCGATGCTCAACAGCATTGCAGTTCGTTTGGAGCATACTTGGCGATTGTGGATAGCGATGCAAAGAATGAATTTGTGAAAGGTTGATGGGCAGACGAGGAATATGCGAGTGAAGCGATGATTTTCAGATCTTCTTCGCGAAACTCCGCCATCCTTTGAATATTCTTGGATCGGATTGAGAACGGTGCTTAACAAGAATATGACGGGAAGAGAAGAATGCACAAGTATTGTGACTAGCAGAGTTGGCCGCTGCGAGACTCCGCACAAAAACTGCCTGCGCCTTTCATTATCGAATCCAAAAACATCGTTTCAAATTTTCCCAAAATTGATTTTTCTCTTCAATTTTTAATATTAGAAAATCATGAAATTTGCATGAAAATTGCGAGTAAGCTAAAATCAATCTCAAATTAAAATAATTTTAAGTATTGAACGATTAAAGGGTCATAGTGCAGAAAAACTAGTCGGGGTCTTGCGGCGAGTGATTCTGGTGGCCGCCTTTTGAAACGAACTAAAAACCAAATATGATTTTTTGGAAATTGTACGAATATTTGCGTGAAATTTAAAATTTGATTTAGATAAAATGTAAAATAAATGAGATTAGCCCCGAACTTCCTTTTGAATCCCCACAGACTGGTTTGGAGCCCTCAACATGAACTAATTTCTATTTAATGGGGGGGGGGACTAAACAAAGCGAGGTGTCAATGAATACGATCAATTAGTAACCTCCAAAGTAGAAACAATGGGCACTCAATCCGAGAGCATCGAATTTTTTCTTACATTAACAAACGAAAAGACGCAGATCGTGAAAATTTGAAATGGCAAATTTTTCGCGTGGAAAACTAAACGAAGCATGTCACCCTCGGCCATACAAACTCGGCCATGGCTGTTCGGCCACGTTTATTTTGGGGTGATGACACCCGAATTTCCTGCGGCGGGGGGCAATGTTCAACTTCATTTGAAAAACAAACGAAACAAAACTAGTTTGTGGTGGCCGCCAATTTCGCGGCCACCGAACGTTCATCCACTATTCTTTATGGAGCGATACGCTTGCAGAAAAAAGAAATGGAAAAAAGAGAAAAATTGGCGGACCGCGTCAAAACTCAGAAATCGCAGGGACATTTGCTTTCATTTTTTTTCTAAAACCGAATTCACTCAATTTCTTTCAGTTTTTCTTTATTGCAGTGATCGATCGCGTTGGTAATTGGACGATTGCTGATTGCTCTCAAAAGAATTCCTTCGTGTGCCAAGTGATTCGAATCGGTGGCGCTCTTGACATTCAATCGGACTCCAACAGCACTCTAATTGAGAAATAATTGTTGGAATAAAGTGACCAATTGCAAAATGTACAAACAATTCCACACTCGAGGCGTTTTGTTGATAAGAGACCGATGTTCGTGTGCCAAAGTAGGTCATCGAATGAACACACACACACACGACAGAATGCCTGTATGCCCCGAACAATATCATTTATTCACTCGTAGATATATTTTTTGGTCGCTCGGCCCCCGCTCTCAATATGTTATTCGTAATCCGGCGGGCATTTCGACGCGGTTGGCCTAGTTCTGCGGTCCGGCCCGGTATCAATTGCGGCTTCTCCAACATCCGCTTCATTATTCTCGGGCTTCTGTTGTTGTTGTTGTTTTTTTTTCAATTCGTGTTTGCTTGAAATCTGTGCCTATTCACAATTACTTCCCGTTGCCCAATTCCTCTCCATTAAAGATTTGACATTGATCGGAATTCGATGATAAATGTCATTGGTGATAAGAATTGAGAGATATTCCAATTCCACCATAGACGTTTTTGGTAGAGTAGTATCATTTGATTGAGTATTAATCGCTCAAATCGACTATATTTTGATAATGACATTCCAGTTTACTATGTGATTTAAACAATTTCAATGGTCCCTAAAAGTTGAGACATCAAGCGAACGGTAACATCGCGACGAGACCCAAACACTTTTTTCGATCAAAAATCTCCACAAGAGAGGTTTTGTCGTGAATCACTCCAACAACCTAGTTTCATTTGAATTTTATTATGAGACGTGACATCAGAATTTCCGTGAATAAGATAAGGAATGAGCAGGCAACGTCAGTTCTCCAATTCTGAAGTTCAACACTTCTGTGAGTAAAAATACCTCTACCAGCTCGTTCCGTGTGCTCCTCCTTCTACTCCTACGGGGCCATTGGCCCCGATTACAACAGGTCTGTTATGTGAAATGGTGCCAACACTTTCAATAAAGACTCCCCAAAAAAACAAAAAATAGCATCTTGCTGCCCAAAAATAATTTGGATTCCGATCAGCAGACGAAGCAAAAAAAAAAGAAGAGAAACCTCCAAACTTGATGCTGAAACTCCTTATATGGATGGCATCATTAATTGCGAGGCTAAGAAAAGAGAAACTAGATAAACAATTTAAAAATTTCAACTTGCTGCGAAAAATAAATCAAATGAGATTGAGTTTTTGGTTTTTTTTCTGTGGCATTTGCGTCACGGTGTTTGCACACATTTTCGCGCGCTACCGTTGATTTAATTTTTTCTCAAAAAAAATCAAGATCAAATACCAAATATAGAAAAATATTTGCGAGAAGATACAAAAAATATCAAAATTTTTTTCTCATTTCTTCTAAAAATTTGGATGGAATCAATAAGAGCAATTTCGATATCAGAATTTCTCAAAGCGCGACCATCTAGGTATGAGCTCGCTAGTGACAAAACTTGTTCTTGTAAACGCGAATTCCAGACACGATCAGGTGACTTTCATTCTGTAGCCCCTCTCATTTTTTTTCGACGGCACCCATCGCCCCCCCCCCGTTCTTCGAAAACTATGACCCGATCCAGTTCGCCAAAGTAAGTAGTTGAGCGACGAGGAAATTATCGCTTGATCTCGACACTTAATTCTTGATTATGTAAGAATAATGAGAGACGAAAATACAACAAACATGAAGCTCCGCCTCCGCCGATTCGCTCGGTTCTCATTCTTCACTTTTTTTTGCTGCCAATTGTCGAAAGCAGATTGTTTTTGCCGCCTTTTTTGATTAAATCTCATTTCTATGGTCAAAGACAGTCATTCCTGTTCCTAAACTTCTGTAAACGGGGGGGGGGTTACCCTCAAATCAACAATTTTTTTTCTTAATTTGGGAGAAATTGTTCTCGTCGAAACCTGTTCCGTCGACGGTTTTCTGTATACTTGGATAGTTCAATAAGAATCCCAATAGATCAAATTACACAATTCCACGAAGAATGCTCACAGATAATATTTTATGAAGCATCAATTCATATTCTTTTCATTTTTAATCGATTAGCTTACTAATTCAGCCGATTTGAAATTTTCTTTCAACATTTTTTGATTTCAGTGAGAAAATGAACGAGATGGAGCGTGAGGTGGTTCAATTTTTGCGGGATGAGGTTTGTTTGACTCATTGGATGATCTCTATGTGATCCATTTTCAGACGAAGGACTTGATGACGGATTACTATAACACTGACTTCAATCTACTGCGTTGGGCTCAAGGCTACGGATTTGACAAAGAGGAAGCGTTGGCGGAATTGAGACGACATTTGAGATTCCGACACTACTACGATTTGGATAACATCGTGCATAATGTTCCGGATCACAAGATTCTCAAAAAGTACTTTCCGATTGGGCTCGTTGGTAGGATCGGAAGGCTCATCTGATGCTGATGCGATGGTTTCAGGAGAGGCTGGAAAAGACAACCAGCTGCTAGTAATTGAATGCGCTGGAAGAATTGATTTGATGGGAATTCTCAAATCGGTCCATTTGTCGGATTTTCTCATTCAAAGGTTTGTTGCTATTCAGATAATTCAGATGAGTTTAAAGGGGAGAAGGTTCATACGATTTCTGATCAACCAAAAAAGGGCACTTCTCTAGTCTGACCCAATCTTGAATTAAAAATCCTCTCGCCGTGTCGACACTCTCAAGGCCGATTTATCAGCGAAAAAAAAAAGAAACATTCAACGGTGAACTATGAATTGAACAGGGATAGTGCAAAATGACGATGAATCAAAAATAACAGAAGATGAAGAGAAAGAACCAGTCAAGATTGAGATCTGTCGAGGTGCCCCCCCCCCCAAAAAAAAACAACCAACGATCATCAAGCGATTCCGATTATGATTTTGGTGTTCAGATTCAAATTCCAAGAGAAAATGCTCGCCGCGATGAATGAGATGGAGAAGCGAAATGGGCAACAATGCTCGGTGGTGTATATACTGGATTTGGATGGATTGAAATTTGATCCGGCGCTTATCAACATCGTCACGGGACCTTATCGGATTCTCTGGGCTTCGGTGTACACCGCATATCCGGAATGGATCAGTCAGCTCGTTCTCATCAATGCCCCATCGTTCATGACGCTTTTGTGGAAGGCTATCGGACCATTGTTGCCGGAGAGGACGCGGAATAAGGTGAAGATCTGCACCGGCAACAGCGATTGGAAGGCGCAGATTCAGAAGGTAAGAATGAGCTCGGCGAGATCTTGGGAATCGAATCGGTTTGCAGTACGCGCACGCTGATTGCATTCCGAAACACTGGGGCGGAAATCTGGTGGACACGAATGGCGACGCGATGTGTCGCGAGATCCTCAACATCCCATTCGACTCGATTCCGCAAGAGATGTACTGGACGCCGAATGATGAGACGCCGGCGATTCACGAGATCACCTGCACCAATATTGGCGCCGGAAAATCGGCGATTTTCACGTACATCGTGGAAAAGACCAACGAACCGATCTACATTGTAGTCAATCGGTATTCAATCGATTTGTTTCAATTCAAGGAAACAGACAATTGAGATTTTGAAGATTCTGCGATCGGACGTTCGGCATGGGAATCTGGCATCACGAGGACGATTCGATGATCGACGCGGATCTTGACGAGATGACGGAATTCGCTCCCGATTTCGACTATCCCGGAATGCCGACTGTCGACTACCTTCGTCTCAAAGTTCCAGGCCCAGGTGTCTACAAGATCAAATGGGGAAATGAAGAGGTGAAACACAATTGTATCAAAATTTAGAAATGTCAAAAATTTAGGCTTGGATTCGATCGCTAACAATTTATCATCGAATTCGATTCCAAAACGAGAATAAGGTGAATGTCAAGTTCCGAGAACTCGCTCCATAATTCTATCGCATTTTCTTTTCCAATGTAAATACATTCTTCTTTCGAATAATAAATAAATAGTTCATGATTATTATTTTCAAAAAAGGAAAAAAATGAACACCCGCTAATTTGTTCGTTTAAATACAATATCATCTGTCGGCTTCTTCTCCTTCGTCTGCCGCCGCCTCTGCTGCGGTTCTTTGCTGAAACGGTCATGGTGGCAAACTGCCAGACATTGGTTCTCGACGCGAGACATTCGGCTGGTCACATCCTCCATGCTAAGCGATATCTGGAAGAAGTTGAGATTCGTGAATCACAAAGTGAAACGACGTCTGGCGAACCCTTTGGAATCCGGATTGCACATTCTGGAATTTACTGGACATTGATCCGATTTGATCATAGATCAAAGCGGTCACAGGTTTGGTTGAATTCATAGTATTATTGTGATTATTCTCATCATTCTCTCGATAAAAATCTAGTTGCATTCGAAGCTTTCGAACCTCAAGGTCCAATTCATGCATATGAGACGCTTCGGATCGCAGGACTGTAATCAGATTGCGTTCTTTAGGATTCGGAATCCTTGATACGCTACCTCTTAACTCATCATCGATCTTCTTGATTCTGGACAATGCGCTATACAGGAAATAAACGAGGAATAGAAAAATGAGGGCGAATGAGAGGACCATTATCTTCTTGACGCTCTTCCGACGCTGACGCAACTCGGTGTACTCCGAAGTGGGCGATCTGAAATTCATCGATTGATCATAAAGTATCCGAAGCGTGACCAACTTGTTGAAGAAGGTTCGCCGACGATTGCTCATTGGAAGATCGAGATCCGGCACATCAGAATCATCGTCGGAATGAAGCAACGAGACACCGCCGACCATGTTCTAGAAGAATGCAGCCATAAATCTGGAAACGAGAGACGAATGAGAATTCGGGTGTGATTAAGTCGACGACCATATTCGGAAGGAAAGAAAAACCAAAACAATGACTTTCTTTTTTTTTTGTTCAACTGATGCCGCGCATCGTCCAACTTTTTTTTTTTGTCTTTTTCACTCCCACTATTCTTCTTCTTCTTCTTCTTCGGTCTTATTTGAAAAATGAGCGGTGAGCCGGAAAATAGGCGGCGAACTCCTCCCACAAACCCAAGCGTGTGGCATTCGTCGTCGAAATGCTCAAGAAGACGCACACGCGAAAAAAGAGATGGGGGTCTCTTTTCCAAGATTAGCGCCTCAACGCGAATTTTTTTTGCTCTGGACCCTCATTGGAAAAAAGGAAGGAAAAAGAAGGCAAAAAAAAAGTTTTTTTTCCGCTGCTGGAAAAAAAACCGTCGAAATAGACGAAGAAGAAGAAGAAGAAGAAGCTGAAGAAGAAAAGGTAATTGAATTGTGAGTCGCCACTAGTTAGTAGTGTGTTGGTTGGTTGGTTTGTTGGCGATACTTTGGAATATGCTTGAATATTACTTTTTTTCTGCAGAGAAATTTCCGCTTCAAAATATTGGCGTAGATGTGAGTGAATCTGATCTAAGCAATGATGATTGCAATTGGAATCCGGAAAGAAGCGGAGCACGTCTTCTCGAGACCATATTAAATGGAGAATGCTTTTAGATTTACACACATTGATAAATTGTTTCTCTAGAAGGTACAAAAAATGGTATGCAAACAAAATGAAATTCAAAACTCGATTTAAAAGCTCATTCTCGTGAATCCACTATAATTCAAAATTCTCAGCGAATCGATAGGGACGAGCAGGGGACACGTTTTGGTTTGGGATAACCTGCGGAACATTTTGGACAGGGGAAACAATTCAATTAGTCGAAACAAAAGTCGCCCACGGTTTAGCCCGACACACTAAATTGAGGGCAATGTGAAATTGGAGTTTCGTACTCGAATGGTGCGAAAAATAAGTTTGGGACATTCCGCGGAAGTTTTTGGGGTAACCAAAATGTTTAAACCAAAACCAACCGCGGTTCGTCCTTTTCGAATCGCTGAGTTTTATTTAAGATTTTTTTGGCGCGAAACTAGAGACTGGTAGATCAAACGCATATAACTCAACGCCTCGCGCCAAGAGTTTTTCTTTCTTTTGGCATTTCGCCAAATTTCGAAAGTTCATCAATTAATCTCTCAAATAGTCGAAGACGGACGAATTTGACAAATTTGAATGATCAAAGCCATTTTTTGATCTTTGCGCGAACTCAAACAATTTTCCGCATGCGCCTTTGATATCTACAGTAATTTTGAATGCATTTCACACTAGATCAAATCGAAAACGATTATAAGATTTTGGCGTCAAAATTTGAATAATAAGCAACGGACCCCCTAAATTCGTTCGTCCTCGATAACACTTCAGTAAACTGTCGTCTAGTGGGCGGAGCTAATTGCAATACAGCGGCACGGTTTCAGCGGAAATTAAATTTACTTGCGCTTTCTCGATAAATTTCTTGCTAATCATGAAATGACGTGGCCTAGTTTTTTTTGTGCAATTTTTGTTCCGCGGTCGCAAAACGGCGTTCCACTAAAGCCCCCCACGCCGTTCTGACCTTCAATTTGTCACACTCCCCTCCTGAAGCCCCCGTTTTTTAATCCTAGCAGTCAGTTTTCCTGTCTAATATTTTCTGACATTCGTTTTGTCATTTTTCCCATTTCGGCGATCCGTTTCTTCGGCAAAACTTGAAAATTTTGCGAGAAAAAAAAAAGACGAAGAAGAGACAAAACGAAAAGATTTGTTCGTTCGTTCACAACAAGATTAATTGTATTAAAAAGGGGAACAGAAAAAAAAACTGAAATCCGATTTCTCCTTATATGCTTCTTCTTCTATTCAATTCGGCACAAAGAAGAAGAAAGAAACGAAATAAATAAAAACAAGGCAAAAAAAATGGAGGAGGGAGAGGTTTTTTGTTTGATTGGTCCGGAAATCGAAGACATGAAGGTTATTAAGCTAAATATCTCGAGCAATTCCGAGAAGTTCGTTCCAAAATACATATGCATAAGCTATATTAAGTTTAGGAAGGTGAGAAGAAAAAAAAACGCCCCGAAGTTTGAAGAATTGGAATTGAAATTGAGACTGCCAGGGTCCGAAAGTACTATCCAATTTTCGAACTTAGAAATTAGGTTTCATCAAGCCGAAAAAAAAACAACGACGAAGAAGGCGTCGAGAGAAGTAAGTGGCAATGAGGTTCTTTTTTTTAGTGGAAATTACGAAGCTCGCCGTCTTCGAATTTTAATTTCTCCTCCAAATACGGCAAAAAACGACGACGACGACGACGAAGAAGAAGAAGAAGAAGAGTAAGGATGAACACTAATAAGAAAATGGGGTATGACGGAAAACACGCTTGCTGTGACGAGAAGCTCAACAAAAAAAAAGAGAGTCGGACTTCTGAAAATAGGATACTGAAATTCAATTTCGGCGACTAATCAATTCCGAATTGAAACCTTAAGGTTACGGTAAGACTTGTGGCCTCGAAATGCAGAATCGTGTTCGAAGACTGTTCATGTCCCTTTAGGATTAGTGTATTTTGGGTATTTCGGTTTATAGTATTTTTTGAAACGAAGCTCGAAATTCTATGTTTAAATTATGCTATAGTATTTCCCAAAAAAGCGGTTGCCAGAAGTTTTCGCTTCAAGACCTTATAGTTCAGGCGCGTAGCGGTTCGCATGCGGTCGCGCTTTTATTTGTTTTTGTTTTTCAAAATATGTTTTTTTTCACCTTTTTTATAGTGTCTAAAAACTCGCTGAAATCTATAGCAACAGAAGTCAATTCCGGTTCCTTCAGAATATATTCAGAAGCATCATCAGAAGCAGCGCGAACCGCAACGCGTCTGGCGACATGAAATAATTAAAGTAGTAGCTTTTTTGGAAAATCGGAAAGTAATAATTGATCGATGTTGCGGTTTCCATTTCATTTTAAGTGATTCTGAAAATGAAGCTCAATTGAATTTCGGTACAGTGTTTGTCCGGCAAATTTGTTTCTAGAAATTTTTTTTTAATTCTAGAAAATGTTGATTGAGTTTTATCAGTTTAAATAGGCTAATTAGTGGATTAGATTTTCTGAAATAATTAAGACGCCAATTAAAAAATATATAATTTCAGCCATTTGTATATGGCAGAAATGCAAAAAATAGGATATCTTAGTGAAAAATTATGTGTCGATTTACGGGCAAAATTAAAGGCGCACGCTTTATACATTAATTTTTGAGGATAAAATAAAATTGTTTCGAATAATCAAAAAAAAGTTAATTTCTCAAAATTTAAATGATTTTCTGATAATTCGTAAAATTCCCAGGAATTATCATAATTTCAAAAATTGTTTTTAATGTGCACATTATTGGCATGCGCCTTTAAAAGAGTCTCACGTAGAATCTTCATTCATTTAATTTCATATTACTAATTCCAACAATATCAGAAATATAAAAGTATAGAAATCAAATCTCGAAATCCATTTCAATTTTGATAATGAAAGCATAAAAACGAGTGGGGCTTTTTGAAGGCGAACTGCGGGTTTTTTTTTTTCAAAATCCGTGATTTCGGCGCCAAACCCAAGGGTCCTATTTGGAAAAAGAGTGCAAGCGGCACAACAAAACGAACATGGCGAAAACAGAACAAAGGAGGTGGAAAACGTTGCAAATTGAACCGAAAAAAAAACGCGCGGGCGACGACGATGAAATTAAATATGGATGTGCCGGGTCCCTCCCCCCCTCCCTTCCACCCCACGGCCGCCTGAAGCGTCTCGCCTCCAACAACTTATGCCCATTTTTGGATGGGTGGAGGCGGAGGGAAATGCGCGAATTAAATGAGTGAGTGCAAACTCTTTTTTTTTGAAGGTTCCTCGAGAATCGACTCAACCTTAAATTGAATGACGAGGAACCAACAACAAAAAATGAATTAGCTCAACGAGGGGGGGGGGTATTCAATTAAAAGATAAAATGAATGGCGAACAATGCGATTCATTCGATTAGGCAATTCATTAACCAAATCTCGGTTCATTGTTGGCTCCAAACATTCTCCGCGGGGAATTTGCTTTCGCTTAAAAAAGATGGAGAGAGCGAACGAAAGAAAAAATGTTGAAGTTGTCCGAAAGAAATATGATGGCGAAGAATGTATTGTTTGATTGAAGAAATGTGCTCGAAGATTGACGATTTCGCGCGAGATGAAAAGCTCCAAACAAAAGGATGGTGGTGGTGGAGAAATAAAAACGAGGAAAAGTTGTGAATATGCATAAGCGGAATGCTATTCGACAAGTTAATTATTGGGAATTGTTGGTATCTTAAAGGGGGGGGAGGGGTTAATGAAAATCAATCGGATTCGAAAATAAAATTTCTTTTTCAATCTAAATTGAATGTAAATTAATCTGTTTCGAAGTATTCCAAAATTTCAAACGAATACGATTTCAAAATTGAGAATTGGAAATAAATCAATCGATTTCGAATATTTTTGAATCGAAACCAGGTTTTTAAATAGAATTTAAACACTTTCTCAATCGAATTTAAATTCTTTTTAAATCGGAACAGGTTAATTTATATTTAATTTTTCTTCGAATCCGATTGATTTTCATTTATTTGAGAGGGGGGGGGGTCGCCTAAAAAAATTGAAATTTGATAATACATTTTTTTAAACTGAACGAAAATTCTACATTACTGAATATTTTGGGAGAGAAACGGCGGAAAAAAATGTTTTTTAAAATTATTTTCTCTTTGCCTCTGCGATTCGGTGCAGCGAGAAGTACGCAAGACTACGTACATTGCATTATAGCGTACGCGCATTTAATATTCAGTCAACGATAAATTTAAATCGACACTAATTTCGCGAATTTGAAAGTCTTGCCTCATATAAGTTTTTTAAAGGCCGACAATAGTGGAAAAAATGAGTGTGTGTGTGTGTGCGTGGGT